AACTTTAAACAAATCAAAAACTTTTGGACACACATTTTTGTAATTTTAAGCATCCTTAAACCTTCCCTGGGGTCATTGGGTCCCCATAAAATTTGGGCCCGATCGGTTCAGCCATTTTGACGTTTTAGATACAAACAGACAAGCAAAGTATATATATAGCAGGCCCGTAGCCAGGATATTTCCTGGGGGCGCACCGCGGGCGAATTTTTTTCTTTTTCTTTTTAGACAATGCTTGGTTTGCTTTTACAGTGGTATGGTTGTTTTTATCACATTGTCAATGCACACTATAAAGACTAACCTTTTAACAAGTGTATTTGAGCTTTTAAGGGTTACTTTTTAGTGTCTGAAACTTTTCAGTTTACAATATATCTATATAATATAGTATAGAACTGCTTAACCAACAGAATCAAGTTATATTACCTTGACTTTGCAATATGATAATTAATAATTATATATTCACATTTCTTATTTATTTTAAAAAAAAAGCTTTTCAAGGGTCAAGGGCAAAAACTCTGAAAGCGTACAGGATATTATCATTTCATTTCCATAGGACTCAATGCATATAATTAATAAAACATACTGTTTTAATTAGGCTTAACCAACTATTCAATGAGCAACTATGAGTAAATTAAGACACACACACACACTTTTAATGAGTAACACAAATGTGTAACACACAAATAGATTATAATATGGTTTGGGAAGGGAATCAATTCTTACTCGGGCTATATAATTGATAACTAGATATTAGAAAATTCTTTATTACATGTAAAAACCAATAGCTATAAGGAAGCTGTGCATTAGGCTCGTTTACTGCATAGGAAATCTGGGAGGCTAGTGTCTGCTTGGAGGAGGCTTATGACGCCCAGGTGTTCCCTCACTCTCCTCCCTCGAAGGAGAAGGGAAAAAAATTGAGAGGTAAAATTCAATTAGGCCCCACGTGTAGGATAGGCACGTGCACCTAGGGCCCCCCACCTAGAACGCCCCTGGGAGACCCCCCCCCCCGGGAAAAGTGAGATATGAGTGTGCAGATAAACAATGCTTCAACTTTTGAAGTGCAGCTCATTTCAAATAAAATTAGACCTCTAACTGCAGGGAAGGCTTTAAAAAAGATCGACACGTACGTCGGAAAAATGTTGAAAAATACTTATTTTTACTTTGACAAATATCAACATGTGACACATGTAATTACATATATTATAATTTCAGATCTGTATCTTAATTACTAAAAAAATTATTAACTCGTTTGATTTTTTTATGCACCGACCAGCCGTTTGGCCGTCATCTATCCTACTTATAAAATCAACATTGTGCATAAGTTTATATATTAAAACGAAAAAAACACAGGGTATGGTGTAAAACAAGCTCCGTTTAATAAGAGAACTTTCATAGAATTAAGTATAAAAGTAGAACATCTCTGTTTTGATTTGATCAGACGCTTTGACATTTTTGAATACAAACTGACGAGTCAAATATATAGACTGGGCGTTGCGCCCCCTTTCCTATTCACAAAATTACCTTTTAACTGTAGCTCTGAGGAGGGGAGGAAGGCCAACCACAACAATTTCTCGTCCGAGCCACCTCGAAATCCTCGTCCTTTCAATATTATTTTTTATAAGTGTTTAATACTCCCAGATAAAACTATTTTTAAAGAATCGGGCCACGTTAGGGCATAAATGAAGTATAACATTTTTGTAAATTGAAAAAAAGAGTCTCAATTGAATTAAAGATTTCAAGTTCAAATAATTCCGAGTTTATAGAACTTCTATCTTTTTTGTTAACTTTAGTAAAACCATAGAATTTTTCCGGATGGTTCTATGTGGAAAATTATAGGCAGGGGTATGCCGAATATTTTGCTATTTATTTTACATTACGGGGGCAGAAGAGATTTAAGCTTAACCTAAATAAAGTTTGACATTCTCATGGGTTTGAAGATTTCAATAAGATGTAATCATTGCAATACTTTAGTCCATCCATATTTTATGCCCTTACGTGGCCAGAATTATAAACTATTGGAAACTTTTAACACAAAATAATCGAAGGACGAGGATTCCGAGGTGGCTCGTACGAGAAAATGAGGAGTATGTAGCTCGGACGAGAAATTGTTGGGGCTGGCCTTCCCCCTCATCTGAGAGTGGTCATTTAAAATCATTCTCATATTTTTTTCACTTTTTTTTCTGTTTAAATTGGTGAATTTTCAAAAATAATAAATGTCGCCATTTTTTGCGGGCGAAATATTTGCAACTTCGAGTACCAGCCATAAACCATCCCTGGGGTCATGCGAGTTGCCTCAAAACTGTTTGGCTTGATCGGTTCAGCCGTTTTAACGTTTATAGATACAAGCAAACAAATAAGCATACAAGCAAACAGACAGTGCAAGCAAAGTATATATATTTATATAGATAGAAGATATATGATCAAAACTACGATGTTTCCTCACAAAAAGAAATTATTAAAGGTTATTGCAATGTTTTTTGGATATAATTAAAATTATAAAAAAAATACTTGGAACATTTTTCAGATTACCTGACATGAAAGAATAAGTAGTTTTAACCACTAGAGCATTTCTTTTGATTACATTTTTCTTGCGACAAGGTTATATTTCATATTCAAATGTTAAAAAATTTAAATATGTTTTTTTTTTTAAATAATCGTTAGTAAGCCTTTAATTACATAAGTGTAATAAAAGCTTTTTTTCGTCGGTCCCTAGTAATAATGCCATTTGTATTGTTTGCAACAATGTTGGTATGAAAAAAATTTGAGCATGGAGAACTTCACCGAAATATAATCAATTTCATATTGGTATTTATAAAACAGATTGGAAAAAAGTTCAAAATGTCTGTCCCAGCTTCAGATTTGTGTCTATTCTTCATTCTTAAAGGGACCGTTCACTTATTTTTTATTTGCATGGTAAACTGAACAGCCGATTAATTGGTATTAATTTACTTTTCAAAGATAACTATGGCCGGAGAAAAAGCTGATTTATATTTCTGAATTCAAGCGCAAAGGTTCAGTACCATTGCCTTAAGCTTAGATGTTTTTCAGTAACAAGAAAATCTAAAATGGTAACATATTTTAATGACATTATGCGTTTTCCGTGTTCAAACGTGTATTTGTAGGGTGTCTCAAAAACATTACTTTTTATGTGGACAGGTTTATCCCTTTCTCCTAGGTTCCCTTAGGCCAAATATAGTAATAAAACTTAGGTACATGAAAAATCTGAAAACTTTGATTTTACGTGAATTTCGTGTAATTTTTCGACATTATTAACGGTGCACCTTATGTCCTCCTTTCTTAGTATTTTTTCTTGCTGAGTATTGTTTAAATTATAAAAGTGCGTTTTGTTCGGAATTGTTAAATTATTCCAAATTATGGATTTTTCAAAAGTTGGTTTATATTCTGAACGCGTCCAAAATTCCAATTCGTGATATATGCAAAAATGGAAAACGTTCAATTGTTTCGCAAATAGTGCGGGTTTTAATTGAAAATGAACGATCACACAGTTTTAGTTTTAGAGAAGAAGTAATAGTGTTATTTGTAGTTATTGTCGTGTTTAATAATGTTTCTTAAAGGGACAGTAAAGGAAAAATGAAAGGGGGTATAGGCTGAAAGCTAATCACTTTAGTTCTTGATCGCGCCCCATGAAAGTTTTATCTGATGTTCCTGTCTCGAGAAATTGATATAAAACTGTGTTATAATTATACAAAAATTCATATATGTAAAATTTTGAAAATCTGAAACTTAAATCACATGACCAGAAGTATCACCAATGGCAGAGCAGTATACTGGTCACGTGTCTCCGCCTGTATCACGTGACCACTTTACTGCACTGCCATTGGTGGAATTTCTTGTCAAGTAATACGGACGTAAAAATAATATTATGAATGAAATCTATTGAAAATAGAAACAACAAATATAAAAGTAAACCTAAATTACAATTAGCTTTCTCTGGGATATCATCTTTTTCAGATTGATTGCTGTTTTTCTGAGCATGGTCTGTTTAACCCTACTATTTCTATACGAAATTGTATATATATGCATTTTCGTACAAGTTTGAAACAGCTTTGTATCAACTCTCGAGTTAGGAACTTCAGATAGGCGTCTCAAGGGTCTCGATGAAAAGCTAAAGTGATTAGCTTTCAGCCTATACCCCCTTTCATTTTTCCTTTACTGTCCCTTTAAATAGTTTCTTTCATTGATATTTGCTCTCGGCACAGTAAAAGTTACTAAAACGTTGATCTTAATATTTGTGTACAAACCTGACACTCAGTGTCAGGCTTGAAACATATGCACGGTTTGGAACTTTTCCCCCCTGCATTATTTAAGAAACATACAATCTCTATGTTACTCCTAGATTAGTACTGGTAATATGGAAATAAGAAGGAAAAATTGGTTCCTTGATATAGATATAAAATGTTCGCCAAATGTTCCCCCCCCCCTTACACTGAACCTCCTGAACGCCCCTGATGCATAGTATTTTTTTTCTCTACTATAAATCTGTCAATCTCTGTAGTATTTATCTCTTCTCTTCATAATCCTAAATCCATCTCTTTGCTATTTACCCTTTCTACCATTCATATCTACTATCCATCTCTCTTCTATTCGTCTTTGATATCCATTATTCATCTCTGCACCCTATTTCATGCCATTTATTTTTAAGCCGACTCTCTCTCCACTCTTCATCTATCCTATTAATATTACTACTATCTATCTCTAAACTATCCATATTAATTATTTATCTCTACTATCCATATTTCTAAACTCTTTATTACTAATGCCATGCGTAATGCTGCCAAGCCACCACTCACAAAATCTCAAAATTTCTACCTGCCTTCTGTCTTTGTATATTTAAGCTATGTGAATCACAAAATCATCTAATCCTTAGTAGCAATGCAAGTATTGAAAGAAGACTAGTCATTACTGTTGAGAGACTAGTCCTTATTCCTAATTTACGCTTAAGTTGACTTTTTTGACCAGTAGTAAATGCTATCAAAACCAAATTAAAATGATAATCCAATTTATATTCATAACAGAACATCATTAAATTTTGAAATAAAACCAACATTGCCTTGCAGTCATCAGTATTTGCACATCAAGGATAATGGTAGAAAAACCAAGAATTTTAAAAATGAATCATTACGAATAGGCCAATTCATGAACACGAGCTAGGAACTTTTTAATGAACAAAATAAGTCAAACAATTTTTACCCGATCTGTTACAACCATTTTCTCATACTTGGCGAATATTCAAACGTGAGAAATCGGAAGAAGAGGAGAACATGTCCGACTTATTCTGTCCATTGGAAATGTACAGCTCTAGTAATAAAAATCTTAGTTTTAATGATAAGTGTTAGATACGAGAAATCTAATGGTTTTCAGATCCTCCCATGATCTTTCCCCAGAGATCCTCTCCATCATCTTCAGTTGGACTTTCTTCACCCTGTTAAGAAAATTTAGATCAAAGTTTTTATTCTAAAAAATTAATTTAAAATTCAGTTTGGAGTAGTTAATTTTTTTGAAAGAAATCATTCAAACGAGATAATTTAGAATCTAAAGAGCTTTTCAACTTTTAAATCTTTACAACAAACTAATTTATTGTTAATCTTTTTTAAAAGAAAATACAAAGTAATTCAAATATTTCTACCAAAAAGAAGAAGAATTGTGATCAGAATTTTTCATCAATAAAAATTGTTTGGTTGGATCAACCCAGGTCTATGAAATTCAAAACTGTATCCTGAATTTAGAAAAATGGACCGCGTGTTATAAACTGTTTGGAATAACTATTATTTTGGCTCGCAATGGTATAAATCAATTATTAGTGTATTTGTCTAAATGCAATGGCTATTTCAATTTCAATTTCAATTTCGATTTCAATTTCAATTTCATTTTTAATTTGATTGGAAAATTTTTTCTAGAAATAATCTTAATTTAAGCAAAAATAAAAATAAATTTTATTTTATTTCGTATTTTTGCTTTGCGCTTATTATATCTAGAAATAACCATTCCATCAAGACCAGTAAACAAACATTTAATAAAATTACCTAAAATACTTTTATTATTATTTGGTCGCGTGTTAAAAAGATTTTTGATAAAAATTTTCTTTGTATTAGTGTTATAAAAAGTATGTTTTTACCTCAGAATCGCTGACTTCTGGAGGTTGAAACTTTTCCTCAGTGAGCTCTTTCACACTCTTACCCAGAATATTGGCATATTCATCTACACTTCCGATACGTCCTAAAATTTGTTTATATTATCTAAAATGGTTATATCTTTTTACTGACAATTTGGTGTAACCAAACATAGAGCAACATACAGGGGGTGTATATTTTTCTGTTTGAATATGAACTTTCATTGGGTTTAGGCGAAAAAAAGAAAAAAGGAAAAGGGGATCGGAAGGGGAAAAGGACAAAGGGAAGGGGAAAAGGGAAGAGAAAAGGGGGAAGAGGAGAGCGAAAAGGAATCCTCAATTTATATTAAATGTAATGTGAACAATAAATATGCAACTTTTCTTTTCTTTTCTTTTCCTTTTTTAGAAGAATTTTTGGAGGTTTTTCTAAAAAACTAAATTTTGTATGTTTTTGTTATATTTAATAAAAATGTAAATAATTAATTACTGTAATTAATTAAAATTTTAAAAAAACGTACTGTGATCTATCATATAATATCATATTTTTTGTACTTGGCTGAAAGAAACAATGGATTTAAAAAATCCCTGGAAAGAGGCATGTTTTTTCGTGCAACTTACTCTTTATCTAATATATTTAAGTATATACTACCAGGCCCGAAGCTAGAAATTTGAAAAGAAGGGGGCAAAAAAGTTATAAATAGCATACAAAGAAAAGTGAGGGTCGCGCCGCAGGTGAACATTTTTTGACATGAAAAACTCAATAAAAGTCTAAATTAATGAATGATTAGATTTTTAACTTATCACACATTAGAGTTTATTAAAATAAATATGTTGTCTGTCTTCTTTGCCTAAGTGCTATCGAGAAGCTATTTGCATCAAAACAAAAACAAAATGGAGGTATAAAATGAATATAATGATACAGAAATTTTTTTTATCATGAATAGCCAATACTAGTTTTTAAAACTGAGAAAGTAAAAGATGTTAATGCATGTAAAGATCAAGAAAAGCTCAAGCATGAAATCTTCAGTTTTCTCGAAATTAAAATTCGAAAAAACTTCTCTTGCAAGCTTGAGGATGATTACAAACAGCTTCTTCTAAATCTAAATTTTATATATAATTTAAATTTGTTTCCATGTTACTTTTTGATGTACGATGGTTCATTTAAATCATTAATCTAAGAAAATACAAAAAAAAATTATTTAAACTCTATCATTTCACAAGACAGGATTAAAATAAAAATTCCCAAATCATTTATCTCAGAAAGCATTCAATTTTTCTTTAATTTGAGGGAAAAATAATCCTTTACAAATAATATTGGTAACAAATTTTTATGCCAAATTTTTCTCCTTTCTTCCTTCTTTCTTTCATTTTTAGTTTCCTTCTTTAAATTATTTCATTTTCTTCTTTTTTTTCTCTCAGAAAGTGTGCCCCCCCCCCTTCGGAGGTAAAAGGGGGGGGGGGGGGCATTTTTTTATGAACACAATCATTGCAGTATTTCAGCTCAAACATCTAATATCGAAAACGCCTCGTCTTGAGATTTTCAAAATGTGGTCTACTATTTTTGTATCTTCAAAATTGACGGAGATGTTTCAAAATTTAAACAAATTTCTTAGTATCTAATATTTTCGTCAATTTGGAGATACAAGAAAGCTACTTTATGAAAAGCTCGTCATGCGTACAGCCTCGTTTTTTACTTTCTTTGCCATGCATTATATATCAGAAACCAAAGACGACTTTCAAGTCGTTTCTCAATTCCCTTGTTTATTAGGACACCCCGTAGGAAAAAATGATTTCCTGTTTTTAGGAGATTAGCTCGCATTTACTTTAGTATTTCATCACTAGGCTTACAGGGCACTTCGCGCCCATAATCAATCATAAACATTTTCTCTTTGTATACAGTGTAAAATAATCAAAAAAAATTTCGCAGATATAAAAAAAATGTCGTGAACTTTTTTTAAATTTAATGACAATTAAATTTTGTTAGAGGCAAATGTTTGAAATTTTGATCATTCATGAACCTTCCATGGGGTCACGTGATGTCCCACATAAAATTTGGTCATCATCGGTTCAGCCGTTATGACGTTTATTGGATACAAACAAACTAACAAACACCCAAACAATCATACAAACAAACAGACACTCAGACAAACAAAGTATAGATAAAGATAGTTGTATAAGTTCATGGCCAGAATGGTCAGAAGAACTCTAATTCTAATATATTAAGTATATACTGACGATATTCTTCTTAATTTACTATGTGATGTACTTGTAATTTTCCAAGGCTGTTTTCATCCATTTTATAATTTTAATCCAGAAAGAATGAAAGAACTAAATATTAGTTTAGATTGTAAAGTAAAAATAAATGTTTGATATCTTTTTACGTTTTTGAATGTTTGACGGCCTGACCATAAAAAACAAAAAGGCAAAAATGACGGAGAAACAGTAAAAAGGCCGGGGCCCATTTAAGAAAATTATCATTTAACGCAAAGATGCTGTATTTTAGCTGGGTTTACTCTTAGTTTTCTAAAAATGGGAATTTTTTCAGGGGCACCCTATCCTCCATCCTCTGTCTTTCCATAGATTTTTGACCTGTCTCGTATTTTACGACAACAACTAAAATCCTACCTGGCAACGCCTCCACAGATGGAATATCTACAGGTTTGGATGATGTGGATTCTTGAATTGTCTCTTTTTCTTTCCTAAAATATTACATCCGCGGTTTAATAGCATTTCCAAGTTATCCTTTTCAACTTTTACACTTCAATGAAGACTAGAATAGATTGACTTTATGTCGACGGCCTAGATACCTTCATGTCGACAAAATAAATTAAAAAAACATCATGGTTTAACCTTTTAGGATAAAATTTTCCTGCCGGTTTTTCTTAATTAAGTTTCTATATTTTAACAATAACTTAATTTTGTCACTTTTGTCGCATTAAATGTCTCGTTATTATATCTCGTTAACTTATGATCTCTTTTTACGTTTGACAAGGAAACTGGACATAAATCCTAAAAACAATACAATATAACTAATGTAACCTAATATTTCTATGTATATATGAAACCAACGAGATGGTTTGCTTGTTAGAATGAAATGTGAGCTATTTATGTGTCAACATTTGTAACTCTTCAAAAATGCAAGACATCTCCTTAACACCTTGAATTAATTCAAATAAAACGCCTTAAAATTAGAATTGAATATTATTGATAATATGTTTCATACGACATGAAAAAAGTGACCAGTTTATATTTAACAATATTTAGCTTTAAAGATATTCAAAAATGATCATAATGTAATTAGCATATTTTTATGTCTTAATAGTTTGCTGGGTTGCAACACCCCTATTCTCAAGTATACACTTTTTTAATATTTTTATTCTCTAACTATTTCACCACTTATTCCTCTCAGCAATCCTTTTAAAACAAACTCCACCTTCTCCACATTTCTTTTACTTCATTTAACCTATCCATTTCTTCTACTCCACTTTAATTTGTTTTCATGCAATTTTTAACAGGATTACGCTCTTTGTGTCATCTTATGGCTTTACTTTGGAAGGAATCGTTAAGGTAACTTTTGTATTCCAATGTTTCTATTTGGCGTAAAAATATACGTTAACTTCAGCAAATCAAAATTAGAAAAAAAAATTCTTATGGCAAGAAAATATTCGAATACATTCAGGATACATGAATGATGCAGCATATATGCAACAAAATAGTACAGGTGAATCAGATCAAGAAAGTAATAAAAATATTCCGCAGACCATCCAGAATGAGAATTACAAATTGCTTTATCATCAATGTTCAGCGCTGCATATTACCCTTTCAGGGTGGGGGGCTGTGCAGATATTGCAACACAGAAAAAGGGTACAGAAAGAAGATTATTGTAAAAAAGATTACCTGCATTATAAACATGTATGAATTACTGGTCGCTTAAAAATTGTAATTTGAAAAGAATATACAAAAATAAAAATATCCAATTTGACTTTTACTGAAGCTAGAAAGGCAGTCATACGGCTTTACAGTCTTTGCGGCTCTACACTAGTCTTCATGAAATAAAGAAATATCTTTGCATTTGAATATCACGAGAGAAAAGGTACCAGAAACAAGTCAATCATAGCATGGCAGCAAATTGGACCAACTTTAAAATATAAACTTTATGGTAATCAAATCCTGTCCTCAATATTATTATTTTTATGTATATTTTTTGTCTGCAATATAAATATGATTGTTAATAATTATTAATTGCCAATATCCCCCTTACTATTTATAATAAATGCAAAAAATCAAACTTTCTTAGAGTGTTCTTACTTTAGAAAATATCAAAATTACTAACTTTTCTTCTCCGGCTGCCACGGTAACTTTCATCTTTAACTTCGCCTTACTCACCAGCTTGCTCGAAGTAAATACCTAGCAAATATGGGTAAACATTAATATTTATTTTATCCATATATTTGAAGGATAAAACTGAAAATTAGTTGGATCCGCTACATTTTAGCTCCATGGATCCGGATTCGAATCCGCAAAAAATTGCATATCTACGTATCTGTATTCAAGTCATTCAAGTGGCAAAATTTCCACCATAACATCGGCAAAAAATATAAAATAAAATTAAATTATTTGTTATGGTAGAAGTGATTTTATCAGTGAAATTCTCTCCAAAAAACAAGGATTTTCAATAATTCTTGAAACCACCAACACAATATTATTAAAAAGTTAAAATGTCAATAGCCCCCTGTGAATTTTGAGATAACTAAATGCATATTTAGCATATCATGCTGTTTTTCTACGAAGATTACTGATGTTTGGAATTAAAATATAGCAACCTAAGAAGGAGTGACAGCAATTATCAAAAATGTCATAACTAGGAATTTCCCAAATGCCTGGGTATCTGGGAACTTTCCTAAATCCCTATAGGTGTTTGAGGGGATATTTTTATAAGATTTTAGAAATTTCTCCAATGCCCGGGTATTTTGAAAATTTCTCAGATACCCATGCATTTAGGAAATTTCCCAGATACCCAGGCATTTGGGGAATTTCCCAGAAACCCTGGCATTTCGGAAATTTCCCAAATTCATTTAGGTATTTGAGGGTGGTATATTTTCAAGATTTTGGAAATTTCTCAAATGCCTGGGTATTTTGGAAATTTCTCAGATACCCAGGCATTTAGGAAAGTTCCCAGATACCCAGGCATTTGGGAAATTCCTATTTTTGACATTTTTGATAATTGCTGTCACTCCTTCCTAAAGATATTTTAACAAAAAAAAAATTATATGATAAATACAGATGTCCTGTTGTTTAGTTCTTACCTCCTTCATTTTAGCGTCATTCTTCCATCTGTCTTCCCAGGTTTGCTGCTCCAACTCCTTTACAAGGGTTCATATATAATTTTTGAATTTTTGTTGTACATTTTTGTGCCCTGAAAAGGTGTTTAACTACTGAACCAGGTCCCCTCCTGAAAAGGAGTATAACTACTGAAGCCTTCCTTCCCTTAGCTTTCTTTCTTTGCACTGTTCTCTCTTATTCTTTAATTTCTCCATTTTTTCCCACAAACCCCAAAAGAGCTCATATTTTTTTGTCCCCCCGCCCGGGGGAAACCACAGCTCCTTAAATAGCTTTCCTTAGCGATGAAATCGCACATGGTAAATAGTCATATGGAAGATTTTCTATCTCATAAGAAAAAAATTCAGTACATCCGGAACTTGACATTTATATAAACCAAACAGAAGCATAGCAAGTTGGGTTTGAAAATAATATAGCTATGATAAAATACCTGTTGCGCATCTACCTCCTCTTTACATGGGTTATTTGGATCTCCTCTCTTTCTACTCTTTATCAAAGCCACCTCGGCTATCTTCCTTTTCATAGCCTCCTCGCGAGCTTTAATCTGGACGGCTTGTTTACTCTCATCCCCCCGTTTTTCTTCCATTGCTTTCAGTGCAGCTTCATCCTCTTCTATTTCTTTCTGCCTTTTCAATCTGTCCTCCTTTAGCGGATCCTCAACCTTATCCTTGATGGAAAAAAATTTATACAGGTTTTTAAAATTATAAAGCTAAATCAATAATCATGACTATTTCTAAGAGAACACTTTCTTAATTGATTGTGGACATAAAGTTGTCTTTGACCTTAGAAATACTTTGCGGCATTCATTTCGAATCTTAATTTTAGCAATATTTTTAATGAAACAATCAACAAAAAATATCCCTAACCCTGGCACTGCAGTCTTGTTTGGAAAAACTTGTTAAATAAACTGCCATGTTGGGAACGCAGTTTAATTATCTTATTATTCAAAAACACTAAACCATCGACCCAGTGGCAAGTTTTGCACAAAGTGCTTGGTCAAATGCCTCCTTGACTTTAACACTCCTGTATGGTCTTCCTGGACTGAATCAGATAAAAAACCTTAGGACTAAATAGAAAAACGACAATGTAATAATGAACTAACATGGTTTCTGACTTAACTAACTTGCAACCTATTCAGGGAAATTAAAAAAGTTAAAACCTCCAATCTTAAGAGGATCAGCGTTTTAAGCTTGATATAATCCAAGTTACAAAATCATAAAATGTCAAGACAAGAGTCAAACCAGAAATTACAAGAATATTCATTAAATCGGCCATATTTTAATAAAAAGAATTGACAGTTAGACAAATTTAACCGAGAATGGTTAAAAAAGGCACAAAAAATGGCGGTAAAACCAGTAAAATGGCTGGTTCATTTAGGAAAATTAGTTTTAAATGCTAAAATATCATGTTTGAGCTAGTTTTACCCAATTTCTTCCTAAAACTGAAACTCCCACTACACCCCCTCAGGGGTCCTTCAAGTAATTCAAGAAATTTAACTAAAATAATAAAGGGTTTATATTTTTCTGAAAACCATACAAATTCTATAAAAGTCATCATTTCCCATCACATGATTTAATCCAGAAAAAAATTAAAAATTAATTAATTCAAATTAGAACTTAATAAAAAAGGGAAGTTCTTTAATTTCAATCAACTTCCCTAAAAAACCGAAAAATAAAGGGGAGTGGAGATGGCATGTTTACCAACTCAACCAGCCCCTTTGTTTACCTTATCTTCTCCTTCAATTGCCTCTTTGTATGATGTATAAAAAGGATTGTTTTCATCTTCTGACTGAGCCTTCTCGGCTTCCTCTTCTTCTGTTGCATCTTCTTCATCTGGTTGACTTCGCAGGACAGATGATGCTTGAAATGCTTGCATTCTCCGTAATCTTTCAGCTCTGATCTTTTCCTGTTTAGTTTTTTCCTTCGACTCAACTTTTTCTCGTTTATCTCTCAGCTCAATATCTTCCAATGTCTCGGGACCTTCATCAGCATCCTGGGCTAACTCTTTATCCCAAACATCTTTCCGCATCACCAACTTATAGTCCTCCGGGTGCTCAGTAGCCGTAAAACTCTTAGCATAGCTCTTTAAGGCTACCTTGGCCAGCCTTTCTTCTTTATCCTTTTCGTCCTCCGAGGATGAAAGCTCCAACTCAATTTCACCCTCGCTGCCACTCGATATCAGCTGTTCATTATCACTGTCATCCTTAATATAGACAGTTTCCTTTATCTTCCTCTTCTTCCTTTCACTCAGATATTTTTTTTTCTCAATTCGAGTCATCTTGTTCCATTCTTCCCTTGTCACCTTTTTAAAATTGTCCCTTTTTTTACTTGGTTCTCCCTTCTCCTCCTCCATTTCTTGACTTTTCCCATCTGAGATGATCTCTTGTTTTTCCTCATTCTGAATCTGATCAGTTTCCTCATCCGAGTGTGAATAGTATCCATCATGTTTCTCAAATACTCTTCGTGGTGCTTTAACAAAGTTAGGCTTATGATCTTTAATCTGTTCTTCCATGTCAGGAGCCTCAAAATCGTATTTTTTAAGAGACCAGGAATTATCCTCTCCATCTCCTCTGCCTCTACCTTTACCTCCACGGCCTCTAGCCCGGGCCCTTCCTCGACCGGACACTTCTGCGGCAGCTTCAAGAGCTGGGCTATCATCAGAGACCATTTTGTTACTAATCTTATTTCTCAAGTTCTTCATCTTTTGAAGAAGAGCCTTATGATCATCCTCACGGTCAATTTCATCTTCGACATCACTATCTACCTCCTCAACTTCACCGTCTTCGACATCACTACCACCCTCAACCTTCTTTTTTGGTCGTATTTTTCCTAGTTTGATCTCGTCGTCTTTCCTTTTTTTGTCTGAAACATTCTCTCTTTGATATGGTTTTCTTACTGTTGATTGATCTTCTTTCCTCTCCTCAATTTCATCATTTTCACTTATTCCAGCGGTTTCGCCATCTTTTTTTCTGTATCTTCGCAACTTGCCTTCTTCATCCTTATCTTCAACTTCCCCTTCATCCTCACGCTCTATGCGTTTTCTAGACATTTTGGTTTTATGGTGGTTTTCGAGCTCTTCCTTCTCCTTCTCCTCTGCTTCTTTCATTTGCCTAATTTTCGAAAACAGTTTTTCTTTATCTCTATTCTTCTTCATTTCCTCTTTCCTTTTGTGATCTTCAATCATTTTTTCACGCTCTTTCTCAAGAATTTTTCTTCGTTCTTCCTGTTCCTTTTCGATGAGAGCCTTTCTTCTTTTAGTAACCTCCTCGGTCAATATTTCCTTCTCCAACCTTTCCTTATCGAGCTGCTCTTTTCTCATCTGCTCCTCGTACATAAATAGGGCTTCCTGCTCCTTCCTAGACTTAATCTCATCCTGAATCAGCTTTTTGTTTTCAGAGAGCATTAACATCTCTCTTGCTTTGTTCATTGCCTTGTTCTCACTGTTGAACACTCGATCGTCAGAGGGCTTTACAGTTTCAACCTTTTCTTTCTTCTCGTCATTTTCCTCATTCTTCTCTATTTTATTCTTTTCTTCTCCATCACTATCATCATCTCTCTTCCTAACATTTCTTTTTTCTACCAATGTTGGAAGTTTCTCCATCTTTTCTTCTTTTCCTTGTTCCTTTTTCTTTGCCTCGTCCAGAGCTTCTTCAATAGCCAGAGTTTCCGCTTCTCCCTCCTCTTTTCCGGCTTTCATCAACAATGCTTTAATAGCCCTTAACCGTAAATAATAAAAAAGGGTGTCAACGCATTTTTTTAAAGTGGACTAAGGGAGACACTTTTGAATTAGATAACCGGCTAAGCCTAAGATTCTTAAGCTTAGCAAGTATCGCAGGGGAAGAACTGATGTTCGAAACCATTCCCAGGCTTAGCCAGATATCCAACACAGAAGTTTCGCCCTCTAATTATTTCCGTAATCTTTTCATACCGTGCTCTCATTTCCAACTCTAACAGCTCCATCAGAGTTCTTCCCTGCTCAGTATCCTCTTCTAAGACAAACATTAGGATTTAAATAATAAAAACCATAAACAAAATGGATTGTCAAAAATCCCAAAATTATTTAATAGAGCTTGTTTCCAAAAAAATACTTATATAAATAAAAATTAAACCAGTGCAGTGCTTGAGATATTTTGAAGTGATTATTTTTTGTTACAATTCCTTCTTAAGCTTTATTTGTCATATTCACTACCAGAAAATAAAAATCGAATGGAAAGTGTTCTATTTTAACGATTTGAAGGGTAAAAACCAATAACTTCAAAAAGAAAGGTTGGTTGCGGGGATGAATTTGATATCTAGCATGCACATGAGTATGAAGGCTTTTGACTAGTATGTCTTTCTCATTTCACTGTGGCATATATTAAAAAAAAATTTAACAAACTCAAAAACGGGGCTTCATTTTAGAGAGCTCAACACTCCTGTAATGCGGAAAGAGACGTTCGATTCCATAAAAGACTACGGAATCCAACCAAAAAAATGGCAAATGTTTGGCTTAAAGAGAACTTTCTGGCTATTCTCAAAGCAAAGTTGCCTAGAGAAAGTGTTCAAAATATATTCAAAAACGTTAGAAACCCTGGATAAAAAATTAGTTTTGTCGGCATTTATCCCCTATGTCAACTTTAGTTTGATGTAGATAAAAATGGGAGTATAATTGATAAAGAACACTAATGAGTGATATGAATTTAAAAAATCTTATTCAAAACTATAGCTTAATACATTTTTAAACTTTTTATTTATCGTTTTTAGCTAAATGAATGAAAATTTACGTTGTATTTTTCGTTTACCCCCTTTACATTCATATTATATATACAGGGGCGCACTGGAGGTTTAGCCTAAAGGGGGGTGAACTATTTGCGCGCTTAAACGCGCTGATTTATTTGGTTCACCCCCTATCGGTCGTTGTTCACCGCACTAAGAACCTTCAAATACTATCCTCAACCAAATCACGGTTGGGGGGTGTTTTTCACCCCCCCCCCCGGTGTAGTTTTTTTCTAAATAACTTAAAAACGGCTGACAATAGAACGCTAAACCTTCTTCACTTTTTAAACTTCAGGGTGGCCAAAACTTTTTTGAACCCATCCGTACAAAAATCCGTACATTTTCAGAAGAAATCCGTACAATCCGTACAATTTTCGAAAAACAATCCGTACAATCCGTACAATTTTTTAAAAAAAAATCAATCCGTACAATCCGTACAATCCGTACATTTTGGCCACCCTGAAACTTTATAGTTGTGAACAAATTTTGCCAAAATTTTTTTTATGCAGAGTAGGGTGGAGGACAGTCAAACGGCGGGTCGGCGTTTCAAAAAAATCAGAAATGGTTAATATTTTTTTATCAATTAAGGTACAGGGCTAATATTTATATATTTGAAAAGGATGTATAATAACATGCGTCACATGTTAATATTTGTTAAAAGTAAAAATTATTTATTTTTTAACGTTTTTTGGACGAACTTTTTGAACTTTTTTAAAATCCTCCTTTGCACCCTAACCATTAAAGATAGAGGTATATTTTTTTACTAGGGACTGTATCACACTACCTTATCTCATCTCTAATGGCAAATGCCAAAATCATATGGGGAGACAAAAAGCCCAACCGGGATATGGTTAAAAGTAAAAAAAATCTTACAAGAAAGTGTTCCCAACAGGAGTGCACCCCCTTTTCAAAAACATTGCTCACCCTTTAAATAATCTGTTCCCACTGGGCCAGCTCCCCCAAATTTCAAACCCTGCTCCCCTTTTTCCCAACCCTGTGAACTTTATTTAATTAAATAATACTCTCCCTTACTCTGGGTCAAACATCTTAAACTCAGATATGGATTTTAAATAGAACTCCTATAATAAGATTAAGTTCTAATGAAAGAATTTGAGAAATTATCATAAAATGGAGAAATTGTCAATTGATAAGACAAGAATATAAATGTAAGTTTAATATATTAGGCCTCTAGGGGGGAAGGGGCATGTCAAGGGGGTTCACAAGGTTGTCAGCCCCCCCCCCCCCCCCCACCCCAAGCACACCTCTGCAAACATGCATTCTAAGAGTGATCGATTTTGGACTTTTTCGGAAATCAGCCATAACCGCCCACCAGAGGTTCATAGTAAACATATTGAATAGGCTGTAAACCAAATTTGAATTTTCCGATAGTCCACAGAACTAAATTAAAAATTCAGCAAAAGTTTTTTAACAGATTCGGAAGCAATTAAAAAATATTAAAAACAATTAACAAAATATAATTTTTTTAAATATTAAAATTGAAAAGATTAAGATTAAATAACAATCCGAAAACAACTTTTTACATATTATTTTTCTTTGTTTGAAGTTTTGAATTTTAATAAGTTTTCGTGCTCTGGTGAGCGGTTGGTTGATTTTAAAAAAAGTTCAAATTCGATCACCCCTAATAATACTTAGCACACACACCCATTAATGCAAAAATTATAGATTTTCAAGAGAGTTAAAAAAAACATTCTTACCTTTTTCATTTTCCTCTTTCTTGCTCCTTCCATGCTCTGTGGTTTTACTAGTGGATAAAATAACCTTCTTAACTGGCAACTGATCTTCATTCTTTTTGCCGAATGCAATCCTGTTTATTAAAAATTTTAGTGGGCGAAGGATTACAGTAAAATACAATCCAGAAAGGTATTTACAGTAATTTAAACTATTAACAACCTTTATGTGCAGGGCGGGGTTGCATTTTTGTTATTTTTACTTTCTAGTCGCCATAAAGCCATACAATAAAAGAAAAATCAGAACAGAAGATTCTCGAAATTTCCCGTTTGTGTGTGTGTGGGGGGGGGGGGGATAAGACTGACATAACTCAAATTGACAGTAATAATACACGGTCAGAATAATTACTTTCTATCTATAATTTTCAGGGACTTTCAGGATTTCTGTGTATATATACAATAACATAGCTTTGGAGTTTTATAATGCCAACAACTGGAAAATGGAGAGCAAATAAAAACTTACTTGTGAGATCTCTTCATCGGGCCTTTTAATTCGTTCTTCATGATACTCTAAAATATTTTAGAACGCATTATTATTTATGCATAATGTTTAAATTGGAAACCCTACCTGGAAAGCATCCTCACCAGAATCGGAGTCTCCAGGTTTTGAACCATTTTCACCCTGAAGAAAATAACGTAAAAAAAGTCTCTAGGGAACGTTAAACACTAAAACATTACTGTGGAATCTATTTTGATCAAAAGCAATCAATTACCAACCTCGGAGTCTGAATCTGATCCAGAACTTTCCAACATCTCCTGGCCCGCTAAAACATGCTGCAATCTTCGTTTACTCATTCCGATCTTATCAAAAATCAGTTTAATAGCAGCATTAATAGCAGCAGTTTCGTATATCCGATTATCAAAAGACGAGAAAATAAAAGTTATTTAACTTATTCAGAAGAAAACAAATATTTCTAGTATCAATGAATCGAGTTTGAATTTGGTAAGAATTTGTTGTCGACATTTTATAAAAATTTCCAAATTAAAATATGTAGCTAAAGATTTGATAAACTTTTCCTTTACAAGATGAAGATAGAAATAGAAATCAAAAATCAACATTAGTTTCATTATAACCTGACCCATATCAAAAACTTTTGCCTAATATCTTGGCTAACAAAAAAAGTACCGACACCAACACGATCAGGGGATTTCCATGCGATCTTTAAGAAACAAAACATCATTTGAAGTGAATTTCCATTAAACTTTTGAGCATTTTTTCTACAGGGTGTCCCACATCATATTGGATCGTGTTTAATGTTTGTAGCTTCAAATTACGATTTCCGGGACTAATCAGAAAATCTTAAAAGAACGGATCATTTAAAAAATTGTATGGTGCTAATATAAAAATTTGCAATCTGATATATTAACAATGAGGAGGATATCGTTTGTTCTTCATTTTAAGTCATGTTAAATTCTAACAATTTCTTACATTGCCTCTACAACATATATCCGCAAGTTTCTATTGCAGAGAAACCACATCATAAACTAATCAATTTCCAGCTATAAAAATAAGGATATCTTTCATCTTTGATCTTTGATTAGACTAAGACTTAAAAGGATTCAATTGAGAATCGGACATGCCACTCTATAAACAGAGGGTTACTTGAAATTACGTCTCCAGTCCCTTTACAATTAAAAATCAGTTATATCTACAATTTTACATATGCTCGTCAATTAATTGTAAAAAAGCATATGCTCTATCCAAAGTAAATAAAAAGTACCAACTGATCTAGACAGATAGTCTTTATATCATCTTCATCAAGATCCACAAGGGCAGGAGGGAGCATAGATCTTAGTTTAGAACCATTAATGGTTTTGAACACCTTAACATACATTAATAGATAAAAATGTTAGATGTTGGGAGGTTTATTTCAGGGCTAACACTACAGTGGTATATATTTGGAGAATGTAGAACTAGGGGGCAGGGAACGGAAGCGGGCGGGTGGGAACTATTCTACGAAATATATGGTCTACCTACAAAAACTATTTTTGCAGATTTGGAAAACAACAAAAAAGACAATTACGTTTACTGGCTTTCCCCCCCCTCTTTTTCATACTTTAACCCCAAAAAATTTGGCGCCATAATTTCTAACCTAATAGTAACATTTTTTTAACATAATACAGAAATCGGGATGATCTCGTTTCTATTTAAATAAAGAGGATTTTAAGTTCTTATGTTTTCAAAGAATTAAGAATCTCACCTGGTTTATCATTTCATCCCTGTCATTGATGTAGTGGGATATAGGAAAAATCTCCTGCAATATAAATTTGTAAGAAAACACAATCTCAATGATCAATGATCAAAAATATGGAAAAATGTAGCAACTGAACTGCCAACAATAGTTAAGTTGGCATCAAAACATCTAAATGCCGTCCATTTGTCCGTATTTGTTAATGACATTTCAAATACTATTTCACTAAAGGCTAAAAAAATTAGTTTTTTAAAACTCTGATTAGTATCTGAAAAAAAGGATTTTTAAGTATTCTTAATTTATTTTTAATTCCTCTGATGCAAAATAAGAGGAAGGGCCTGCTATAGATACTCAGACATCAATCCTTGCGATTTCTCTTCATGGGGTTAATCCCAAGAGTTCACCCTCAAACCAAGTAAAAATTGGACCAGCTAGAACAAACCATCAGAAGAAAGGTGGCAGCCTTGAAGCCAATAATGGCGGCAGGCGCAGCGATATAGAGTAATTAACATTTTCTTTCGTAAAAAAACATAATGTGAGCTATGTTGCTAAAACTGTCAGATTTAATATTTGTATTAATGTTTTAAAGGTTAAATGTTCATTTTGTTCATTGGAGAGAAAAAAATGTTTGCATCTGAGGAATTCCAAAACTTTAAACTTGAATAAAATAGGCTTTAAGTTGCTCTAGTTTACACCTTTTGATCAGAAGTTTTTAGTAGACATAAAAAATGTCCAAACTCGTCAATATTGGTCCAATATTGAGGCTTTAGCCACCACTACGGTTTTTTTGTGACATCCTGTATATCGTATATAAAAGTAGTAATCTCTGTTTGTCTCAAAAGTCTGGTTGTGGTGTCACAGTCTACTTGAACAACAATTATGTTAAACGAATTATCCCAATGCTTCTGTTACTGGATATTGTAACTTAAGAGCTATCATCAAAACCAGAAAACACGCTATTTTGAGAAAAGTTGATTAATTGATTGAAATTCAGGTTTATTTGGTCTTTCATTCATTCTCGCTTTAAAAGTGTACTTGATAATAAAAACTCAAAAACACACCGAAATATATATATTTACATACATTTACTGGTTGAGCCTCTGATTTCAGGGTTAGGTTTGAATGGATTCAATTGAATCCTGAATGTTGAATATTGTTTATAAACATGTTTAACTGAACTAAACAAGTTGAACAGCTGACGTGCGATTGAATTGACAACATTTCTCTCACCTTGTCTAAATCCATATCGCTTCCATCGCTGTCACTTGAACTAGAACTTTCTGACCTAAAATATTTACAAATTCTGAGTCAGACAGACAATAGTATAAACATAGACAACAAAATATCTAGTTTTAAATTACTTGTATTTAGCTCGCTTCTTTTCTTTCTCTCTTTCCACATCCTTTGCTTTTTTCCTTCTCTTTTCTTTTTTCTTTAACTCCTTTAAGAACTTCTTGTCAACTTTAGCCTTCTTCTCAGATTTTGAAGATGATGCCGGCATTTTATCTTTACCTTTACACCTTCAAAAATATTTCAATTATCTGAAATATAATTTTGAATTATTAGATGCGTTAAGGATAAATAGTGAACGACGAGATGTTTGAGTTCAACATTGTCAATTAATACTGAACTAAAAAATGCACGGATATTATAACAATTCAACTACCTATAACAAAATTAATTTTTATCTAACGTTCAAACATTTTAAAATCCCCAATTCATTTATGTTATCAATTCAAACTTTAAGAAACAAAATTTTTTTGGGATATTGATATGAACAAACTTGGAGTTTTGAAAACCCTTTTAAGTATTTGCGAAGACCGAAAAAAATTGTTGTGGTTAGTAAATATTTTGGAGGATTTTTAAATTTGGAAAATTATAAATTTCTAGAGCCTCGAGGAAAGGTGGAAGAACTCATGAAAAAATATGTAGACCTTTTCAGTAAAATGGGTAATAAATCAAGGCTTCATGTATGAAAAAGTTACTGCGACAACTAAAATTGAGTCAATACAGTATGCCTGAGTAAAAACAGTGTTCAGTGTTGTCTACAATTAGAGACTATTAACATTTTACTTTTAGGCGTATAAACAAATAAAAACAGTCGAAACTTTGTGTGAAAAAGCGCTTATCTAAAAAGCTTTATATTGATATCTAGCTAACATTTATGGATTAAGCACTTATTAATCTATAAATGTTAGCTATCCCTGCTGGATTCGACAGCGGGATATCCAAGAGGAAACAATTTATTCCTTCCGACGAGAAGATACGAGATATCTGCTTGAGTTATGACTTAACTTTAAGTCACTAACCATTCATCAAAGGAGGCACGGTATTAAATTCAAGCCATAAAAACGAGGTTTAAAAAAATAAAGTTACACACATATTTCCATTCATTCATAACTTGAATGTACGAAGAGATCATCTACAACCAGGATTTTTAGACAGCAAAACTAGTAAATGTAAAAGTGTAATTGCATCAGGATTCATGATCATTGCATTGACTATAAAGGATTAAAAATAAAACCTTTTATTTAGAATAGAAAGGCGAGCCGATTTTTCAATTGATCTGATCTGGACAATTATTGTGACAAAATTTGCGAATGTGAAAAAAATAATACGGTGTTGAAAAAAAATGTGCTAGGTTATTTACATGACATTAATTTATAGGTTGTGTATGAAAACGGCCAAAACTGCGTGTAAGTCCCCCCCCCTTTTTATCCTTAAAATTTATTAGCATTTTATTAATCTTCAATAGCGATTTCTAAATTTGAATGTTTTTATGTTTATGTTTTTTCGAAGGAGATATAATGACCTAAAAGTAAAAACAAGGAGCTTTTTTCGATATGGTTCTGTCTGATACTAATTATTCCAACTAGACTATTAAATAGGGACACAGGTGACTCAAAAGCATCCTGGAAAAAATAATTGTCCCTTATAAGATTAAATTTACAAGACTAGTTTAAGAGAAAGGATGTGATCTAGGAGTATGTGTAGGGGTAGCTGCCAGGCTACTGGCTCCACTAGCAAGGGGAGTTGAATCTAACGATATACTAGGAGTTGGGGTTACATCATCCCCTGAATCCGGAGAATCTCGCATTGACAAATCTTCACAGGACGCCCGGGGCGCGAAAACTGCCAGTCCAGGAGTATTTCTACCTACTAGATCCGTCCTGTCCCCCTTGTAGTCGGATAGCTCCTGCGTTCTGTCACCGACCTGGTAGGCACAAATTGTAGCATGATCCAGCTTACCAGGAACCAGGGCTAACTTTTCACAAACCTTCCGACGTCGGAGTTTCTGGTCCTAGAAAAAAAGATGTATATGCAAAAGTGTTTAAGAATAAAAGAATAGATTGTATATGATAAATCTTATCACATTATTAATTAATGAACAATGCAGTGTGGAGGGCGGGTGGGGGATACATAAGGGTATTCTGTGTACCTGCATATCTTGGTCATGTTCCGGATACAATTCCGGATCTTCTAATATTTTCCTCTTTGCTGTAGTGAGCCGTTGACAAAAATCCAACATTCGCTGACACAGCTCAGCAGCACTGTTTACTCTACCACAGCCTTAAATTTATTATTATTATTATTATTATTATTATTATTATTATTATTATTATTATTATCATTATCGCACTTAGGTCCTACTCACCAGGACAGGAAAAAGTTATCCAATGTTAGGGTATAACACTTAAGAATAATGGATTCATAGTGCAAGCAAGACCAACGAACAATGAATATGTTAGGATAAAGCATTACAATTAGGTGACTAAACGTCAAAACACCTGAACCGATCGGGCCCAAATTTTGTGTGGGACCACATATGACCCCAGGGAAGGTTAATAGAATTTTAAAAATTTGCCTCTAAAAAATTACAATTTTCGTAAATTTTGAAAGGAAATTCTTTGTTATAGTTTTATAATATATGAAGAGAAAATGCTCACAAATAGAGCAATTAGAAATGAAATAAAAGATGGACACGAAGCGCCCTGAAAGCCTAGCTTTATGATAGTAAAAATGCTGTTCATAATCTATACAGAATATGCAAGATGTTTCTTTACTTATTTATATAGAAACTATTCAATCTTTACGGCTCAATTTCTAATTTTCTTTATTTATACTTTACGTTCATCTATTTGCCGACCTATTTTGTTCTAAATCGTCCATAGAGATAAGCTAGAAAAATAACGTCGTAGTAAAAGTTGAGTTTTGAGATAATGCAGAGTTTAATTTACTAATACATGTAGATATTCAAAATTTATCACTAGACAATGATTTTAAAAAAAAACCTGAATTAAGTATTGAGTTGGAACCCCAGTCATGGTTAAGAATATCTTCTATCCTCAGCAGCGTCAGTTCGTGTCTCTGGAATCCTTCAACTGTTGGTAAAAAATCTGAGTCAGATACTCGTCTACTCCGGGGTATATTTGGGCCACTCTAGAAACAGCAAAGCTTAAATTTCAAACCTAATAGTTGGATCTCAAGCGTTTATATTGAATTAAAAAATATTTTAGGATAAGTAACAATTCTGTAACTCAAATTCAATTCGGTATTTTGAATGCGGATTATTTTTCTTCTATTAACTGGTTGCTTACCTTGAGTGAGCTAGATCTCTCAGGCTTCTTAGGTATACAAAACTTGCCCACTACAGGGTCAAAATTATCAGATATTCCATCACTAGTTAAAAAGACAATATCCCCAGGAAGAACCTAAAGATAAACTGTATTTTTTCCCTAAATAATTAATAAATAACTAAAAAATAACACCAAGTGAGTAAATATTTACCTCTGTTATACTACAAGTAAGATTTGATAACTCAGGATTCAATCCATCTACAGGACCCAAAGCTCCTATAAAAAAATTAAAATAATCCGGACAATGCATTTAAATTCTTGCTCTTAGTCTACCATTCTACACTAAGCAACATTTGCCAAAGTTTACAAAATTTTTATGGCTGAAGGACTTGGAAATTATGTTGCTTCTAACCCCTTGTTTTGAGCATTATTGCAATTCTGTGACAAATAATAAAATTTGGATTCATTAGAATGGCACTTTTTAATAAAAAAAACTTTTTAAATATAAAATAAATATTTAGTTTATGGAACAGAAAAAAAACATTTCTTTATTTAAGCCAGGTTTTTCATCATATTTTACAGATCACTGAAAATAAAAGATTAATGTTAGATAACAAGTCGATATGTCAAACCCCTTCTTCTCCAAAACGGCTACTCATCAGATTTGTCTAAAACCTGTTTTGAAATCAGCTAACCCTATATTTTCCATTTCCAAGAAAACTGTCGGGGCAATTTTTAATAAAAGCTAAAACCTAAACTTGTCATGTGTGCCCGGAAACCTCTGCAGAAGAGAAGTGAATATTTTTACAATTACTTACCTAATGCATCTCTCATATCTCTGTTTGCCGTTATATCATGACTACCTTGGGTAACCTCTCGAACCTCCCCCTTTACAAAACACAGATATTATTAGTCAATGAATTGAATCATAAATATCAAATATTTACGTGCTGTTAAGCACATTTAAACAAAAAAAATCTTTAATTTGTATGAATAATAAAAGGTAGAAATTATCTCTTAACTTTTCTTCAAAAAAAAAACCCTTCATCTTTTCTGTTTTAAATAAACAATGACATGGCAATTAAATCACACATAAGGTATTCTTTTATAATTTTTAAGTTTTTTCAAAGCTTTGTCAGCTGGGGTTCTTTAGGTTTTAGGTGTTAGTTTGTACTGAAGGTAATTTTATTTAACGGTAAGAAATCTAAACCTTATAGGAATTTAAACCCATGCATCACGATGGCGGTCTGGGGATTCAACATTGGGGATCTTTTCAAGATCAATTCTTTATTATTTATATAAAATGTACAAACGAACATTTGAGTAGACGTAGGCCAAGCTATCCCCAACATTGCATACACAAAAATGGAACCGGTTTCCCTCTGTGGGCAGTAGAATTGCTGCTGTCAGGGTAGTTAACATTGCATCCTAGAACAAAACATTCACATTCAAAATCAAAAAAAAATAATATCATGGACAATTCAGCTACTACCTGTTCTAGAATTAAACAATGAGCTGCGTGGAAGCTTCTCAGTAAAATTTGAAAAACATCCTGGGTGCTTAGACTACGGCTTCTGAAAAAAACGTCCAGTAAAATGTTTTCTAACATACATGGTTATTTCTAAAACCCAACCTGGTAACTCCGAATAATGCTGTGTTCAGGTATTCCATAGCTCCGTAAACTGCTGCACGGGATGCAAGAGCAGCTTTAGGTCCCCAGTTAACCCCGTCCCCTAGAACCTATAGAGTACAGTATTTATTTTTAAGCACGAATTCTATGAGGCTGTGAGATACACAATTAGTATCATAAGTAAATTCTGATACTTAAAATTTGTTTTTAAAAAGCTTATTTGTACACGTTATTAATTTAAGTTATCATTAATCAAAAGTTTTCACAAAAAAATCGAATTTCTGGAAATTTAACAACAAAAAAGCCATGAACGTTGGGCATACTAACCAAAATTGCTGAATTTTTCCTGGCCACCACAGCGAATGTATCAGCGATAGGGTGTCCAGCCTGCTCATTAGTTGCAGGGTTGCGTTCGTACAAACTATCCGATACGCCGTAAGCGGAACCATTAGGACGGTTCCAGTGTCTGACTCCAGCTATACTTGTTGATATGTCATCCTTAATGTTAAATGTTGTTTCATGCTGTAAATTTTTAGCGCAATAATTTTTAGCATAAATGAAAAGTATTAAAATAGTTCAGTTTAAAACAGTCATTTTGGACATTTTTTGTTTAAGTGTAAAATCGTAAAATCCTCAGTTCAACCTGGCATAATATTTGACATTTTGCAATATCTCCGCAAATAATGACAGTAGACGGTGCTAATTTTTCAAGTACACTAGTCTTTTGACACAGGAACCATCTATTAAAATGATATTTTCAATGTCTTCGGTCGGAAACTAATTATGAGAACCCATTTAAACTAATTAACAAATGAAAAACCCCAAAGTCTCAATTTTTCCTTTATATTAGCAGAAGCTCCAAACTCATAGATGTTACTTCTACTTCCTAATGAACACCACTTTTCACTAATCACCATTGCAATGAATTAAAAATTACTTATATATGGAAAATGGCCGCAAAAAAATGAATTTTTATTTTTATATTTGTAATTTTATGATAAATATTCGTATATTTAATGACGTTTAAAGATTTTTTTAAAGTTTAAAAATTACACTGAAAGTTTGACTGTGAAAGCTAGTAATATGTATTAATGAAAAATTAAGTACGCTGGGTCTAAGGAGGGGGCACTGGGGCACTCTATAATGTCCCTGCTAGAAACGATAATGTGACTGAAAAAAGACAGTTTTCTTCACTTATTTTTGGTTTTTAAATATTTACCTTGAGATCAAGCGCAAGCTTTGCTAAAATATCTTTATGCTGTTCCAATTGAGTATTCTGCGAACAAATATTGCTTTCAACCTAGGAAAATAAAGATAAAAGTGCGAATAAATATAAAATAAACATGAGACTAAAAAGAAATGCCACATATTCACCATCCAAGCACTCTCTTCCATAGAGAATGTTGAAACCTCTCATATCTTTAGTAAACTCGCAGAACTTCCTTGCTTTTGGGGGAATAGAAGAATGGGGGATTGGGGGAAAGCGATATAAAACAATTTATTTACAGTACTTGGATGAACTTAGATATTAGTGAAGAGTGATATACATTTATTTCGTTTTATTTTAATAAATAAATAAATTTAAGTTTAACTTTACTCAATGACCTACCGATTCAGAATGAACATGAAATGGAATCCATGTAAAATACTATTTTAATTTTCTACAGTTTTCTCTTTATAGAACTCTAAAATGTGATTTCCAAGAGTTCTGATTTTTTTGTAGGTAATCTACTTCTATACTGTCCCTGTCTGTCTGTCTGTCTGTCTGTCTGTCTGTCTGTCTGTCTGTCTGTCTGTCTGTCTGTCTGTCTGTCTGTCTCTCTGTCTCTCTGTTAGTTTGTTTAATTGGTATCTAACAAAAGTCAAAACGTTTGAACTGATCCGGCCTAAATCTTTTGTGTAGCCTCAAATGGCCCCCAGACCCAAAGAAGGTTTAAATATTGTCAGAATTATAAAAATTTTCTATAGAAATTTAATTAAGAAGTAAAAATGCCGCAGATAGAGCAACCATTAAATGTAAGAATCCAAGATGGGCGCGAAGCGCGCTGGAAGCCTTGTAGGCAAAGTTTTAATTGATCTTTGGATCTTAATCAAGGTGAAGAGTTAAAAGATGATTTTAGCAGAAGAATAACTTTTTCATGCTTGGCAGGCCAAGAAATTGAAGAATCCATATACCTTTGTAGATTGTAGCTCCGGGTAGTCCTTGTTTATTTTTGAACAGTTTTCTTTCCGACTAGATACCAGATCACCTTGATAAATATCGTGAGCTCTACAATTAATACAGCATCACTGAGTTGATAAGTAAAAAAATCTTATTCCTATCGAAAAAAATCGTATGCTGCCCCTATTTACAATAGAAAAAAGTTAAAAATGTCACCGTTTTAAATTATCTAAAATTCTTGTCTACTTTTATTTTCGTTTTCCAGTAAAATAATACCTGTACTACTGATTGAAGACCTATTTGTAGTATGATTAAATCTTGACTTGTCCTCTTGACTTGGAGATATATTAGATTTCTCAAAATTAATCCTAGAACTCGGATTGTACATTTTAGTGGCTGTGGTAGATTCATTTTCATTATGATGTGAACTCGATTCCAAATCTGTCTGCGAACTAAGAGAACGTGTTGCACTGATTGTATGAAGTTTAACTGTGCTGGACAGGCATATAAATATTCTAAATGCTAGGATCTAAATATGTTTACCTAAAAGTGATGGTTTATTTTCCTATCATATTTAGTTTTGTGAGATGTTGTAAAAATTCGAAGCATATTGGCATTGCTACGCTTGTCCATTATTCATTGGCAGGAACAAAATTAAGAAGAAAAGAAAAATAGTAGTTTTCCGCGATAAATTTTAAAACTCGTACAATCTGTACATTTTCACTACCCTGCAAACGAGGTGAAAAGGGAGAAATGAAAAGAAAGAAATAAACTCATAAAGACAACATTTGTCAGTGTTTCCTGCTTCAATTCAAGATTACGAAGAGAAACTATTATGTACTATCTATTAAGAAATATTTTCAGCAGTTTTATTGTTTGAGATTATCAGCACGTTCCTGAAGGAAATAGTCGAGGGCGCAAGATTAAGAAAGTTGGGCCTTGGTGCAGATCTTAGCGGAGAACTTATCGTTACCCTTCTTCTGGATACAAATCACAAATTATTATTCAAAATCAAATTGAATTCGGAACTGACTAACTAACCTCTCCGGGGTAATTTCTGATGGTTGAATACTTCTCACAGGGAGATATCCGTCCTCAGTCTCAATCAAATCCAACTAGTTATAATAAGAAATGTCAATGCTGACAAGTTCTTTAAATCTAAATCTTTAAACTTAAACGAAGAAAGAAGAGTGGACTGGAAGTAATTATATTTTGAGCTGATATGTTCAATATCATTTAAGGGGAGGGGGGGTGACTTTTCTGCCAAATTGCCTCTCTGCTTTTGGTACTGTTTCCCCAAAATAAATACCCATGAAAACTTATGAGAAATGTAAACACAAAAAAAAGTACTGATGAACTGACGACCTTTACTCAATTCTCATTTTATAATTCATTAACACTTCTTTTTCAAGAGGAGAAATTTAAAATTGAATTAATTGAGTTTACTATTCACTCACATGGTCGTCTACATCGATAGCATCACTAGTTTGGAAGAGTGGTGAACTAACGTCTTCACAGGAAGACGTGGATCCTATGGTTGATGAAAGAGATCCACGAGCAGGGGTTGAACAAGACTGAGTTACTGAAGTGTGTTTCCGATATAAATCTGTTGAACTAGAACAATGGGAAATTGAACCTCGAACTATACTAGTAATTCCTTCATGGCTAGCTCCAACAGGGAAAATTTCTCCTGTAGATGAATTAGGAGAAGGTGCAGATCTTTGTGAAGAATCCACTCTGGACAATCAAATTCATGGTAATACTTGTAATTTTGAATGAAAATATTAGAATTCGATTTAAATAATCATTTTTAAGAAAAAAAAACTCCATACAAATATGATCATTCCTGTATATTCTGTCCATCACCCTGATTGTCATAATGGAGTTGTCAATAAAATGTGGAGACTTTAACACCCTGGTACGGTATCGAACTGAATGATTAATTATGCTACTAGACTGGGAAATGTTAAATTAAAATAATTTCAAATGTCACTCGCTAAGTTAAATTGTGTTATCTATAGTTTCGATAAGATGCCTAATGGTATCAATGTCCTCTGCACTCTCTGTTCTATCCACTCCAGTAGAAACCCTTTCTGAAGAATTCAATTCAAAGCTCTGCACCATTTCAGCAGCAATACTGGCGCGTCTAGAAGCTGTTTTACTAATACGGCCATCCTGAACCAAATATTGTCTTATTAAATTGTTGGTATTCAACAGTTTTTCACAATCACTTTCTTAATTTTTTTCAGGGGTGTATATTTTACAGAATTACCAAAAATGAATTTTATGATTTGGGGAGACAAAAAGGAAAAAATGAAATAAAAAATCAACTATTTTCAAATCAAATCTTGATTTCTTCGTGCTTGTAAATAATAGCTGACATTCTTATACTTTTCATCCTGCCAAATTATTTTATTATGTTTGATACCATTAAACTGTTTTTATTAATTCTACTTAGCAAGAAATATCACTTACCTCAATATCTATATAATCGACATCACCAGGGGCAGAAAGTTTCTCCTTCTCATTTTCATCTTTACTTCTTAAAATTATAATATTTGATTGAATTTGGTTTTAATTCATTACTTAATAATTAAAAATAAGAATGAAAACAACAAAGCTCTTGGGATCCGAGCTTTCAGGTATTACAAAATACCTCCAGTCATCCATAAAATTTAAGAAATGAACTGATTTTTCCTCATTAAAATCAGAAAAATTAACGACACAAAAATTAAACGGAATTGATTTTTTTTTTCTTAAAAGAGCGGATAGGAAAAACGTAGGTGATTAAAATGAAAGGTTTAGGGCATAAAAAAATTATAAAGAAATGAGGAACGTGATTTTGCACGACTATAATGATCAGTGTACCTGGAAATGCATGTTAACCCTCCTTCAGGGCCAGTAAAAGCAGCGAACACTTCAGGTTGAAGATAGCCCAATGCGTACACCGGCAAACTAAAAGTGAGAAACTGAATTAGAGGCTACGGGTTTTCTAGGGCACGGTTTTACATTTTCTGAAGAATTTTCTATCAAAAAGGTTTTATCTAATAACGGGGATGATTTTGCACCTAACTAGCAAGAATAAATGTTCTACAAATTATACTATGCGGGTATCTGTAGATGTTTTGATCAAGCCGATGAATACCATCCACATTTCATTCTTCATTTTTTTTAACTATTGTGTAACTACCTGTGTCCAGTTTTAGCATGATGTATATCCGGTTGTTTAGGTCTACTTTCGCCCGCTAGGTACCGCTGGATAAAACACTTCTCATACTGAGGCGGAGGAGATACAGGAGCAGTCCGATTTCCGCTCTGATGATGTTTATAAATAATAAGAAATAAGTTTGGTAAATAAATTAGCTAGATACGCGTGTGAGTGAAAGGGGGAGATTAAAATATTCGATTTAAAAGAAAAGTATATATTTATTGTTACATGTTCAATATCTCATACTTTTGGATTATAAATGATATTTAGGAATTCCGAAATGGATATATCTAGGAGCCTAACGAGAAAAGTTGGGCAACCGATATTTCGTCCCATCTATGGAAATCATAAATACCATTTATAATCCAAAAAGTATTAGAAATTGAACATGCAACAATATTGATATACTTTTCTTTTAAAGCGTGCAAAATAACAATACAAAATCGTTTTTCTCTCAATTCCTTGCGTAAACTTCATTACCATAGTTAGCCACCGGTGTTTAATCAGATTTCACCTACCTGAGAAGGACCGGATATCTGTCTAATAAACCCTGTAACCCTCTTCTTTATAGAGGGCATAATGAACACCAGTTACATCGTATCTATAAGTTTTAAAATTTTCATTTCATTTAATGAACACAAGAAGTGTAGTTAACTAAAACCCGATTGGGTCCGTTCTAGAGAACGATTTTTGGACCCCACCGAAAATTGAAAAATAGGAAGGACCCGAAATTTGGAGGTTTTCTTTCAATTCCGAATGTGCACATACATCTATTTTTTTGTATTACCTACTTGGGCTCTGTCCTAGTGAACGAGTTTTAACAGGCACCTTGATTGATAAACGTTTATTTCTTTATACCTAATTACTGGTATCTTAAATCTTAACAGGCTCAGAATGTTTAAATCTTATTTTAAAAATCCAAAGGCAATACCCATGTAATGTTGCCGCACTTAATTTGGTAAAAACCAAGGCAAATATAAATCGTCTTTGCTGAGACAAATTACGGTGTCACGTTAAATAAGGCCACACCGGGCGTTATATTTGGTCCGGGTGTTACATGTGAAATCCATGTACAAAATTGATAGGAGGGGGAAGGGGGGATGTAACGCTACACCGGGTGCAATACAAAGACGACCTAAGCAAAAACGATATATGTACAGTGTCCCATATCATATTAGATTATCTCCTTAAAAGCTTTAACGCTAAAATAAAACCTTAATACTCGAAAAAACTAGTCATTTCTGCAAGAAAATTCTTATATTAGCCTTATTTCATTTTTCAAAATGATTCTCTTTTCTTAAATTTTCTGATTAGTCCCGAAAATTGTAATTTAATGCCAATGGAAATGGAAATATATTTTTTATAGAGTAATATATCTGCAGAGTAAAAAAATTTAAGTGCAGCTCTTTAAGTAGAAACAGTTTTACATAATATAATATATAGTAGTTTTCTGTTTTGAGCACATTATAAAATACTCATTTATAATGCTTATATTTCTTTTAAAAAATTTGCAGAGGCTACGCCCACCTACACCCCCTCTCGCTCACTACGTTTCGCTCGGTACTATATCTTATTATTCACACTTTGACCCCCCTTTTTAAAAAGCTGGATTCGCCCCTGTGAACTATTGTTCATTTTAACTACCGATAATGAGGTCATTTCCTGTAGTTCAAGCAACACATTATTTACTCAATTAAACTATCTTACATAAAATATACACTATACAGTTTAAATTTTTTGAAATTTATGAAAATGGTAATGTTACATACGCGTCTATATGCAACATCCCCCCTACTGAACTTCCGAGCTACTGCAATATCGGACCTATTTATCGGACCTGTTTATTTTAGTATAATTTGAGGGTTAGGTTAGGTTAAGACAAGTTCTGGGCCGAGCGCTGCGGCTAGAACAGGCTAGGGGTCCGAGTACCGCGGCTATAGGACAGGCTAGAGGGCCGGGCACTGCTCTAGCAGCTGTAAAACCATGTGATAGTAGGTCGGATGTGGCGGCCATCATGATCAATAATATCCATGTGATACAGAAGGACAGACCTACAATTTCAACAATTTTCAACAAAATTAGTTATATTAAGGGTTAGGTTAAAAATAAACAGCTGTCATAGGTCAGATATTGTGGTAGGTCAGAAAGTTAGTTGGTCAGAAGATCAGTAGAGGGAATATGTCGCACATATTAGACCATTAATCCCGTTGCGATGTAATATTACCCGGGCAAATGAATTGCAGTTCTTACGATGTAAATAGTATAAATTGTATTATCCCACTATATGTTTATTGAATAATGATTTACCATTTTATTGTTCATTCTTACTAAAATATGTTCAGTTCTTCTATAACTCATTGTTATAATTTGGTCATAAATGGGCAAAATGGTCAATAATAAATTTTGAGATTTTAGTATACATGTGCCTTTACAAATTCACAAAGCTTCCATTGTGCATTGTGCAGTACAATTTACTTACACTTCTATAATTATGAATAAAAGGAAATGACCAAAAAAAAGATGTATGTTTTCAGTCACTTAAGCATCAATGTTTTTCTCTCCCGAAAATCTGGGGTCTGAAATTAAAATATTATAAATGGGTGCAGTTTTTAAAATAATAATTTTTAACGGTGTTGGGTATTTTTAATGGCATTTTCCAAGGGCAACTTCTCAAATTGGACAATTTCCAGTGAGGCGACTTTACGATTGTAAATTTTACTGGATCAAAATAAAAAAAGACAAGGAAATGACAATTTTTTTATGTAAAGTTACTTTTAAGAACATAATATTCTGAATCAAATCCACTTTCTCTCAAAATTAGAAATAAATTTTGCAGGATCAGTTTCCAGTTGGCTGCATACTCTTGTTTCTATAATGGGAAAAATGTGTGTATTAAATTTAACAAATTAATTAAGATTAATGTAATCTTGTACATATCAATGGTTAGGTAAGGCCTTCTGAGACGCCGATAATATAGGTTAAAGGTAGGGGATAGTTTCTAATTTTCATTTGTGAAATTGAACATTCAGGAAGTTGTCATTTGGAAACTCTGCCAAATTGGGTCATTCCTTATCAAGTCAGCCACCCCATGGAAGTCAATGTCATGGATTTTCTTCAAAGGGGATGGTGGAGTTGGCACATTTGATGTAGGGGGGGGGGGCCCTGCCTTCATTTTTGGTTCAAATCTTCCAATTTTTTGGGTGCACGCCTAATTAGTGATCGAAATTCCTAAAATAAAATAAAATTGAATTTTAATGACCTCTAATGACCTCTAATGACCTCTAATGACCTCCAGAAATAGAAAATATTTCAACTATGGCTTTATGCACATCAAACGAAAGCTAGGGACCCAGGNAACCAAAAATGAAGGCAGGCCCCCCCCCCCCTACATCAAATGTGCCAACTCCACCATCCCCTTTTAGTTATGGTTTTTTAAAGTTCCGGCCCGACCTTGCATGTTTTAATTAGCAATAACTTTTTTGTTGTTTAAGATATCAAGCAATTTTAAAGGCCATTTTATACTCGAATTGCCAAAAGATTACATCTTAGTATAAGATTTATTTTACTTGTAGCATATGCTCAGAGATGTTATTTATACTTTTTTACCTTGATTTTTTTATGAGAGTATCCTCCAATTTTCGCAACACTTTTTTAGAGATTTCTTATTATGTATTTAATGATGCAAAGTTTCATTTTTGAAATTTACTTCATGTTGGAGCTTGAGCTTTATCTATATATAAATTTAGCTTGTCTGGGTGGGTGTTTGTTTGTTTGTCTGTTTATTTGTATCCAGTAAACGTCAAAACGGCTGAACCGATCGGGCCCAAATTTTGTGTGGGACCTCACGTGACCCCAGGGAAGATTTATGAATGATCAAAATTTTAAAAATTTGTGTTTCAAAGATTTTTATTTTTGTAAAATTTTCAAAAATGCTAGAAAAAATATTATATTATTTGTTTTATGCTGTACAAAGAGATGATGCTTACAGATAAAGCCACAATTAAAAGTTGAAATAGAAGATGGGCGCGAAGCGCCCTAAAAGCCTTGTAACCTTAATCTATAGATAAATTTGGCTCGTCTGTCTGTTTGTTTGTATCCAATAAATCTATTACAATTTAAATAAATAATTCTATTTACAATTTAAATAGAAGATGGGCGCGAAGCGCCCTAAAAGCCCAGTTTTAGTAAATTTTTCGAAAATATTTTACTGCAGTCGTCTCTCTTGTAATAAAAGTTGTCTTTCTTGTTAGAAAAGTTGTCTGTGCTAAGGCAAATTTTCAAAACTAGGTTTAACCGTTTTGACGTTTTGACAGACAAGCCAAATTTATATATAGAAGCATCCTAAAATTAAGATTAAAAAGCTTTATAGCTCCTTCAACAACTAAATTTTGAAAAAATGAATTTTTGAACAACCATTAAATTTTTGATTTGATGTTTCCTCATAATATGCAAGCTGTGCGCAGTATTGACTCCATGATTATCCAAAAACTGGCTGAGTTCATAAATAATGACCCAATTGGGAAATTTAAAATGTTAGAAGACGCCGCTACTTGGTAAAAACCAAAAATTACAAAAATTACCTTCTGGATTTATAAATTTGTTGACGAAGTCCTCATCGTCCAATTTTCTTTTCTTTACAGTTTTTCCACTTATATCAGTGCTTTTATAAACTAGACTTTGATCTTTTTTAACAGTCAGGTCAGCTTCAAGGTTATACGAATTGAATATCGTTTGTTCGTGAAAGCATGGATCAGAATTATTTTTACCAGTTGCAGCTTCTGTTTCCGAATCCCAGTTGATCTTTCGTTTACAAAAACTCGTAGTGTTGCTTTCTCCTGAGTTTTTACCCTCCTTCCCCCAAAACCTTTCAGATGGACAGAAAACTTGCAGCTCAACCATATGAGTATCGTTTGATAAATTAGAGACCTACAAAGATATTTAAACGATTAACATTATAATTGACTTCGTTCTTTAGAGCAATTCTACATTGTTATTAATGCGTAAAACGATTGTTGTTTTGGCTTCAACTTTAAGAAAAAAGAAAGTACAAATAAAAATCTTCTTATGAACTCTAAGTTCTATAAACATTTCGAACGTTTAATTTTACTTCGTTTAGACTTATATCTTCTGTTAAAGTCAACATCTAGCATAATTTCACAAAAGCAAACTTGTAGAAATTATCATTTTGAGCCAGCTTTGCCTGGAAACTTTAACAACTTTCTCCATAAAAGCAAATTTGCCCAACATATAAAAATAAAACAAAATAAATTACATTTCCGTGTTTATACAGAGTTCACCAATAAAAATTTGAGGCAAATTGGTCCACAGGAATATGAGTTATGATTGAGGATACAAACAAACGTACAAACAGAGATTACTGTAGCGATTTCCTGTATTATCTAAAGCTGCAATGTTTGTGTACTATGTATGCATGTACAGTAAGACCCACTCAAGTGCGTCCTTATTAGTGTGTCCACTGTAGTTCAGTTCATTGTTGGAAGCACTTATGATATTATGATATTGTGATATTATGATATTATGATATTATGATATTATGAGATATTGTGATATGATATTATGAAATATCCATATCTTTATAAAGTAGTAATCTCTGTTTATCTAGCTGTATGGCCGGATGTCCGATCATTTAACTCAGAAACCCCTTGTTTGACTGATCAATACTTCTAAGATGAGTGGATCGACTTTTACAGGAAAAGCTACAGGCAAAGCTGGGTTAACCCAAGCTAAATACAGAGATAACCAAAAAACTCTGAATTAGAAAGACGACTTTTATAATAATTTTATGATTTTGAAAAGTTTAATGAGCGCGAGACACAGCAATACTGGAGTGTAAACAGACCCATTTCCCTTAATTACTGATTTAATAAGTGTCTAGTAAAACTATTTGTTTGTAACAAGATTTCAGAATTGACATAATGGGGTCATTGACTTTTCCATTGTATTTTGATAATCACTGAATAATACATATTACACACACCTGACCCTCATACTGTGGCCCATTTAAAGAGGGAGGGGGGCAACTGTTTTCTTCCGTCCAATCAGTTTGATCAGTCAAAGAGTTCCCTACCGTCTTATTAAATGAACCATTCCCTTCCACCTTGTCAGGGTAACCAGATGGGCTCTTTTCTTTCATCTGGTCAAGGTGATCAGTTGGTCCCTTTTCTTTTATCTTATCTGGGTAAGCAGCTGAACCATTCCCTACCCCTGCCATCTTGCCGCGGTGATTAGTTGACCCAATTTCTATCATATAATCAGAGTAGACCGTTAAACCATTCAGTTCCATCTTATCCTGTTGATTACTAAAACCTTCTTCTTCCATCTTATCAGGGTAATAAGTTGATCCATTTTCTTCAATCTTATCAGGGTGATCAGCTGAACCATCTGTTTCTGCCTGTGCATGAGGATGAAAAAACTTTGGATGATCTTTATGCAAGGAGAAACCAAGATCTTCTGAACTGGCCTTTTTTGTCTGACATTGTTGAGGATTCTTGTGTTTAGAATATGGTGTATGCTGTGTTTGAGTAAACTGGTGTTCAGTCGGTAGTTGCATCATCGAGATCTTTTTTACTAGATAGTTTTCAAGATTAGTTTTTTCAAACCACTCACGTTGAAGACGGTTTTTCAGTCCAATAATTTTTCTGTTCATCTCTCTAAATAAAATATAAGAAAATTGAATATAAAATACAACATGCGATACATGTATTGGTGTTGTAAACAATTGTTACTTACAATTACAATTACTTACAATTTTTCTTCTCTCGACTTCTTCTTCAGTGATTCGATTTTCTCAATCATTGCCTTTTTTCCAGTTTCTAAAACCCATACTTCTAAACTCAGTCGTGTCAATTCCTCATTACGAAGCTTTAAAGTGTTGTTTAAGTCTTCAATAATAAAATCTCTCTGCGCCAAGGAATCTTGAATAAGTTGAACTTCTCCCATATTAATGTCTGTAAATAGATTACAACGCATGCTGAATTGAATATTCTTCTAATACATTAATGCAACCAAAAAGTTTATTCTAGGAAAAATCAAAGTAACCCATAGGCAAATGAAATTTAAAGATGATTTTAATATATTTAGTTGTCGGTCAATGCCAATTTGCAAGGGGGAAATGTTTTAATCATGAGTCATAAATGTTGTATACTTGTGTTTCTTTTCCATGGCAGCGTAAAGAACTTAATAACATAACTCTTCTAGCATAGCTTAACAAAAAAAATTGAGTAAACGTAACAAAAAAATCTAACAGAAACGCCTGAAGATTTAAACATCTGTTTATTCAATACAAAGTTTTCAATTTTGATGAAAAGACTAAACATTCAATAATAAATTGATTAAAAAATGTGAATGTAACGTATAGATAGGATGAAAATAATATAGGTACATTTGTGTGCATAGATAAAGAGGTGAGGTTGTTTGATCATTTTACCTCGATTTCTTTTCTTCCCAACTTTATTTGCTTCAGTAATGTTAATTCTAAGTGTAACTTGTACTCGGTAATGGGGTCCTTCTGAACCCTGGTAATGTTCTCCAAGGTTTCCTGGGAGAACTCCAGAGTGAACCCGTTCTTCATCGCAACATCTATCCCCATCCCAAAAGGTATGGGTTCTCCTTGAAAGGATCTGCTTGTGTCATCGTTTCCAACAATTTTTACTTCTACAATGTATCTGTACTTTGGCTTTGTCATGAGCCTTAAAAATATGATGGTTTTCTCGTTAAACATCTGAGAACATAGAACCAGGACATCCTTGCTACCTTCTATTAACCGGAGAACTGGTCGGAATACACTGAAGAATACGTTCTGTGTGAAGACAATATTCTGGTTCACCCCTAGTGTAAGACAAGGTCCAGGGTTGGACAAATCAAAACAGCTTTCTATGTGATCCATTGCATTTGCCAGGGAAACTTTTCTTTCACATTTGATTTCAGGACACTTTTGGTTCTCAGCGTACTTGCAATCAAGCTCGTGCACTTGTAAATCCATCCTGTGAAGTTCAACAGTACAACCCTTGTCCAGATTAACACATGAAAACTGCAGTAAATCCGATATCCTAGGAGCCAGAGGCGCATAAAATAATGGCGTATTTCCATCCTTGCATATTAAACACCATTGTCTGGAACAAAAAAAAAATAATAATAAAAAAATAGTCCTTTAATTAAAGGGAGTGACCGTCTATGTAAGGGATTTGAACTGAGTATGCAGTGTTGTAGAAAACTTCTTTCGGATGCATTTGAGACATATTAAACTTTTTAAAGATCTGTAAATCCCGAGTTTGAGTGCAAATATTCGACGTTCAAAACTCCTACTTTGGGGGTGGATACGTTTTCAGAATTAGTTTTTTATTAAATTATTAAATAACGACGACATAAAATGTAAAAAAGTTCTACAATAAACTACAGACGTCATGTATAGGAACATGTTGAGAAAATAAAAATTAATCTTATCATCGAAAATAAGTAATCTTCTTCAATTTTTAGTTTCTACTTTCTCAATATTCTGGTTTCTCCATTATTCACAAAAATTTTCTGCAGATTTTCTAGAATTATTATTGAAAAGACGACATTTGAAGAATTTGAATAAATCTGCGCATAAATTCAAAGAAAATAAGAAATTCAATATAATAATGAAAACGAAATAATCGATTTTAGCATTGATTTAAAAACAAATTTCTTTTGAGAAATATGTTCCTAACCATCTAAGAAGATTACTGTATAATTTTTACTTTATTTTTCGTTGTCGTTTTTTAATAATTAAAAAAAAACTAATTCTGAAAACGTATCCACCCCCAAAGTAGGAGTTTTGAACGTCACTCCCTTTAAGCAGTTATTAAAAATACTTTTAGAAACCATTATTTCAAAAGTTTGTGGGATCAGAGCTGGGAACTTTAGAAAGGTGGATATCAGGATTCATGCTTAATCCTCTGTTTTTGCAAATCTCGAGACTAACATAATCTCGAGATTATGTAAGTCTTGAGATTAAATATTTAGATCAACAAATTGGATTCTAAGAACGCCAGATTTGTTGGTTTTCCTGACTGGAAGGATTAAAGGTTATCCATTCTAAAGTTCCCAGCTCTGAATATTTTTTTCAAACGCAATTTTAAGCTAAAACTTTTTTAAATATCATGGAACATGTATTATATATAAAGGTACTGGAAAATAAGAAAAGTTAATGAAGATTAAGAAAATATAATCAATTTTAAGGAATACATTAAAAAAAATACAAAACCTTTTGGTGTTGACCAAGATTGAATTTTATCTAAAACTATGATCTGGTTTAAAACAAAATTTTAAACACATTTTTCAGTTTTGTTATTTTAACTTAATTTTCTTTTTGGGGTGGGGGAATCTTAAAAAGTTTGACCTCTGACTTGATTTTGCACTTTCTTCATTCGAGTCCGGAATAGCATGCTTAAACTTAAATTTTTACCTAGAACACTTTTTGCAGAGCAAATGATCCTTCATGCATATCCCCATGATCCCATCTTTCTGAACTGCCTTACAGAACTGGCAAGTCACCATTTCAAATAGTTTTCTCAGTATGTACTCTTTTGAAAACATGCTTTTCTTCTCTTTATCTTGGCAAACTTCACCTCCGAAACCATCAACTTTTTCTTTCAACTTTGGGAAAGATATTTTACAGATAAAAGTAGAAATATTTAAAAGTATTTTCTATTGAAATTATAAACAACGCTTTTTTGAGTTTGAGTTGAGAAAGTTTGCTTCGAGTTCAACAAAAAAATAAAGGACGTCCATTCATTAGAATTTCAACAAAAACAGGTGAATCTTTATTCTCAAATGAAAGGCATTTATGAATATATTCATCATATACCCCGGGAGGGGGGGGGGGGGGGGGCTCCAAATACTTCCCTTTGTTAGAATTTTATTTTCTCAAGTCTTATGTAAAATATTAAACATCATGTTTTTGGAATAAAAACGCTCTAGAAGAATTGAGTCGATAAGACACAAACTCTAATTTCGTAATCTTTCATGTCGCAGATATTTAAAACTATGAATTCTGTTAGTGTTAAGTTTGAAATATCAAAGGTTTACATCATGAGGTTGCAGAGATATAGGGATAAGTAAATTTGAGTTGGTGGCAAGAAGAGGCGGACCCAGCTCTTTGACAAGGGGGGGGGGGGGTTCAAAAGTGCTCGAGTGGGACTAGCATCGGTGTGGTAAATCACATTTCAATCAAAAAGTTTCACCCAATTTTAGGTGAAATAACGTTTCACCCCATTCACGTTTCATCCAATACAACGTTCCATCCAAAATACGATTCACTCACGTTTCGCCCAAATCATACCTACTTAAAAGTTTCACCCAATTTTTTGTTTATTCCTCAAACATAAATTGCACATTTTATTGCCCAATTTCCGATCATATCTCATAAACTCCTGGACCAATTTGCCTCAAATTCTGATTGGAGAAATCAGGAGAATCATGGGAATCTTCTAAGATTGGTTAAAAAATTCTAATCTGAGTGCAGTCGACTCATATATACAAACAAAAGCCGGGTTCCCGAGCTAGTCAACTATATTAATGCATGTTGTTGTAAATACGTAGCTTTTGTGCTTGAAATCTGCAAACCACATTTGAGCTCAACATAGCGGCGCAGTTACAAGTAGCTAATTAGTTAAATGTTGAAAACGGATAATAGCTTGCCCAGGACCAAGCTTCAAGAGCTGGTTACAGTCAGACGTGCTGACCCAAACCGATCTATAACAAAACGTCGATCAGCCCAGATTGGCAAATCTTAAGGTTGCACTCCAAACCTTCAATCCAAACTTCATCAAGGAGTTCATGTTTTGACTCCGAGGATGCCTAACTTGAGCAGTACTTGAAAAAATGTCAACTGTGTCCTTATGTATACATCTTGTATAAATTCAAAATAAAATTAGCAAAAAAAAAGAATTTTTTTTTTTTGGGGGGGGGCAAACTCTTAAGACATGTTTGGGCGAAACGTGAGTTGGGTTAAATATAATTTGGGCGAAACGTAGTATTGGGTGAAACGTTATTGGGTAAAACGTAATATTGGATGAAACGTAATCTTGGGTTAAACGTTATTGAGTGAAACGTTTTGGGTGAAACATTGCTGGGTGAAACGTGATTGGGCGAACTGTTACCACACCCTAGCACAGAGCGAAACTTGTGAACGAGGAGGGGGTGCAGGGTGGCGGAGCCCCCCCCCCATTTTTGTAAGGAATTACATTAAAAGTGAGTATTTTAAGAGCTCATAATGGAAAATTACTCATAAAATATGTAAAATTATTGCTTTAGAACAATTTACTTCAAAATTTGTCGCTCAGCCATCTCAGACAAGAAAAATAAAAATAATATTAGGAGGATAGGATAGCAAGGTAATTAGATCAATATGTAAAATTATTGCTTTAGAACTTTACTTTCACATTTTTCACTCAGCCATCTCAGACAAGAAAAATAAAGATATATTATAGAAGGATAGGTTAGCAAGGTAATTAGATCGAGGATATCTCAGTTCAGAAAAAAATATCCAATACTACCGATGGTTTCGTTTTTTTGTGACTATAAACTAAAATGTGCTTCAATTAAAATCATAATAAACTTAATTCTTAAGATAGGAAAGAATCATATTCTATTACTTACAGAGGTTGTTTAAACTTCAAATCTATGGAATTGATGAAAAGTAAAACTTTTATGATTTATCAAGAATTACGAAATGACTGCTGGAAACACACACACTATTTTCCAGGGGTGAGGGGAAAGAATTGAGTTAGAGCGCGCAAAGCGCGCCGATATTTTTTTTCTATTCTTGGAAAGCAAAATTGAACGGCTATGTCAGTCATTCCCCCATCTTAAGCTCACACTACACACATACATACACACACAACACAAAAATAATATTTGCACATTTTAAAAATTAAAAATCTTTTCTTCCCCAGAGAAAAGACTGATTTGACTAAAAAATTAGTTTGTATCTGCTGGAAAGCAAGTTGCAGTAAATTTTTAGATTAGTCTCCAGAAAAAAAGTATCTTTTATCTGTTTTCAAAAGGGGGGGTTGTCGACCCCTTGACCCCCCCACCCCCTATCGATCCTCGCCTGGGCAAGACTCAATTCCTTTGTTATTGTTTGGAAAACGAACTTGTGACCCTGTCCCAACAGCTTTAAGATAAAACCCCAATTTCGATACTCATATTCAAAATTCAAGATTTTCTTGCAGAAAATAATTATTCTTTGTATACTGTAAATACCCATCCCTCAAGTTCAAATTCATTCTCCTGCAATATGAAGTCAACCTTATTCAGGTCTTTGCAGATCTTTTTTTCTATTTGCACGTTGATCCTTTGAACATTGTCCTTGAACTCCTTGAACATATCCTTCATTTCATCCAGCTTCTTTTTTAGATCTATCTTTGCGTCTTTCATTTTGCATAGCTTCGCTTGTAGTTCCTCTACCTTTTTAGCAACTTCTATAAACTTCTCCTTCTTATAGTTGTCCAGGAAGTGTTCCTTTTCCCTGGCCTCATCTACTTGTCTTTTAATTTTTTCCAGATTCTCTTTGGTGTAATCTCTTTCTTCCTCGGCTATCTCAAGTTTCTCTTTCCATATGTTAAGCTCCTCTGCTAGTTTCTCTCCTAACTTGTCTCTTTCTAAAACAGCTCTTTTCAGATTCTCTTTCAATTCACTCATACTCTTATCCACCGTTTTTTGTTTCTCTGCACAATCATCAGATATCTTCTTATTTATATTCTTGAGAAACTCAATTTCTTTATTCTTTCTCTTGATCTCTTGAGATGAATGCACAACTTCTTGATGCATAAATTTGAGCATACTTTGATATTTAACCCTATCTGGATCATCTTCCGTAAGAACTACTCCATTAACACTGCATCCGGTATTCATTTTTTCTAAACAAAATCGAACAAATATTAAAAAAGAAAAATCACCCGACTACTGTTTTTCATCAGTCGTCAATCATCTTTTCTTTAAGATTTTTACTTATCTCTCTAATATTATGAGACTCAAAAAGGTAAAGAAACAACAAACAAGAAACAAAGATCGAATTAAAGAAGATCTTTATAAATTTTTTCATTCGAATTTCGAATAATGTTCAGACCATTTATACAGATTCGGTCCATCCTAACCGACTGTGCCCCCCCCCCCAAACATAACCTTAATGCATGAAATCTGTCACACAAATTATGAATGAGCTTTAAATCTGCCACAAACATAATCTTAATGCATGAAATCTGCCACAAACATAATCTTAAAGATGAAATCTTAACAAAAATTATGAATGAGCTTTAAATCTGCCACAAACATAAACTTAATGCATGAAATCTGCCAAAAAAATTATGAATGAGCGTTAAATCGGCCACAAGCGTCATCTCTATGCATGAAATCTGCCACAAAAATTATGAATAAGCTTTAAATCTGCCACAAACATAATCTTAATTCATGAAATCTGCCACAAACATAAACTTAAAGCATGAAATCTTTTAGGAGGGACCTGGTTTTTGACCTTTTTACAGGGCCAAAAACGCTCTATTCTACTACTAAAATCCCCAAAAAAAAATTCTGCAACCCCCAACCGCAGAAAACTTCTTCAAAGTTTTCGCGGGCTGTGTGTAAATTCTGCCTTTTTTGCCTTTATCCTGACCTGCCACAAAAAACCTGGGAGGAACCCCGACTTAAATACCAAATTCAACAAAAACTTTCTAAACCCCTCATCAGAGATTGAACGAATAAAAACTTAAATCTAGTTTAAATATTTTGGATTGGGTTAGGATAGACAACGTCTGGGCCGATGAATAACATACTTCCTCTTGAAGAACCATTTTTACCCCAGATGAAATGAACGGAGCGGCCAACTTTATGTTATTTTTTGGAATTATTCGATTCGTTGAATTGGAGAATTTAAATGAATATTTAAAGGAGAGAATAGGTGAGGGAAGCGGGGGTTATTAAAAAAAAAATTTACCGTGGGACCGAGCAACTTCCAGGCAGGCTAAGCGGCTGAGCGAGGGGAGGAAGGCCAACCACAACAATTTCTCGTCCGAGCCATATTCTCATCATTTTCTCGTCCGAGCCACCTCGAAATCCTCGTCCTTTCAATATTATTTTTTCAAAGTGTCTAATCCTCCCAGATAAAACTATTCTTCAAGAATCAAGCCACGTTAGGGCATAAATGAAATATCAAATTTTGTAAACGAAAAAAAGTTTCAATTGAATTAAAGATTTCAAGTTTAATGTCTTTAAAAATGTTCACCTTTTTTACGCACATTTTCAGATATTCCTGGTGTAGAATGCCGCAAATAATTTCAAGTTTATAGAGCTTCAATCTTTCCTGTTAACTATAGTGAAAACCATAGAATTTTTTCAGGTGGTTCCATGAAAAAATTTTAAGCAGAGGTGAGCCAAATATTTTGCTGTTTATTTTATATCACGAAGGTTAGCCATTACAGGGGACATTAGTTCCAAAACTAACACTTGGCCCATTTCTAACACTGAGAGTTAGAAATGGGCACAAATTGAAAGACTGGGTTTTTGGGATCCTGGCCCATATCCAGAGTAAAACTTGATAATAAAAACTATAGTACCAACATTTCATTAAACATGAGAAGGACAACAATTAAATCAAAATTATATTAGGAGTTCTATTTATATTAATTAGCTCTTGCCCGTTTTAACTACAATGTTAGGTTTTCCACTTTCGAACATATCCTGAATTTGAAACATTGTCGCGTTTTCCAGACAAAACCCACTTTCCTGTTTTTGAGTATAATCCTCAATTCAAAACAAAACTCACTTTTGTTATATTTTACCTTATCATAAAATCTTGTTTTATTTCATGAGTGCGTAAATACTTGAAAATTGACACTGATATGAATTCGGGTAATTGTCTCAAAACCAGGATATGTTCCGAAAATGCGACATGAGCTGGAATCCAGTAATTGTCTCAAACCAGAATATATGTTTCGAAATTGTGACATGAGCGGAAATCCAGTAATTGTTTCAAAATAGGGATATGCCCGAAAATGAAATCAAGATTCATAAAAAACTAATTCTCACACCTGATTTTTAGTTTAAAATTGACATTTAATGTTTCAATATATAGTTTTAGCCATTTTTTATAAGTATATGGTGTAATTTTGTTCTATTCAACTTGGATTTAAAGATTAATACTCTTGAAAAAGAAAACTTTGCAGATTTGGCCCATTTCTAACACTCAAAGTTAGAAATGGGCCAAGTGTTAGTTTTGGAACTAATATCCCCTGCATTACGGAGGCAGAAGAGATTTAAGTTTTACATAAAAATAAAGTTTGACATCATTCTTTTGGGTTTGAAGATTCCAACGTGATATAATCATTGAAATACTTTAGTCCATCCATATTTTATGCCCTAATGAGCCAGATTTAAAAAAAATAGTGTTACCTTCAAGAATTAGAAACTTTTTAACACAAAATATCAAAGGACAATGATTCCGAGATGGCTCGGACGAGAAAATGAGGAGAATGTGGCTCGGACAAGAAATTGTTGTGGCTGGCATTCCTCCCCTCGCTGAGCATTGTCCATGTAATTAAAGAGAGAGACCGGCAAGGTTAGGGAGGGAACCCCTGGACGCCATGAGCCTCTGCTATACAGACATTGAGCCTCCCAGATTCGTTAGGCAGACCGAGCCTCCACTATGCAGACAAAGCCTACGCTATGCAGACCGTGCCTCAGCTATGCAGTAAACGAGCCTCCACCATACAGCACAGCTTTTTATAAATCTTGGTTTTTATGAGTGATGAAAACTTTTAAAACCTCCTGTATTACAAAGGCACATTTTGATGTGTAGCGCATGCTCATTTCTACAAAGCGGAGGCTTGGTCTGCCTAGCAACTCTGGGAGGCTCCTGTCTGCATAGCAGAGGCTCATGGGGTCCGGGGGTTCCCTCCCTCGCAAGGCATGGTAGAAAAGTATTTGTTACATGTTTTGTCCATGTTTTGTTTAAGAATTGTAAAAAACGTTTCTTCGACTTACTGAACAGCTAGTGAAATATTAAAAACGGGGTTCGTTCCTAGAATATGATTTTAAAACCCTGAAATAATACTAAATAAACATTTTTGTTTAAAATAATTGCAATCACTGCTCAGTGCTATTTGCTACCACACGGTTCGAGGGATGGATGGATCCGACAGGTTAAATGTTAATCCTGGGTTGAAGTTTGAACTGTATGTATGCACATGTTACTGTATTCTACGATTACTATTGGTTGGAATATATATACATATCTTCTACGATCATTCCATAAACCGGTTTTATTTAGTGATTGTACGCAGTGAACGCAACTTGAACGCACTATAGTGCTTTCCAGATATGTATTAACTCTTGATTGAACTTATATTAAGCTACGCTCATGGATGACTCAGATTCGCGTCTAAAAGAAACTTCAACCTATAAATTAAAAATTATAAAAAATAGTTCCAATTCGAACAAATAAATAGTTCAAATGTACGAAAAGAAATTATAGTTCAAAACTTCAAAACCCAGCAGGAAAAATTCTATCGATATGGGGGGAAGGCGAGTGGCGACCCACAATCTTTTTTACCTCCGACCAATAAATAACGTCACAAACTGGTATTTGCGACATGCGTTTACCTCATATATTCCATATAAAGACACCACCCACGCCCGTTTTCACTTCCGCCAAAAAATGTTGTGTACTTTTGTATGCTATATAGAACAAAATCAAAGAGAATATAGAATATATATTAGAGTGGAATTTAATAGAAAAACGTGTAAAAAGGCCATTTTGTTGTACTGTTTCCATCCCTACTAACCCGAAAACCTAAAAAAAACCTAAGTCTCTATATAGGTATACGTATTAATAGGTATTTTTACGTATAAATATGTATGCTCAACTTTTGGGTAAAGAACTTATGATATATTTACGTATTTTACGTATTTTTCATACCAAGCAATTTTTTTTTATAAATGCTTTGGTTTTCCATAAACGTATTTATACAAAAAATTACGTATACTTTTTACCAAGTAATTTTTCTAAATTTTTAGGTTTTTATTTAACATATTTTTTACGCATTTTTAGGTTTTTTCATTATACTTACAAAATTTTATTTTTTAAAAGTTTGATGCAAAACTAAAAATATGTATATTTTTGCAAATTTCATACCAGGAAATTTTTCTATATTTTTGGTTTTTACTATACGTAATTTTCTTTACTTAATTTTTTTTTAGAGTTATAAAGTTTGAAGCAAACTTAAAAATATGTATATATTCAATATTCATGAAACCTCAACTGCAGAAAATGCATTTTTAAGTTAGAATTTGAAAATATTTTGTACTCTTTTTATAAGTGAATTGTTCTGCAAGAAATTTAATGCAAACATTTAGGAAAATGCAATATTTCAAAATTGCTATCATTTTTGAGTAAATTGATGTTTTCATTAGAATCAATGTCAGTAAATTCTCGATTTTTTGATAAATAGAAGTTTTACTTTGACAGTCTTGTAACAGGTATAATGGTAATTGTATAAAGTATAACACATATTGAATAGGTAATTGTTGAAAATACTGACAAAATGCATATATGAATGTTGATTTAGATGGATACAGATGAAGGAATGTTGATGGTGTGAATTTCTGAAGACAGAATATTAGATTGGATTGAAAATAATTAACATCAATGAATATGGATTTAAGAAATTTGTGGAATTAGTTGTATAGAAATGAAGGAAGGGGTGTATTCAGGAATTTGATCCGGGGGGGAGCTCAGCACCAGTTGGGGTCTGAATACCCCCTGAATTCAATAGATTTCACTGGTCAAGTGGGGGGCTTCGCCCCAATTCCCCCTGAATACGCCTCTGAACAATGCTCATGCAAAATTTAGTCCACTTCTTAACATTTTAGTTTTAGAACTTGAAAAATACGTATTTTATGTGTAGGTAAAACCTAAAAATTACAAAAATTAAGAAATGTTAGGATTTTTTCAAACCTAAATCTACATATAGGAAAAACCTAAAAATTCCTGATTCAATGAATTTTTAGGTTTTTTACATACGCATTTTTACGTTTGTCAATACGTATTTTTTATTATTACCAAAGAAATGATTACGAAATTATGTATGTCATACGTATGGAAAATACATATTTTTACGTATTCCTAAACCTAAAAATATGAATATATATGTATGTCATACGTATTTTTAAGTTTTCGGGTTAGTAGGGATGCTGCAGGTGTACTTCACATATTTGTGCTATATAACCTTTTGGGCCCTGGAAAATCATTTTATAGAAAATCTAAAATTAATATTTAAAAAAACAAATTATGAAATAGGCTGGTTTTATAATCGACCAATGATCATTTCACATAGACTCTGTGCCTTTCACTTTACAAACGATGATTTTCCGTTTTATCTATAAATCAAATGATGTTTTTTATTCACCTAATTCATTTTATAAAGTTTATTTAAAAGCTTTAAAAATTCGAAATTGAAATGGATAGTCTAGGCATGATTTGTACACTTTGAACTCCCTTTCAGGCTGTAAGGGACTGAAAAAATTCATACCTAGGGATTGTCTAAGTTCCACTCTAATATATATTCTATTCTCTTTGACTAAAATGCAGCATCAATTCAAACATCCGCTTACGATAATTTTCTCAAAGTTTTGGAACACCAACAAAATTGATATTTTAGATAAAATCTAGACTTAGCAATTTAGTTAAAGAATATGCTATAAACAAACAGGGGCGTACTAAGGGGGACGAGAACCCCCCCCCCCCCCCCCTAGAAGACTTCTCCCCATGGACCTAAGCCAGGGGCATACTGGGAGTGGCTTGGAACCCTGTGTACCCCCTAAACATGGCTCCAATGCCTAATATGTTATACAGGGTGATGATCGGAATTATTGAGAGACGACTTGAATATCGTCTTTGATGTCTGAGAATTGATAAATGACATAAATCAAATCAAAAAAGATTGAAAGTCTAAATATATGAGCTTTCCTAAATCTATCTTAAACATTTTTGGAGATATTAAATTAAACATTTTAACAGTTTCGTCGAGTTTTAATGAACTGGAATCTGGACTAATTCCTAATTGCATTTAACAAATTGATAGATCACTTTTTGGAAATCTCGAGGCATAGTTTTCAGTGTTAAATTTTTTTAACTGTGATACTCCAAAATTATGTTTATGAAATAATCCCACATGAAACAAAGATGATACAGAGTGTCCTAATAAAAATGGGAAATTAAATGACAACTTCTATATGATAGAAGTCGTCATTTAATTCTCATGTTTATTGGGACACTCTGTATTCTATAACATACATATTTTTTTCTTATTAATTGACAATTTGTCCATTTTTTGATAATTTCTTAAATTCTTTCAGTTAGACCTTAATCTTATTTACAATTTTTTTTGCAGTGTTTCATTTAATTAAAATCCATATAAGAGTTTAGATGTTAGACCCTGCAATTAGGCTGGCCTTGAAAAATTGGGCTATGCACCATGCATTGCTGGGGGGGGGGGGGGTGGCACCAAAAGTTCACCCCAGGCTTAACCGATCCAGTACACCCATGTTTATTAATAAACGTTATATTTTCATTTACTATTTTTTAGTTAAGTGGACCTGTGGGTACTGGACCTATATGTGAATGAGAGAGGGAAGGCTTCTAAAATTACTAAAATTATATTTTTCCCTGATAAAGCAAAAGATTAATGTGCAAGAATAGAGATAAAATAACTTTTATTTATAGATTTTTAACAAATCTTGGAATGGCTATAGGGGCTTTTTTATGAATAGCTTTTACTAAAAGATAGACAAATAAAAAATATTCTTCATAAAATGTTGTTGTCGCTTAGAAACAAGATTCTGACGATGAACAGATAGACAAGGTATAACCCACGAATCAAAATCGATAATGCAGAAAACTCTTTATTTCCTAAAAAAAATAACGAAATGAATAANAATGTTAATGGTTGACAAATGTAGATTCTAAAACACAATGCTTACTGTAACATTTTCTTTCTAGTCATTGAGATATTTAAAGAAAACTCTATTATAACCTATTGATTTAAAAACCATTAGGACTTTTTTTTACATTCCCTACAGACAGCTACATAGATCTACATAAGAGGGTGTGAATAAATGCTTTAAAAAGGCATAGAAATATGTAAACCTCAATTTTAAAAATATATTTTTATATTATTTTACACCATTCATCAAAAATGTGTAGAAAGTATATAATTCATAATTCATTTATAATTCATTAAATATCATACTATATACTTTTTACTTTATTATTCATTTACAATTCATAAATATCATAATTATATACTTTCTGCTGATTTTTGATGAATGGTGTACGGTTTGAACGATAAATAATAAGTGACAAAATAAATTTATTTGCAAGATTTTAATTATTACCTTTTCATCGAACTGTGAACATTCCATCCAAATTATTTGTTAAATCGAGAAAGACAAAATTTTACACTGAAAAGAGTTTTAAAGCATTGAATTTTATGTTAAAGCTAAGAGGAGTATGTAACCTATTCTCCCGCGTTTTCCTTTTTAGAAATTTTTCTTTTAAAAGTTTTTTTGAGCAGTCTTTTGCTGGGATTCCGCTGGGTTCGGGCAGGGTTCTGCTAACTATCTAGGTTTAAACAGGATATAGCTGGGGCTCGCGCCGCATGCCCCCCCCCACTCCCTTGTACTGCTGTATTGCACAGCAAAATTAAATCCCTATTTTTATTCATATAAAGTAAAGTAGAAGAAACGTAGCTGCTGGAGAAAACTAATCATTAATCCTCTTTTTAAACGTTCACTTTGGAAAATATCATATCTATTGCTTCTAGAATGTAAGGCAAGGAAGGTTTATTGCGGTCGTGTATACTCTGCGTACATATTGAAACCAGTTCTCTTTGGGCGGAATTTGTAAACAAGAATAGATGCATCAGTGTTCGTTTAGTATCCGAGGAGGTTAAAAGCATTAAATTTTGAAAATTTTGATAATTCACATAATAGTTTCCTATGACCAGAATATTTCATCGATTTTTTATGTGAAAGATGGATCCCATTTCAGGCTTCGACATCCGTCTTGTGTTTACATTACCGCCCAGAGACAGTACACTGCAGTACAAAAGATGTGTACACTTCTGAAATAACTTTCCTTACATTACATCCTTGTATTGCTTTATGTAAATATTCTAAAATGGAAAATTCCCAAATTATTTCAAGAGATCCATGTTGCAATGGGCATGCGATAACAGATCAAGGAAATATAGGTTGGTATCTTCCATCCTCAAAAGCTTATAAAATTTTTCAGCCTAACTGGAATAATCTAAAGAGGCGTACTCAGGGGGAGGGGGCTATGGGGGCTCAGTCCATGGAAAAGTGGAGCCCCCCTCCCTGTTAGATAGCACCCATTAGCCCTATAGCTATGAAGTAAAGTTGAGACTAGATATATATATAACATGTTTGTACACATTTTGAGAATGCCAAGGAAAAAAATATTTACACTGTCTCTTATGAATAAAGATATCTAAATCATAAAAAAGAAAATACAAACAAACAAACAGAAAAACAGAGATCATTGGTAACATATGGTTATCGTTTAAAGCATAAAGCATCATATATTGCAGGATAGATTAGATTAATAGTTCATTTGAACTATTTTTAAGCTTCATCTGATCTAATTAGTAAGCAAAAGTTCTTATGAACTATTTTTTTTGTTCATTTGATTTTGAACTTTTTTATATGAAATATGGAAATATCCATGCATCTTAATCGTATAAAATTGCATGTGTGTATGCGGGGGGGGGTGTATACTGTAATATGTGAGTGTGTTTACTGTGTGTGCGTGTGAAATTTAAAGTTTATATACCAGATGGCGTGGATACTAGACTAGAGTTAAACTCTCCAGTTTGTTTTAAGATACGGACGAAGTATGTCCAGCGTCTTAGAGAAGTGACAATGAAAACAGTGTTCTATAACCATGAAATATTCGTGGATTTGTTATGTATATATCTCAGTTTTGGTGGGAGGAATAGTGAACACAGCAGGTCTACATCCAGTGGATCCAGAATTGGCGGAAAGATCTGCAGCAGAGACGGCGGAGTCCGCTGTTTTTATTTTTCCCAGTATGAAAATGGATCTTCTTAGCCTGGTATGTGGTCTACAAAAAAAAATATAATTCGTATTTCATTTGTTTTGTTCACTGTTAAAATTCTAAATACTTTCAACTTGATTCGTTTAAGTGTTTTTTTGTGTCAAATCTTTCTGTTCTTCAAATTGTCTGGCAATTGACGACCTCGGAATTGTCTTATTTATTGGTCGTAACTTTATTTATTCAACTTGAAATCAAGCCTGTCGGAATATTCTGCATGTGAACAGTTGTAATATAATTCATCACGCAATACAACAATTTTTAAAGAATTATTTGACATGTAGATACATGTAATTCAATACAAAATTGCTAAACCTGAAAACAATACATGCCGTATTTATTGGAATACAATAGAACATTTCTGTATGTATAACATTTTTCATTAACAAAGTTTTGTTAAACTTTCTCACAAAAATTCACAATAATGTTTTAATTACTACTGAATTTACTAAAAAATGTTATACTTTTACGCAGATCAATTTTCATTTATACTCTTACGCAGATCAATTTTCATTTATACTTTTACGCAGATCAATTTTTATTTATACTTTTACGCAGATCAATTTTCATTTATACTTTTACGCAGATCAATTTTCATTTATACTTTTACGCAGATCAATTTTCATTTATACTTTTACGCAGATCAATTTTCATTTATACTCTTACACAGATCAATTTTCATTTATACTCTTACACAGATCAATTTTCATTTATACTCTTACGCAGATCAATTTTCATTTATACTTTTACGCAGATCAATTTTCATTTATACTCTTACACAGATCAATTTTCATTTATACTCTTACACAGATCAATTTTCATTTATACTCTTACGCAGATCAATTTTCATTTTCTAGGTACTTCCTCAAATTGAAATCACTAGTTTTGTTTTTTATTCTAAAATATTAGAATTTTAAACTTTTTTGGCAGATCAAAGCCATTGGATTATGCAAGGGAGGAGACTGTGGGGAATTAAGCAGTAAAAGTCTAATTTTATAAATATAAAAGTACATAGTGCTCTAAGATGCTTTTTTGTAGGTTTGTAACATTTCCTGCAGGATTTCTGTCATATTCGAGTTTAAACAGTGTACTCGTGCGCATACGTGTATTGTGTATATATATATTTTAAAAAGTGTACTCGTGTGCATACGTGTATTGTGTATATATATTTTAAAGGCTTCCATGTCAAATAACGGCCTAAGGTGTTCATAGTTAACGGTGAATTTTCCTTGAAATTTAGATAAAGCAGCTACAGCACCCTAAATACACAACACAGGGTCCGTTTTAATATACATTTCTACTTTCTACTCGACTGCAACTTTATTTACTACTTCTACTCTCTTTAAACTTTCTCAAATTCACTCACTTCTCACAAATAATTTTTAATTTCTAATCTCTATTATTTACTATCTATTTTACCCGTTCTAATCTCTCCTCTCTTCTCTCTACTCTCTACTCTCTACCTTTTCCTTATTCTCTGTTCTCTGTTCTCTGTTCTCTCTTTTCTCTACTCTTTACTCTCTTATATCTTCTCTCTACTCTCTACTCTTTTCTCTCTACTTTTTACTCTCTACTCTCTTCTCTCTTCTCCCTACTCTCTTTTCTCTACTCTCAACTCTGTTCTCTGTTCTCTGTTCTCTGTTCTCTGTTCTTATGTTCTCTCTTCTGTGTTCTCTCTTCTGTGTTCTCTCTTCTGTGTTCTGTTTTTATATCTTCTCTCTACTCACTACTCTCTTCTCTCTACTCCCTTCTCTATACTCTCTTCTCTCCTCAATCTTCTCTTTTCTTCTCCGTTTTCTTCTCTATCTTCTCTCTCTACTCTGTTCTCTCTTCCCTCTTCTCTCTCCTCTCTTCCCTCTTCTCTCTTTTCTATTCTCCCTTCTTTCTTCCCTCTTTTCTTCTCCTTTCTTTCTTCTGTGTTCTGTTTTTAAATCTTCTCTCTACTCTCTTCTCTGTACACCTTTCTCTCTACTCTCTTTTCTCCTCTATCTTCTCTTTTCTTCTCCGATTTCTTCTCTATCTTCTCTCTCTTCTCTCTACTCTCTCTACTCTGTTCTCTCTTCCCTCTTCTCTCTCCTCTCTCCTCTCTTCCCTCTTCTCTCTTTTCTGTTCTCTCTTCATCCTTCCCTCTTCTCTCTTATCTCTACTATCTATTCTCTGCTCTCTACTCTCTTCTCTTTTCTCTATTATCTCTTCTCTTTTCTCTATTCTCTCTTCTCCCTACTATCTATTCCTCTACTCTGTTCTCTCTTCTAGTTACTCTCTACTCTTTATTCTCTTCTCTTTCTTCTCTCTCCTCTCTCTTCTCTCTTCTCTTTTCTATATTCTCTCTTCTCTCTTCTCCCTACTCTCTTTTCCTCTACTCTGTTATCTCTTTTCCTCTACTCTGTTCTCTCTTTTCCTCTACTCTCTTCTCTCTTCTAGTTGCTCTTTACTCTCTTCTCTTTCTTCTCTCTTCTCTCTTTTCTCTCTTCTCTATTCTCTCTTCTCCCTAGTCTCTTTTCCTCTACTCTCTTTTCTCTTCTCTCTTTTCACTCTTCTATATTCTCTCTTCTCCCTAGTCTCTTTTCCTCTACTCTTTTTTCTCTTCTCTCTTCTCTCTTCTCTTTAATCTCTACTCTTTCCTCTCTTCTCTCTTCTTCCTTCTCTCTTCTCTCTTCTCTCTTCTTTCTACTCTCTACTCTTTACTCTCTTCTCTCTTCTTTCTGCTTTCTACTTTCTAATCTCTACTTTCTACTCTCTTCTCTCTTCCCTCTTCTCTGTTCTCTGTTCTCTCTTTTCTCTACTCTTTACTCTCTTCTCTCTACTTTCTAATTTCTACTTTCTAATCTCTACTTTCTACTCTCTTCTCTCTTCCCTCTTCTCTGTTCTCTGTTCTCTGTTCTCTGTTCTCTTTTCTCTCTACTCTTTACTCTTTTCTCTACTTTCTACTCTCTACCCTCTTCTCTCTTCTCCCTACTCTCTTTTCTCTTCTCTCAACTCTGTTCTCTGTTCTCTGTTCACTTTTCCCTGTTCCCTGTTCTCTGTTCTCTGTTCTCTGTTCTCTGTTCTTTGTTCTCTGTTCTCTGTTCTTTGTTCTCTCTTCTCTTTAATCTCTACTCTCTTCTCTCTACTTTCTTATCTTTTCCTCTTCTCTCTTCTCTCTTCTCTCTTCTCTCTTCTCTCTTCTCTCTACTCTCTTCTCTTTTCTCTCCTCTCTCTTCTTTCTACTGTCTTCTCTTTTCTCTCATCTCTCTTCTTTTTATTCTCTACTCTCTACTCTCTTTTCTCTCATCTCTCAACTCTCTTTTCTTTTCTCTCTACTCTTTTCTCTCTTCTCTCTTATCTCTTCTTTCTACTCTCTGCTCTCTTTTCTTTTCTCTCTACTCTCCCTTTCTCTTCTCTCTTCTCTCTTTTCTCTTCTCTCTTCTCTCTTCTCTCTACTCTCTTCTCTCTTCTCTCCTCTCTTTTCTTTCTACTCTCTACTCTTTTTTCTTTTCTCTCTATTCTCTTTTCTTTTCTCTCTACTCTCTTTTCTTTTCTCTCTACTCTCTTCTCTCTACTCTCTACTCTCTACTCTTTTCTCTCTTCTCTCTTCTTCCTTCTCTCTTCTCTCTTCTCTCTTCTTTCTACTCTCTACTCTTTACTCTCTTCTCTCTACTTTCTACTTTCTACTTTCTAATCTCTACTTTCTACTCTCTTCTCTCTTCCCTCTTCTCTGTTCTCTGTTCTCTGTTCTCTGTTCTCTGTTCTCTCTACTCTTTACTCTTTTCTCTACTTTCTACTCTCTACCCTCTTCTCTCTTCTCCCTACTCTCTTTTCTCTTCTCTCAACTCTGTTCTCTGTTCTCTGTTCACTTTTCCCTGTTCCCTGTTCTCTGTTCTCTGTTCTCTGTTCTCTGTTCTTTGTTCTCTGTTCTCTGTTCTTTGTTCTCTCTTCTCTTTAATCTCTACTCTCTTTATTCTCTACTCTCTTCTCTCTACTCTCTTATCTTTTCCTCTTTTCCCTTCTCTCTTCTCTCTTCTCTCTACTCTTTTCTCTCCTCTCTCTTCTTTCTACTGTCTTCTCTTTTCTCTCATCTTTCTTCTTTTTATTCTCTACTCTCTTTTCTCTCATCTCTCAACTCTCTTTTCTTTTCTCTCTACTCTCTTTTCTCTTCTCTCTTATCTCTTTTTTCTACTCTCTGCTCTCTTTTCTTTTCTCTCTACTCTCCCTTTCTCTTCTCTCTTCTCTCTTTTCTCTTCTCTCTTCTCTCTTCTCTCTTCTCTCCCCTCTCTACTCTCTACTCTCTTTTCTTTTCTCTCTACTCTCTTTTCTTTTCTCTCTACTCTCCCTTTCTCTTCTCTCATCTCTCTTTTCTCTTCTCTTCTCTCTTCTCTCTTCTCTCCCCTCTCTTCTCTCTACTCTCTTTTCTTTTCTCTCTACTCTCTTCTCTCTACTCTCTTCTCTCTTATCTCTTATCTCTTCTTTCCACTCTTTTCTCTCTACTCTCCCTTTCTCTTTTCTCTTCTCTGTTCTCTCTTCATTCTTCTCTCTAATCTGCTTTCAGGTTCATCTTATACTTAACATATGTATAATTTTAGGATACCAAGTTTCCGTTTATTGAAGTGAAGTATCGAGGAGAACCACCCAGGTTTGGAGAGCAGTTGAATCCTGCTCCTGTTTATTCTGAACCCATTGCACTGACGCCTCAAGATAAGGATATACCATATGGAGGCCAGGTTTCTCAAACAAAAGATGAGGAAATTGAAAGTAGAAGTTTACCTGAGGAAAACAATAAACCTGGAGTTGAGACGTTCAATGCTGTAACATCTCAACCTCATCTAGAGATTACTCCAGGAAAATTTCAGAACATATATATATATAAGATTATTGTAAATATATAATCTCTTTTTTAATACTTTTTTTAATAAAACTTTTTGTGTCCCAAACAAAATATTTTCCTCTTTCCTTATAAAGTATACATTTACTTTGGTAGAAAGCTTCAAATATAATATTATCTAAATTTCATTATTTTTAATTATTCAGTTATTTCTTTACACCACGGGTCGTCCTTTTTAATATATGCCTTTAATTTATCTCTATGTTTACCTAGTTAATGAAAACAGTATTTATTACATGTTTCTTTATAGTATTTCCGCGCCACATGGTCCAAGAATTTATCCTCTGGTTTTAATTAATTTTGTAAAATAAATCACATAGTTGAGTTGCTTAGTAACGTTATTTCTTTGATTCACTTCCTCAATTTACTTGATAATAATTATGATCATAATTATAATAATAAATTCGATCATATGATTAACAATAATAATAATAATAATAATAATAATAATAATAATAATAATAATAATAATAATAATAATAATAATAATAATACTTTATCGAAACTAATTTTGCTTGCAATTGGTTTGCAATTATTCTTTTTGTTAAGTAATATTCATAAATAGTTATAAATATTCATAATCTGAAATTTGACCGAAGGAAGAGGATCATGGTCCTATAATAGCATCGTCCTAACAGCCCAAGCTGGTTTACAACCTCAACATGTTCCATTGACCGCAGAAGATGACCTCACTCCTGAATCTTCGGAGCGGGTCATATCCACACATACCTTAAGTCCGATCGAGGAAAGTGACAAATCGAGAAACTATAAATCTCAAGGTGATAAACCTCCCAAGATATTAAGTTCTCTGGTTTCAAGTTCTGAAGCGGTAGTTATTCCAGCACTAACCGATGGTGATATCGATAATACGATTAAATCTAGTTATACACCAAGCCTTGGTGAGTTTAAACATCTGTTACAAAACTCTAACGACTATAAACAATGGTTAGCAAACAAATCCAGATTTCTCAGAGAACTTGAAAGAAGTTCTACGATAGAGGAAGTTACCGGAAAATTTCCGCACTTTCCTGATAGGAAAAGTGGTGTTGAACCGGAAATGAATGTTCTCGATAAAAATGCAGATGTTCTTAGACCACAAAGAGAATCTATTCATTCTGGTGGTAGTTCCCTGCCAGTTTACAAGGACGGTGATACTCTTTACTTGATACCCAGTAAAGAGAAAGAATCAACAAAACAAATAAAAACCACAGCAAGACCAGACTTTTCTACAACATCCCTTAGACCTAGAACAACCATCAAAATTTCCCAACTTACTCCCCGAACTCCATATTCAGCTCATATCTTTACATCTCCTTCTTACTCCCGTACAAAACCCACCATGGGTCCTTTGTTGACAAGTCCTCTACCTCCCTTGCCACCTGGATATGAATTAGTTCCCATAAGCCAACTGACTCCTGAGCACGAGGTTGTTCCTTGGGAACAACTTCCAAGATTAATGGAGGAACATAATCTAACACTGGAACACTTTTCTTTAGGTCCGTTTCAACATTCATCAAAATCAAATCCTTCCCATCAGACCACAATATCCTCCCATTATACTACTCACAACACAAGATATGAAACAACAGCAAACCCCTCTCTGTACTCTACACCAACGGTATACTTAAAGTCCACTCAAAAACAAGTTTATGAGGCTTCATCAACAACCAAATCTAATTATGGGATGACACCAATGTATGATTCCACTAAAACCCCGCTACATGAATCCTCTCCCCACTCTGAATATGTATCCACTCCTAAACCTATCTATCAATCATCCGAAAGTCCAGCATATATATACACACCTAGCCTTTATGGATCTCAAACGAGCCCTGCCTATGGATCTACTCCTAAACCTTTCTATGGGTCAACTCCAACTCCTATTTACAACTCATCTCTAAAACCTGCATACGGATATCCAACTCCTTCTTATATATCAACTTCAAAATCTATATATGTTTCCCCAACTCCTCGAGGTTCACCTGCTTCTGTTGAAAGCTCTACTCCAAAAAGTTATTATCGCTCTTCTCCGGTTCCTAAATTGACATTTGTTTCCTCAACTCCTCACTCACTCATTAACTTTCCTATAGGTGGGATTATATCACCTCATATGCCACCACCAGTGTCTCAAGACGTTGGAGGATTTTTTACACAAAATGAACACAGTTTGTATTCTCCCAAACACGGACATCCTGCACCACCCAGCTATCCAAAACCCAAGTCAATACATTTTGGAACGGATTTTGCAAACTCTTATTCTGATAACAAGTTCAAGTATGATCCGACAATTTCTCCGTCTGAAATTTCAGGTTCAGATAAACACAACTCAAGGGCTCCAGTTTACTACCCTCCTGGTTTATCTCCAAGTTCTGTGCCTCGGCTGACCACACCACACTCTTTTGTACAGACAAGTTTTAATCCCTCTCTTGGGCCTAAATTTAAAACTGACAATAGCATGACCACTCCATTTACTCACTTTTTGAAGAAACTTCACAATTCTCCAGGTCCTTTAGATCCTCCTCGTAAAGTAAGCACACCACAGTCTAAATTTGATTTTGCAGATAACACTTCAACCATCCCTGCTCCAACTCAAGAACCTCTTAGTATACTACCTCCACCAATGCCGCACCATCTTTCCCATCCAAATCTAAAACATCCAACTTACTTTGATGTAGCTCAACAGGTTCAAGTCCATGTTAATCATCATTCAAACCCTTATCCTGTCCCAAACCCCATTGAACCAGATCAGTCTACTCCTTCACAACCGGATCTATTTCTTGAAATGACTCCTCGACCAGAGATAAATTCAAACCAAGACAAGGATTTAGAAATAAGCTTAAATCTTCCCAGAAAAAACGAGGAACTTAATATTGATAAGATTCCACCACAAGTTCAATTTTTTCCAACACGACCTTCTGTGGTTAAATCGACCATAAAAACTACTCATGTTGCAGTTCTCATGCCACAAGAAGCAGTCCCATCCCTTGACAATCTACAACTGAATGAAAATGATGGTATTAAGGAGAACAGACAGAAGGAATTCGAGGAAATCAAGTTATCTCCATTTCCAAGTTTTGTGGAAAAATCACCATCTATAAGTGGTAATCAGAAGGAGCTAGATAGATCTTCAACAATAATTCCAGAAACCGTAACAAAAGAAACCAGGAATAAAATGCGATCTTCAACTGAGAAACAAACCTTCAGAAAGAAAGGTCGGCTGAAGATCCGGCCAAACCCTACCATATCGACAAGGACAAATTTTCATCCCATTCCATCTGGTCCAATTACTCCATCCACCAACCTCCCCCAAGCCAGACCAAATGTTCCTGAATTAGAAAATTCATTCCAATTGCCCTCCAACAGTCCTGCTCAGAAACATGAACCACAAAATAAACAAGCAGTCATGGATAAAGATGAGTTAATAGAAATCAGTGGGAGCAATGGACTATGGGTTTCAAAAGATAAAGTTTCAGCTGAAAACTCTCAACTAAAGAGAGAATTTACTACAACCCAAAGTGGACCTCAGACCAATTTTAAAGTTGCACTTCATCCAGACTCCAGAGTTTGGCCGGCAAACCTTGCTCAGACAAAATCCTTCGTTGAGGAGGAGAGAACCTCGGAACTGGAACCTCGGGAAATTGTTATTCAATCAACAACCATTTCAACATCTAGGGTAGAGCTTAAACAATCTACAACTCCTTCAACAATTACAGAAATTCACACAACTCTTGGTAATCCTTTAAACTTATTAAAGGAGCTAAGAGAACAGGATGACGAGAATAAAAAAGATATTTTGATCCATAATAAAGGAAAATCACCTAACTTTTCAGATATGGATGCAGCCTCTTCACTTAATGAATCACAAACATCAATTGTTTCAAATAATAAAGTTAGTTCGGATGATATGAAAGAACTAGCCAAACTCATGAAACTCAGAAGGCGGAAGCTGAGACAGAGAGCAAAATCTTTAATGTCTGCCATGGAAGACATGAATGACAATGAACCTTTTGTTGTTCTACCTATGCATCAGGTTAATCCTCATCTGAAAATAGACGTAGACGAAATTTTTGACCCAGACAAACATCCGGGCGTTAAAAGAATCTCAGCATATGATTTTGAACAGATGTTAAATAGCAATGGAAGCATAACTGTTGCCGATAACAAGTTTCAAGAAATGCTGTCAGAGATAACAACATTTGAATCTGATATAGAACCAGAGACCATAAAACCCCTTGCAGAACAGATGGTGACCGATGAAAGCAAAGAAACAATCTACAAGCTGAAAGAGGAAATTGAAAAGTTGACAAGAACCTTGCAGGAGTTTCAGTTAGCTCCAGGGCACAGGACAGAGCAAGATGATTACATTGATTTTGACATTGATGATGACATCACTGCTAGAACTGCAAACTCTGAGAATATTAAAAGAATTTCTCTCATGGAAGCTTCTGATGGTTCGAACAATCTGGAAATAGAGGAAACCTTCACTTCTGCTCCGCCCTCTTCATTAATACAGTACAATACACCTTCTGTTAAACTAATTAAAGGTAAAAAAAAGATAATCCGTTTTCTTATTAAGATAACAGATATTTTATAATTGGAAAATTTTTATTTTGATTCCCTTGATAAAATCGGTTAATTTAGGATTTTAAAAGAATTGAGTATGTGGAACAAATATTTCTCTTTTATTCCGGGAATTTTCTTTCCGGGCCCTAATTTCAAACTATCATCTTCTGAGTAATCAGAGAGAAAAAAGTGAAGTTTCGGTCACATTATTCCTATTAGGGTTGCAGATGTTAGGTTTTAAATTTATCTTGAATGGTTTTAAAAAGTGAATTAGCAATTTCATTCAATATCAACATATATATATTTTCTACTTGTGATAATGTACGTAAACATTATTCTTTGATAAAAGACTAAAAATTTTAGGCTTAATAACCTGGCCCACTTTTCACATTCTAATCCTTGTATCTTTGCAACCCCGTCCCAAGTCGTAGACATAAGATAAACTGGGGGGGATAGGGGAATTTGGGCGGCTTACGTAAATTTCCAGGGTGGGGGAAATAGTTGAAATATATATATATTTTAACCCCCCCCTGAAATTTTGGCCCCTTTTATGTCAAAACCCTGAAACGGCTGCGGGTGGGAGTGAAAACATGTGTTATCCAAGATTATCCGATTTTTCCAGGGGCCGGGAAGGGGGGGGGGTACGTCCGGTCTTCCAAATTTTCCAGGAAGGGTTCTTCTCCTTCCTCTCTTCTGAGTTTCAATTGAAATAAAAGTATTGAATTCTATTAATAGGCATTAAGAGGAGAGGTTTTAGAAAATATTCAAAGATAACATCTAATTTGATAAGATTTTCCTTTTTTAATAAAACGTTTAGACCTTTTGTTTTAAATAGACCGAATATATTGCGTGATTGTAATAATTGTAACATTTGTAACAAGTTGTTTACATAGGTTGCAGCTTTACAATCAGTTGATTATAAAATTTCAGTTTCAGTACTAAGAGTGAAGACTCTCAAGGTCGAAAATTAAGGAACATGTTGTAATCTCTATAAAGTATATAACAGTCATCAAGATTTCAGTGTAAACCATTTAAAATAACAAAATACAAAAAACCTTCAGCTTAAATATTTTTTACTTACACCACTGGATTTTCACTGTCAAGACGGTTCCAACGGTATATTGCACATGTTTGGGTCATTTTGTCTAACTTATAAGTTTTAAAAGTAATATTAAATATTCTGGCCCTCAGGAACATCTTTAAGTGGTAAAATAGGTTTACAGGGGCACAACTAGCATTTTTTAGGAGGAGCTGCATCATTTTTTAAGAGTTTGGCCAAGGGTACAGAGTGCCAAGCCCCACCCCCTGTGTAATTTTTAAGCGTTTTAAGCCAAATAAAAAAAACATTTTTAGTTTTACTGGGTTTGTTTGACATAAAGTTTAACGTTTTTCTTCTATCCTATAGCTTAAAATGTTCTTGTTAGTTTTAAACTACTTCCAACATGGGACAAATAAAAGAAAACTTGTTTGCCCGTATCATATCTTTTTTTCTGTATTTCTTTATGTCTATTTGTAGTGTGTACTCCTGTTTTTCTTGGTGTCTATTTGTAGTGTGTACTCCTGTTTTTCTTGGTGTCTATTTGTAGTGTGTACTCCTGTTTTTCTTGGTGTCTATTTGTAGTGTGTACTCCTGTTTTTCTTGGTGTCTATTTGTAGTGTGTACTCCTGTTTTTCTTGGTGTCTATTTGTAGTGTGTACTCCTGTTTTTCTTGGTGTCTATTTGTAGTGTGTACTCCTGTTTTNTAGCTTAAAAAATTCGAAATTGAAATGGATAACCTAGGGAACATACTTTATTAGTGTACTCTACTGCATATAATTTGTGAACATTTACATGATTTGTACACTTTGAACTCCCTTTTAGGCTGAATGGGACTGACAAAATTCATACCGAGAGATTGTCTAAATTCCACTCTAATATATATTCTATTCTCTTTGGATAGACTACTATATTCACTATACCGTTCCCTATAGTCTACAAATGCTTTTGTAAAAAGTTCTTTCTTCATTGACAATCATGATTTTCAAATAGGTCGCCACTAAACAAATTAACCCTTCAAAAACAACCTTTATCTTGTGTCCTAATCACTGTTTTTTTTCGAAATAAAATTTCTTACATTTCTTTTTAAGATTTGACGACGAAGGAAGACGTGACTTCTCATGGTAAAGAAGTTGGATCTACTGGTATCCTAGGACTGTTTGAAACTATTTCTCAACTTGACGCTGATACACAAAACAACTTTGCCGTCACTCGTTTTAACTCTGTTGGTAGTTCAGTTGGGTTAGAGGAAAAGGATGTTAGTCCTCGTCTTCAAGATGTTCAAGATAAAATGGAAGAGATTCAAAAACAAATTGAAGAAGAAAAAAGATGGGAAGAAATTAAAAAAGTTGAAATAGAGCAAATCGCAGAAAGTCAACGTTTAGAAAAGCTTAAGCAAGAGGAGATAATGAAAAAAGAAATACGCGAGAAAGAATTGAAAAAAATAGACGATCTTAAACGATTGGAAGAAATGAGACGGATGGAAAAGAAGAGATTGGATCTGTTGAGACAAGAAAAAGAGAAAATTAATTTGGAGGAAATTATTCGTCGAGAAGAAGAGAGAAAAGAGGAGGAACGGAAATTCCTTTTAGAAAAACAGAAAGAAGAGGAAATTAATCAAAAGGAAAGATACGAGGAACTACAAGAGAAGCTTAGAATTCAGGAACAGGCAAATATAAAGCAAGCAAACGAGGAGTTACGGAAACAGCAGATGGAGAAACTAAAAATATTTGATCTTGAACGATTATTTGATGATCAAAAATCTGTTCATGAGCAGGAAATGGAGCAAATATCATCGACTCAGTCTACTAAAAAGAAACCAAAAATAACTCCAACCAGAAACAAGAATGAGAATGATTCAATCACAAAGTTTAACTCTGACTTAGATCTAGCTCAACAATCTGAGACCTCAGACTCCAACACTAAACCCGGTGTGGCGTTTGCAAGTATCACTATAGAAGATGTTGGGAACTCACATGATTATGAGGTTAACAGAGGAATAGTTAAGATAAAAAGAGGAAAAGAGAATGAAAATGTTCCCGACTACGAATATGAGTATTATGAGGCCAGTCCCGAGGATATACAGTTCCCGGTTGGACCACAGCTGGTTCAATCACACGAGGACAATCTGGAAAAATTATCCAACAAAGATCTTCTTCTTAAGCTTCTCAAGGAAAGCAACAACTTTCAAAATGGTGAATTTTTATCTAAACTGAAGAAAATCATTCTTGAAAAAGCAGAGGCAGGAAATACAGAGGCAGGAAATACAGAGGAAGAATTACTTGGACTTTCGGAGGCAGACAAAGGAGACCCTTATTTACGATCCATAGACGGAGGGGGATGGTCCCCCTCGCAACCTGGTAAGAGACGGGTAGTAGAAGAGGAAAAGGGACCTGTCTGGCCCTCCAGAAACTCCATTAAACCTCCCTCTGACCAGGGGGAACTAGTGCTGCATAGCTTTCTTCCGAGCAAACAGGTAACGTTTATAATCTTGATTGATACATTACTTTTCTTCAGTTAATACAACCACCAGAGCATGGTATTTCAACACGTTCTTGAAAGTTTCATTTATGTAAATATAAAAATGACTTGCTGATTTTGAAGCTAGAAAATTAGTTAAAAGTAATTGAGTCTTTGTCACCAACTCTGATTTGTCTAATCTCTATATCTGTGCAACCCTTAGATATTTCAAACTATGTATTCTATCAAAAATTCTAAATTTAAAATATCTAAGGTCTGCGCCATTGGGTTGCAAACATATAGGGATTAGAACATTTGAGTTTGTGACAAGACTTGCCTTTGGCTTAATTCTAAGGGGGAAAGGTTAATGGGAAAGATATTCAACAATTTTAAATATTAAGGCTTCCTACGTTGAATACTTTTTCGGATGCGATGTAAATTCAATTTGGTTTTTAAAGAGTTACTTTTGAAAGTTAAAGCTTCTTATAATGGAATTTAATACTTTTTTCTTAAAAGAGTGATTTTTTATAAGATTAGACATTAAAAGTTCCATCGCTAGTTTAAAGGATATGAGTTTTTGCCACAAACTCAAATTTTCGAATCCCTTTATCTTTTCAACTTTTTGTTGGCGTAAACCTTTGAGATTTTAAACTTAGACCATTTGATCTAACGCCTAAAAGCTATAAATTGTTTTGGAAAATGAGGAAATTGAGTCGATTCTTCTTATTGGGTGTTTTTGATAGTTAGAACTTATACACATTATAAATCAACAAATAGAAACATTAAAAACATATTATCTAGGTTCGATTTCCCGTTAACAGAAGATCTGATCCTGGGATTGGAGAGGTTGTACTTCTTACAGATGTTGAGAGGAAAAAAGCCACATCAATATCTGGATTCAAACAAGAAGAAGGATTTGTTGGAAGCGAACCTTTATCCAGCTCTGGATACAATATTCTGCCTAACTCCGACAAAAGTGCTTCCTTAAGTTTTGGCAATGGTGGGTCGGATACCCTTTACTCCGGATACGGGTCTAGGGGAAATAGTGATATACTATCAAGAGTAGATATAAGCAGCAATGAAGAGTTTGTTGTTGGAACTAGTCTCACCATGGGAGGATCCAGTTCTAGCTCATCAAGTTCCGAGGGTTCTTTTTACAATTCTGGAGGGGAAGGTTACGGTATAGCTGACAAGTTGGAGAATGAGTTGATAAAGAAAGTACCAAGTGCGTCATTAGACTCAGGTAATTTTCATTCCTTAGAATCTATCCCTATCCCTGCTCTTGCTTTTAATAATGTGATTATTTATCTTATAAAACTTATAAACTGAAAAACTAAACACTTGCCACAAACGATCCAATTTTCTAATCCGGATAACTTAACAACGTTTTCAAACTTGGAATGTTTGTGCTAAAAAAGGCACAGTTTGTAAGGCTTACGAAATTAGGGTGCAAAGATATAGGGGTTATGAAATTAGAATTTGTGAAGAGTGCTCAGTTCCGGAGTAAAAATACAAACCACTTCTGCAACATCTGATAACTATACATTTTTTAAAATCAATTGACCACAAGGGCGTATACAGAAATAAATTTAGAGGGGGGGGGGCTAAATATGCGCGGACAAATTTTTTTTTGCCCGGTGGGGAGGGTGCAAAAATCAAATTGTAAATTCAAAACAATTGACTTCTTGAATATCAAGTATAAGATAATTTAAAGGTACACATATAGTCCAAATACCTTGCAAGTACTATACTTTATCTTTCCTTCAAACAAAAAGGAGAAAATCTACATTTTATAATATGTTATGTAAGTGAAAGACATTTTTGAAAATGAAATTCTGTAAACTCTGAAGTCGGTGAACTTAAAGGGGAAATTAGGTTACAGCACTGCAATAATATTTTTTTGCTCCAAAATTCGATTTTTAAAATTCCCTTCAATAATATATAATTGTTTGTGTGTGTGGGGGGGGGGGGCTCCCCTCAAACTCCTAAGTAAAAATAATTTTTTTCACGCTTCAATTTAAGATTTAAAAAGTGTGAAAGCTCAGAGTTCTAGGGGGGCGTCTCCCCCTTTACAGGTCTAGGGGGATGCACTGCCCCGCTTGCCTTCCCCCTGTATACGCCATTGATTAACCATGCCATTCAAAATATTCAACAACTTGGTGTGAATGAAAAGTTTTAAAATGGAGGTCTAAAGCTCATAAAAGAATTTGACTAAATTTGATTGATTGAGATGCAGGTCCATATTATAATATGTGATGATATAAAACCAAATTTGTTATAAAAGATATAAGGATTTTTTTACTTTTGTTGCCATGAAAAAGGCGTGTTTATTTCAATCAGAAGAGCATTCTTTCCATTTTAACTTAATCTTAGTTATATTTATTTTCTAATATAAAAAAAACAATTTTTAAACTTGAACTGTTCGTTATTTTATAATGTTTCCAATCTCCGAATTGGCGCTGCGTGGTCTAAGGCATATAGATATTATGCGAACAATAAATGTCATGAAAATAAATTTTGTTGAATAACGAACGTTCATCGTTGTCGAAGCTTAGTACTAATTGGGAGATAGGCAAGGACGATTGGGAAGGTTGCATCTATTGATTATCTAGAAGAGTAATGGTGGAGAAATGTGTCCATCTGTTGGTGTTAGACGCAAGACTCAGAATGTCCTTATAATAGATATATGTCTTCTGGCATTTAAACCTTGAAATCAAGCTAACGGACTAAGTCCGGATTCTTTATATTTCCCTTGATCAGCCATTCCTTACTTAAATAATATGTATTACTTTCAAATGCTCAATTAACGTCTTGAATACGTCATGCTCCTGAGACTGTGAGACTCTAAATGTTTTTTGTTTCAAAAGTATTTACATTCAACCAATGTTTCTACGGGATAAAACTTAAGATTATGTTATTTTCTTTTATAATTCTTTAAAGTTTAGTCTGCAGTGATAATGATTTGACGTATAGGCACGTTGATTTGCTTCCAACGCCTAATCTTATCCAAAGCTTTTAATTTAGAACTATTGAATACTACTCCCATTTTCAATATATCTAATTGAAATCTTAGTTTAAACAGTTAACGGCCTACGACCTAAGGTTGATTAGAGAATTCGAGTTTGAGACACATGAATAGTTCTTTTGCCCATAAATTGCAAAAAAAACCAGTTTCTTCACGGTCAAAAAGAGTTTGTGTATGAGCACATTCATTATTATCTTCTACGCCACATGTACTATACAAAACTTTTGTGCCATATACTTTGCAATAGATAAATCTTGTTCTTTTACCTTTGGGAAGAAACGCTGTCCAATCAACCATATTTCAATATTCTCAAAAAAAATTTACTTAAAAAATATAAATACATATTTTTCCTCAATATGATTTCTTAAAAGTTGTTGTAGAGTTTTTTCATGCAAAATAATTTTAAATCTGTTTTTATTCTTTTCAGCAGCGGTTGCATTTTGAACACCTCATTTTTTTTAGAGTACAGGCCACTGAGTGCATACTAATAAATTAAATGTTTACTGTTTAGGATTCGGAATAGTGACCCCAATCCAGCTCACTGATCCCGTCGTACGTGAACCTCCATTACAGTCTGGATCCAAAAGGTCGGACAGCTCTAAATTAGCTGAATTACTAAAGCTTCGGGCTGCTATTCAGAAAATGAAAAACAATCAATCCCAACAACAAGGCAACAACTTCTTCCTTCAAACCTTTAACAATTACGGAAATAACGAAGGGACAGAGGTATACGCAGACCTTAGAATGGAACAAAGCAAGAAAAATCTGCTTACTCTTCCTACAGATCCAAACCAGATGTACATTAAGAAGGGACAAAATGGTCCTACAGCGGAAGTTATTTTGTATCCTATGGGGCAGCTGCTTTCAGGTCCCTTGGGCCAACAGTTTACTCATCGCAACCCAGATGAAACAATATACGAGCGAAGTGTAAAAGTTAAGGATGAGGTTTCAAGCGGGAGCGGAGATGGGTCTGTGGAGTCTGAGAGTCCTAAAGGAATCTTGCAGACAATAATGAGATCAGCACAGGATGATTTTAAGATTGTAGGGAACGTGTTTAAACATCTTACAGGATCCGAAACTAAATAGCTCAAGGATGTATCTTTGCATGGGGAAACCCTGACAGGATTAAAAAGTTCAATAATCATAAATGTAATATATTAATTAATGTTTATTTTAAACTAGGTTACAGGTTAAGAATTAAAAGTCAAGGGATAAAAGTAATGTTATTTGGCTTTATTAAAATTATTGACGTCGCTAGTTTTCGAACTATGACATCAGACTTAGTCCATGATTTTGATTCTATCACTTCTAGTTTATTATTTTAAGAATATATTCTCTTTGAAAACCATCAAGAATCTTAAACTAATGTTGTTGACAAATTGTGCCTGAAAAAAAACATAAACTACAGTCCATTTTACAATATGAATAATGTCCACTTATTATTATTTTCAAGATCGTGTTTTCTGTTTTGAAAACCCTGAAAAGACAGAGGGGGGATAAGTGTAACATGTTCATGAGTGCTAACGTTTTAAAGCCAGCTCATTTTTTTAATAAAAAAAACTAGGTTAAAGGAATTGAGTTTTTGCCACAACCTCAAATTTTTTAATCCCTATTTCTTTGCAACCTGATGGTGTAAAATTTTGATATTTCAAACTTAGATTAATTGATATAACAAAATTCATATCTAAGGTCTACGACATTTGATTGCAAAGATATAGGAATTAGAAAATCAGGTTTGTGACTTTACAAGGTGCAAGGAAGATTAAAAAAATTGCCAAGAAGTTAGCAAAAAATATGGAAGAACTTTTACTTCCGTTTTGACAAATATTAAAATGTGATACATATTTCTAAGGTCTGTTAAAAATAAACTAGATTTAGGCTCAAATTTTGTATTAGCTTAATTATTTTAAGTTGTGGGCTAGACTGATTTTTTTTGCACCGACTGGACTTCCGACAGCTTAGAAGTTAACGTTTTCTACCCCTGTAGCACTTTGAAAATATAATTATTTACTTTTGTGAAAAAATGTCAAGTTGGCAGTTTCAAAAATGAACACGCTACGGGTAAAAAACTGAAAAGTCCTGAACACCCCCCCCCCCTACCTTTCTGCAATAGGACAATTAATTTTGTCACTAATCTAAAAAAAATTCGGTTTCGTGTCGAAGGAAGGGTTCTTCTAACACGTAGTAAAAGTTTATTGATACCATAAATAATGGATGATTTATTTTCGTCTTAATGTTATTAGGTTCGTTATTGCAAAGTTATTATCATAAAAGATTTGATTTGAATCAAGTCAAAGGACTATATTTATATTACATTTAAATATCAATATTTGTTGCATCCATTCTGTGAACTATTAAGTGCAATATTTGTTAAAGTACTAAATAAATTATGTCTATATAGACGGTGTTTATTAATATGTTATGTAAGTTGTTAACACAGCCATGATCCTGAGGAAAAATATATACCAAGTTAAAACTTGATATTAGTCTATTCGAAAATTTTAACTTATACAAAAATACAATGGACGGAAGAGCCCTCCCCCCTTCTTCCATCCATTGTATTTTTTGTTTGAATGTTGACCCACTCCAGAATACCTGGATAAATGGGTAATGAGTATCTAGTTGGCTGGGGAGGGAAACGATGAGTTGCCAACCCCNTAACAAATTCCTAGGAGTTACAGCAGGGGAATATAATACAAACAAAAATTTAAGAAGACGTGAATTGGTAAAAGAGAAACTAGGAGGTCTTAATAGGATTTATTATTTTTATTTAAGATTCTTTTGTATAATTTATATCTTGTTTCAAATTAATTTACATATTTTATATAATTAAATGAAAAGGCGAGGAGGAATTCGGTGTTGCATAATTAAAACCCCATTTCTTTTGTTTCCTATAAACTTTCAGCTTCAGTAAAAAGATTTTCAAATTCATGGTTCGATATAATTTTGTTATACATTAATTTTTATTTTTCCAAAATTTCCATCTATTTCCCAAAAGAATTGTAATTCTGGGTGTCCCGAAAAGCAAGTGTATTAATTTATCGCTGAACCTGAAACTGAACCTCATCCTCACCCTGAACCTGAACCTAATCCTGTGCCTGTTCCCGAGCCTAAACGAAGACCTACAAAGGCGGAACTAGATTTAAAATTGAGGGAAATTATGAAAATGATGCAAATGTAATGCTATATCTTGTAATGTAATGTAAACCTGTTTAAATCTTTAAATGGATTAGCATAAAATAAATATTTAGATCTAAAAAAATTTATCTAAGTATGCCGTAAACCTTTAAAATAATTTATTTTAATTAAATTTTACAATATTTTAAAATTTTTATATGATATCAGATGGAAATATTTTCAGATTTCTATATTTCTTGTTCTAACAACTAAAGTTAAAGGTCTAATTGATAGTTTGACTAGGGACATGTATTACACTTCCCTATCTCAACTCTAAGGGCAAAATAAGAGGAATCAGAGGGGGGGGGGTTGTAAAAAAAACTCTCAATCGGGATAGGGTTAATAAGAAAGGAACATTACTATGCATATGCAAGTTAGATAGGAGCAATATTATAATATAAATCTTCTACGCCAAGGGGTCAGCTTTCTATACTTTCAGAAATTTATTTAACAGTTTAAAAAATTCGAAATTGAAATGAATAGTCTAGGGAACATACTGTATTAATGTACTCTACTGCATATAATTTGTGAACATTTACATGATTTGTACACTTTGAACTCCCTTTCAGGCTGAAAGGGACTGAAAAAATGCATAACGAGAGATTCTTTTAATTCCTCTCTATATATTCTATTCTCTATGGTTTTCAGTTCTCTCAAGAATAGTTAAGTATACTTGAAAATAGCTCACTAGATTTGTCTTTAAGGAGTGTATGTTGAGCGATTTCTAGCTAAACCTGGGCCCAGCGAGGTGAACCCCTCTTTTCTCCAAGGTAGTTTTGCCACGGTGCGCTGAAAAAAACTATTGAAATGCCTTAGAAAAATAGGTTGGTGGGGTATGAGAACATAGGGAAAATGATTATCCTAACTTTTTATCGAGATCTTTCAAAGAAACCTCATGTTTTATGTGGATCTAATTGCATTCCAATTGCTTTAGTTTTTTTTTTTTTTAAACCGATGTTTTATGGCCAGATAGAACCTTTTGTTTACAGAAGAAAAGTGTATTCATACTTTCAAATATCTTTTTTATGTCCAAAGACAATCATAATCAAAGTTTATAGAAAGATAATACTTGTAAGAAGATATCTCAAATGAAGAGGATACTATTGGAGAGAGATGAGACCAAGCTGTCCAAAGTAAGAGTGTAATTTAGAACCTTATTTAAATTTGTTAGTTTTTTTAACTTTCAAAATGATGGAAAATATTAGGAGTAAAAGTGTAGATAGTAATCATCAGGGGTCAATAAGGCTGGTAGCCAAGAGTTTGATCCAGAGTCTTTTACAGGGGCGGAGGATAGGATTAGGGCTTAACATTTAGACAAAAGGAAAGTGTCCGGAGAAATCCTAGATAGGGCTATAAAGTCACTTTTCGATATCTAATAGCAGAAATAACTTTTGCAAGTCAGAAGAGCTATAATGATAAACTTCTAGCTTTAGACGAAAAGCCTCATGATAAATTCCAAGGTTTAGATGAAAAACTGCATGGCTTAAATAATAAACTCCAAGGTTTAAATGATAGACTTCAAGGTTTATATGATAAATTCAAAGGTGCAGGGGATAATCTCCAAAGTCACTCCAATTTTCTGGTGATTAACTCCAAGGTTCAAGTGATAAACTTCCAGGTTCAGGTGATAAATTCCATGGTTTAGGTTATACTGCAAGGTTCAGGGGATAAACTTTTAGGTTCAGGTGATAAATTCCGTGGTTCAGGTTATAAACTCTAAGGTTCAGGTTATAAACTCCAAGGTTCAGGATATAACTCCAAGGTTCAGGTGATAACTCTATTGTTTAGGTGATGACTCTTACACCTTATTTAAGACATACTTACGGACCCAAATACTGCACAGAGAGTTACAATGATGGAACACTCCCCCCCCCACTCCCCAAAGAACCCGAAGGGAGATTTCTCCAGTTAGCTAGCCTTTTAGCTTATGATTTGAAATTTGGAGTTTATCACCTAAAGCATGGATTTTATCGGCTAGAGATTGGATTTTATCCTCTGAGCCCGTTCTCTCCAGAGAAAGTGGTCGTGTAGTTCACGTACTTTGGGGGACAATATGTTGGCCGCTAGATGTCTCATGCTAAATTTCTATCTGATAGATAGATATTTCTCCGTACATTTGACGACCAATATAGGAGACGTCAAGTTGTCGACCAATGTAGTTTATGGAAGGAACGGCCTCTGGTCGCACCTTAACCAAAGAGTTTATTCTTAAATAAACCCGGGAATGTATCATCTAAACCATAATATTAATAAACTAAACCATGTTTTTCATCTAAACATTGGAATAAATCGTGCTAATCTTTGAATTTATCATCATTACTATTAAGCTTTTCGGCGAAACCCAAAAAGTTTAACCTTCAAGAATATCACTTTGTCCATGGATTCTGTCAGATAATTCTTGAAGTTTATCCCCTGAACTATAGAGTTAATTATTTAAATCTTTAAGTTAAAATATTTTTATTTTACAATTCTTTGATATCTTGATATTCTTTAAGTACGAGTTTTTCTTGATTGCTATTTTAACATACCTTATTTGATTTTTTTAAATACCCCTTCCTCCCTCTCACCAACCCCATTGCTGACCCCCTCACTAGCGGATATTAAAGCGGTCAATAATTTAAGATATATAATTCAAAGTAGCATTTTTTATTATCTTTGATTATAATTATCTTTGAAAATAAACTTATCTGTATGAATACATTTTTCGACGCAAATATTTCTTTTCTTTTAATCTTTACGTTTAACAAATCTTCTTTTTACGTAAATGTCGATTTTCAAACGCTAATAACTTCATCATTTTAAAGATATCTAAGTTCTCTAAAAAGCTAATGAAAGATAAGATTGGGCGAAAAAAGAGATCTTCAACTCCAGTCTGAATTACGGAATCCAACCACCAACAAGACAAATGTTCGACTTAAAGAGAACTTCCTGGGTATTTTGAAGGGCGTGGCTGCCTAGAGAAAATATTAAATGATATGGAGATTAAAAAACGCTAATAATACGGAATAAAGTTTAAAGGAAAAATTGTTTTTATATGCATTTACTGGTTTGTATCCCGCATCTACTTCAGGATGTTTTAGAAAAAGATTAGAGACAGATCGATAAAAGCGGCTAATGAGTGATAAAAAATATTAAAATCATATACAAAATCATATTGGTACATTTTAATCTTTCTTCTCTCAAAAGAACATTTCTAAGTGAGTGTAAAAGATAATTACAAAAAATACTATTAAAAATAGATATATTTGAGGTAAAAAGTTAAGTATATAATGTAAATATATCACAGGTTCTTTGTGGATGTTAAAGGGTAAACATTTTAGTATTAAAAAACCTATAAATTTAAATCCAAATTCACCGACGCTTGAACACGAGAAATAATGCAATATAATACGAAAACAATGATTAATTACAATGCGGTTTACTTGATCAATAAAAAAATCAAAATAAATAAAGATTTATAATGAAAATAGATTTTTATTGGAAAGATTTACTTGATCAAGTGCACATTAAACAAAGTTTCTTTTATTAAAACATTGAGATAAGAAACTTAGGAAAAGAAAAATAATTGGTCCAGATTACTTTATCAGTCGAACGCAAATTAACGGCGATTGTAAATTGTCCAAAGAAAGTAGGACTGATCAGGAAAACAAAATAAGGTAAAGTTAAGTATATGAAGATGAAGAGTAATGCCAAGGATGAGGGTTCGCAGCAAAATACAAATAGGACATTTTAATAAACAAATTAGCATATCTGCCTAGTACATTTAATGGATAAAATATATCCTTTATAACAATTTTCAAATGTCTAGTTGAGCAAAATGTTACCGAGTTTACAATTTTCTTTTAACATGTTCTGTAAAAAGGACCTCACTAGTCTCCTGGAGTTTATAATAACTCTTGTAATAATAGAGATAAATGGTGCATACTTTGCACCTATATTCTTTTAATCCATAAGGGACAGAAAAATAATTCAAATTTTTTTTCTTGATCAGGGGCGTAGAAAGGGGGGGGTGTGTGTGTGTGGCCCAAAACATGTATTTATAAAAAGAAATATTTTATTGCCGATATATCAATGATCTAAGATCCAAAATGAACCATTTTTATTGAAAGGAGCGCCAAGAATTCCAATATCGTTGACCACCCTTCTCATGGATTTAATTAGTCAAAAACTAACCATTTTGAACCATTCCAACCTTTAGAAAGTGTCTTCAATAGCTTAAGGATCCAAAATGAACCATTTTTATTGAAAGGGGCCCCTAGAAATTCAATTTTACTGAACACCCCCATCTTGGATTTTGTCAAAAACGACTAAAATAATAATTTTAAAATATTTTAATCCATACCATCTTTTAGGAAGTGTCTTCAATAGCTTAAAGATCCAAAATGAAACATTTTTATCCAAAATCAAATAGTTTTTTACAAATGAAATCCAAGAGGGGAGTGTTCAGTGAAATTGATTTTCTAGGCGCCCCTTTCTATAAAAATGGTTTATTTTGGGTCTATAAGCTATTGAAAACACTTTCTGAAAGTTGTATGGTTTGAAATAATCTAAATTAATTATTTTCTTAGTTTTGACAAATGAAATCCATAAGGGGGGTGTTTAGTGATATTTTTTATCTTGACGCCGCTGAAAAAGTATTTATTGTTTATCATTTCAAAGAAATATTAAATATTTTTATGATTTTACTTTCCTTTCCTTATTTAATTTTGCATTAATGGCATTGATTCTTCTTCAATTTCAAAAGTCTGATGTGTATCAAACGGCCCCCTGACTATTGGCTTTTTAGCCCCTGAACCATTCAGGGCTCCTCCGGTAAGGTGAATCTGTCCTAGTAAGGCTTTTTTGTTGCGGTCTAATATTCTGTCAGACCTAGAATCTTGAAAAAAATTATGAAATATCGGCAATAGAATATTTGTGTATATTAATACCTGTTTTGGGCCACCATATCAATGATCCAAGATCCAGAATGAACCATTTTTATTGAAAGGGGCGCCTAGAAATTCAATTTCACTGAACACCCCCATCTTGAATTTTGTCAAAAACGACTAAAATAATAATTTTAAAATATTTTATTCCATACCATCATTTAGGAAGTGTCTTCAACAGCTTAAAGATCCAAAATGAAAATTTTTTATCCAAAATCAAATAGTTTTTTACAAATGAAATCCAAGAGGGGGTGTTCAGTGAAATTGATTTTCTAGGCGCCCCTTTCGTTAAAAATGGGTTATTTTGGATCTATAAGCTATTGAAAACACTTTCTGAAAGTTGTATGGTTTGAAATAATCTATATTTATTATTTTCTTAGTTTTGACAAATGAAATCCAAAAGGGAGGTGTTTAGTGATATCTTTTATCTTGACGCCTCTGAAAAAGTATTTAATGTTTATCATTTCAAAGAAATATTAAATATTTTTATGACTACTTTCCTTTCCTTATTTAATTTTGCATTAATGGCATTGACTCTTCTTCAATTTCAGAAGTCTGATGTGGATCAAACGGCCCCCTGACTATTGGCTTTTTAGCCCCTGAACCATTCAGGGCTCCTCCGGCAAGGTGAATCTGTCCTAGTTAGGCTTTTTGTTACGGTCTAATATTCTGTCAGACCTAGAATCTTGAAAAAAATTATGAAATATCGGCAATAGAATATTTGTGTATATTAATACCTGTTTTGGGCCACCCCCACCCCCTCTCCTACGCCCCTGATCAAGAAAAAAAATTTTTAATATTTTTCTGTCCCTTACGGATTAAAAGAATATAGGTGCAGAGTTAACACCATTAATCTCTATTATTACAAGAGTTATTACAAACTCCAGGAGACTAGTGAGGTCCTTTGTTAAATAAATTCATAATTTCGGACTTTTCTCTCTCGATAATTATAACTTATGAATTATAACTTATCAATTATAACTTATCTCGAAACAATACATTGCTACATTCTAGTTTCTACAATATGCTTAAATTACCAAAATATCTATATGGAAAGAATTGTTTTATTTCAGCCAGTTCTCAGTGTTTCATTGATCTGAATATGATTGTGAAATATGAATGATGACTGATGGTATACTTACTAAACATGTGATATGAGAGAAAACTAGACATGTGAAATCAGAGAAACAAGTTTAATGCTTAGGAATTATATTTGCAATTGCATTGGATACAAAATTTAAAAATTAATTATTTTTGACTAAATGTTTGCTGAACTGCATATCTACAATAACCAGTCCCCACTCATAATATTACTTATTGATATATTATTTTAACATTAATGAATTCATCAAAACTTCTGTCAAAATATAATTTTAGAATTATGGAATTACACCTAATTCCTATTTTGCTAACCTAATTTTGATTTTAATGCCTTTATGCCTGTTTTTCCTTTGTCAGGGACCTATATTGAGTATTGTCGATATTTTATCAATCGTGTGAATATCTAGATTGAACCAATCAAAGGTAAAGTTCTCTCCATCATTTCCATAGTTCCCCGATTGTTGTACCAGGTTTACAACTAGGTTTAAGGATTCGTCCTCTAGCTCAGGGTCTGATAGTGCACTGTGAATTTCCTAAATACATAAATAAATATTTGGTGTCAGGTACTTTCCCAAAGGCATTTAACCAAGGGCGACTTCCAATGTGACAATTTTTCAAGTGACAACTTCCCAAATGTGCAATTTCCTAAACGGCAACTTTCCAGAGGTTAGGTTAGGCCCTCTGATGCGCCGCAGGCTGCATTGGGGACCGAGCGCAGTGGCTAGGATGTGTTAGGGGGCCGAGCGCTGCGACTAGAGCATGCTGGGGTCGAGCGCTGCGGCTAGGATAGTTTTGGGAAGTTGCCGCTTGGGTAATTGCACATTTGAGAAGTTTCCACTTGGGAAAATACTCTTGGGAAGTTTCTACTTGGGAAAAGTCTTTGGGAAAGTACCTAGCATCAAATATTTAACTTCCTGATATCCAAGAAACACGGACGTATTTTTAATTGGATGTTATCCAGTACAAATCTAGATATCTATTAAACTTGATACTCGGTCTAAAACAATCTTTCTGTCCTATAATGGTCACTGTATTATCTTTTTTGGATTTAGATATTGATGAAAAATATTAGTTTTTTTGTTTCAGCCCTTTAAGAAACAATGCAGGACGTTGTCATCAGCATTGAATGCATTCTATATTATTTTACCATTAAAAAATCTATTTACACATGAGATAAGGAAATTTTAATTTATTTTTAATTTCAGAAAATAATTCAGCATGCCACTAATCAAGGTTACCAGAGGCTGGGAATAAATTTTTATCCCCCATAAACGTACAAAAGTCTGGCGACCTTCAACAAATGAATAAGATGTAAAAGTGAAGCTCCATTAAGGTTTAACATGAGGAACTCCTAAATGTGAAAACTTTGCTTTATGACTCGAAACTCACCAGATGTTTACCAACAAGATTATATGTGAACTGTACCTGAATTCTGGTAATATATACAGGGTCGACAACCTCATGAAGTGAAGGAAATAAAGTATGTGATGCTTGACAAAGTTCATCCTCTGAACACTCATCCATACTCATCCGAGATTTTTTAATTCGCTCCGGTTCTATCACAGACGGATAAAGTTGTTCCTCTTTCAACTTTTCTTCCTTCATCCGCTCCTTCATCTCCTTTTCCTGAATTGCTCTTTCGTCTCTTCTCCGTTCTTCAATCAGTAACACTGCTTTAACTCTTTCTTCTTCAAGTTTTTCTTCTTTTAATCTCCCTTCTATTTTTCTCTCCTCTTCAATTTGTTCTTGACGCTTTTGTTTACTAAATTTGTCTTCGCTTAAATGAAATTCTTCTTTGAACTTCTTCAATTTTTTCTTCTTTTTAGGACTACGGTGAATACTACTACTTGAGAGAGGAGACAGAGGTTGAGTTAAGCAAAGTTTATCTTCGTAGGGAGTTATTAAAGGGCTCAGACTCTGAAAAGATTAATATTAATAGTAATAGGATTCTATGTATAGAAATTATGAAAATACATAAGCAAATAGATAGAAATAAGGGAAAAATAGAGCTTACCTTTTCCTTAACAGCTGGACGGACTGGAGATGGAGAGGATGATCTGGATACATAACTCGGAGATCTTGACATACTGGAAGATCTAGATCTGGACTTCAATCTTGATCTTGTTGAGGATCTTGACAATGATCTTGAAGCAGCGACAGATTTGGAGCGTGAATTTGATCTAGAGACAGATCTAGAGATAGATCGAGAGGAAGATCTTCTTACAGTTGAATTAACAAGTTTGCCAGGTTGTCCAGACTTCTCAGATTTAGTTTCGCCAAGATTTGAAAGAGCTGAGGTAGGTCTAAACATTTTTCATGCATTAAATTCTTTATATTATATATATTAAATTCTTTATATTATATATAATAAATTCTTTATATTATATATAATAAAAAATAAAATAAAATTACCTTGAATCGTTTTCTGATAAGTCGGAATCACTTTCAGAAATTGAAATTTTCTTTTTCTTCATGGGTTTAGGCTGACCATCTTTTCCTCCCCCTTTTGTTTCCCTCTTTCCTAAACTTTCATCTTCAGAAATATCTCTGTTTTTATTCTTGAAAACTGAGGCAACTAGGCTCGTTGCCTTAGCTTTTGTTTCAGGAATATCTGAATCAGAATCTGAACTATTCTTAATATCGGAGTCCGAGTCTGAATCAGAAAGCATTGCATTTCCAGTTTTTTTGTTTTTCTTCCCTGTCTGTTTTTCTTTCATCTCCCTCCTTCGTTTTTTCTCCTTTCTTTCGCGTTTTGAGCTATCCCGGATGCCCATAGACTCCTGTTCCAGTATATCAACTTCATGTTTTTCATCCTCTTGCTTGAACTTAAGTGATATGTCATCCCGGTCATTCTTTCTAAATTCCTTTTTTGATTCCTCTTTTATGAAATTCTTCATTTTCATGAAATCTTTTCGGGGCTTAACACTTTCTGTTCTGACTGAAATTGTACTTCCTTTATCAGATCGATTTTTTTGCCTATCCTTTTCTTTGGCTTTTTTCTCCCTCTCCCTGTCTTTTTTCTCCCTTTCTTTGCGTTCTTTTTCCATTCTTTCTTTTATTCTCTTTTCTTCCTCAAGCTTTTCCAACTTTTCCTTTTCTAAACGTTCCTTTTCCCGCTCAGCTTTCTCTTTTTCCAATCGCTCTTGCTTTTCCTTTTTCTCTCGTTCCTCCTTGGCTTTCCGTTCCTTCTCTTGCTTCTCCTTCAATAAGCGTTCTTTATCTTGTTTAGCTCTTTCCAATCTTTCTTTTGCTTCTTTGTCCTTCTTTTCTTTATCCTTTTTTTCTTTTTCCAATTTCTCTTTTTTCTCTTGTTCTTTTCTTAATCTTTCCTGTTCTGCTTTTTCTAGTCTTTCCTTTTCCTGCCTTTCTTTTTCTAGTCTTTCCATTTCTTTCTCCTTTTCCCGTTCTCGTTCTCTGTCTTTCTTCTTCTCCTCTTTGACTCTTTCTTCATCTCTCCTTTTTTTGTCCCTGTCCTTATCTTTGTTTTTATCCTTGTGCTTTTCATTGGAAGACTCTTCCCTCTTAATTTCTTCCTTTCTTCTGGAATCCTTATAACTCTTAGGGGATGATTTCTCCTGTTTAGCACTGTGATGCCTAAATAAATACAAACATATTAAGTAAGACGGGAAAGGCAAACTAACAGAAAAACTAAAAATACATAAGGTTTTCTTTTTTACCGTGAATGAGAAGATTTCGATGACGAGGACGTTGAATGTCTATCCGATTTTTCACTTTTACTCCTATCCTGATCCTTAGATTTAGTAGGAGAGTGTTTGGATGACTTTTTCTTGTCCTTTCCACGCTCTTTTTCACGCTCCTTCTCTGTGTCACGCTCTTTCACTTTGTCACGTTCTTTATCTTTGTCTCGTTCCTTATCTTTGTCTCGTTCCTTATCTTTGTCTCGTTCCTTATCTTTGTCTCGTTCCTTATCTTTGTCTCGTTCCTTATCTTTGTCACGTTCCTTCTCCTTTTCCCTGTCTATTTCCTTTTCTTTTTCACGATCTCTAGACTTTTCACTGTCCTTTAATTTTTCATCTTTTTTTATTTCTTGTTTCTTTATAGGAGTACCAAACAAGACTGCAAAGTCACTTTTGGGTTTTATGATAGATTTAGTTTTCTCCTCTGTAGCAATCTTCTTTTTTTCGTCTCGTCTTTCTCTTTCTTCTTTTTCACGCTTGTCTCTATGTTTTCTCCTCTCTTCATCCTTTTTATCCCTTTCTTTATCCTTGCTTCGGCTCTTTTCCTTGTCTCGGTGTCTTTCATTCTCCTTATGCTTGTCCTATGGATTGATATTTATGATCATTACGTTAAGACTGTGATGTCCAAAATCCATAAAACGAAAAAACGTTTGTTAATGATTGTTAAAGGTTACCTTGTTACTTTTCCCTTGATCTTTCGGAGAAATTTTTGCATCACTTATTTTCCCTCCTCCAGCTAACAACTTTCTTCGAAACTCTTCACTTTTAGAGGGTAATGTCATCCTTAAATGCAATAAAGGTTGAGGGTTTGATATTCAAATGAGGATTTTCTTTTTGAAGATTATGAAATTCAATTGGGAAATCCTAAATATTCGTATATGTGGGCAGGGGCGGATATAAGGATTCTGTAGGGGGGGGTAAAAATTTTCAGTTTAGCGCGCGAAGCGCGCCGAAATTTTTTTTACCCCCCCCTAGAAATTTTTTTACCCCCCCCTAGAAAAATATCATGATGTATATCAAATTATTGGTTTTAATTGGGTTTGCTTTGCATTTTCCACTCATTTCTGGGATTTACAAACTCAATCTAATAAAGGCTTCATTACATACCTTTCAGCTTTCACCTTGTTTTATACCCTTCATTAAAGTCATTCATTTTACATTAACTACAAAGATCTGTACTAAAAACTGAATTTATTTATTTTAACTAAACTTTTTATATTAAGTTTGCTGGCAAACATTGACAAAAAAGGCAGTAATATAAAAAATAATAGTTTTACTCTAAGAGGAAAAAGATGTTACTTTTTTAAATNAAAAACTTTTACTATCATGAAAATGCACTTGAGTGCAGACTAATCAATAGGGAATGCATTTTTTTTTGAAGTAAACTGTAACTTCTAGAGGCAGCAAGTGGAGTAACCCCTGCTATTCAGGACCTGAATATATGTTCAGGGGTAATTACCTCTAGGATTCTAGGGGGGGGTATTTACCCCCAGGATTCTAGGGGGGGGTATTTACCCCCAGGATTCTAGGGGGGGGTAAATAACCCCAATAACCCCCCTTATATCCGCCACTGTATGTGGGGAAATGATTCTGCTAAGTACAGAGCGTTCCATATCATATTATATTATCTTCCAACCTTTAACGCCAAAATACGAATGTAATACTGGAAAAACCTACTATTTTCTTCATGCATATTTTTATATCAGCCTATTACAATTCTTCAAAATGATTCATCAATTTTAAATTTTCTGATTAGTCCTGAAAATTGAAGTTTAGAGCAAAAGACGATCTAATATGATGTGGGACACCCTGTAGCTACACCCAATACTCTTTTATTTATATTAGTAAGTTTCCGTAGTACTTTATTAGAAGCTCATTATGTTTTGTAGACCAAAGTTGAACATTTCTAAATTTCTCTGTGAAGTTGATGTGATCAGTAATATTTCTTAAATTATTTTTATACCGGGCATAGAATAAAAAGATGGTTACCAAAAACGTAAAAAAATAAATGAAGAAACAACAGTTTAATTACCTAATAGGTTTCTTAAGATTGAACTCCTTGGAGTATCCTAATTCTCCTGGAACAGCCGATTGGAGCAGAAGTTCATACGTTATTTGATTCTAAACATAGATCATTAGTAATTAAGTAAAAAAATCCCGAAACGAATAAGGCGAACATTTGCCCTGCAAGCAGCAGTAATAAAAGGAAATAGCCCAAAAGAAAGCTTAGCCCAGAGAATGTCTTGACATATCGGACTCTATTTATTGCTTTTAACTTAGTGCTTCAAGACAAATCTTTTGATACTCATTCTGATATATTTTGAAGATATTTTTGTGAACTAATCAACCTTAAATTTCATAAAAACCGGTTTCCGGTTGGCAATTTCAATTTGCGAGAAAAATGTCTTTTAATAATGTTGTTTTATTATCCAAAACTAATCCTGAGTGGAATGGAAAATATTGATCATCCAGAAAAGTGCAAGTTAATAATTTTTTTGCCCCAAGACCTTTTAGGGAGCTGACGGTCCGAGCGTTAAACAATTGTCTTGTTTTCTTGCTGGGCAACCCAAAATATATAGCCCTGGCTAACATAATATTTTACATAGTAAGTTTTAGATGACTGGTTAAAAAGAAACGTGAAAGGGGGGAGGGGGGCACAAAATGTATGCTACTTTAATCAAAACATAGGTAAAGGCCAATCGATATTTGAGCATTCCGACCGACGTGCTATGCTAATCGCCAGCTGATACCTTGTGAGGCATCCTACCACAAATTTGATATGCTGTATATCGATTTATATGTTACTGGGCCCAAGGATTATATTTTTATGGTTAAAAATTTCTGTTTGAGCACTCTGTTAGGCACGAACCAAAAAATGCATGTGCAATGTACAATACATATTTTTAAGTTCAGATGCAAAAATCACACTGTTGCACACTGTTAAAAATTCCCAGAGAGTAATAAGTCTTGTGACCCCCCCCCCCGTTATCAATCTTTAAGACCCACCTTTTCTAAATTTTTTTCCTGAGTTTGGAAGTATATCTCAATTGTAATTCCAAAGCTCCCGTATCCGGTTTCTTTGACAGAATATGGTGGTTTCCGAATTACTCTGTGCGGTTTGGTAAAAGATTCATGAAGTTTGAACAATACCTAAAACAGATTAAAATCTGGAAATCATGACAAATCAGTTAAATATAATGTAAGATTACGGAAGCCTCTTACTTCTGCCTTGTTATACATAACAATTCCATTTATAATTATACAGTTCTAACGCTACACATAAGAAAATAAAAAAGGAGAAAAAAATTTTCTTTGGGGATATTTTTTTGAAGAATTTTCCCCGCCGTGGGATTTTTAAAATTTGAAGAAAAATTAAATTAAAAAGAAAAAGAAAACAAGAATTTAATAATTCCGAAAATACTGGGGGGGAAAGCTCGTAGTTTATAAAGAATGGGTCGACATGTTAGATTCACATTCGTAAATATTTAACTTTAGTATGATCAAGGACGACGTAAATGTTCTTAATGTTCTATATATATATTATACTTTTTAACTTCTATATTTTATATTTGTTTTGTGGTTCTTAGCAAAATATATTCCAAAATTGGGTGCAAAATTTGAAAGAAAATTAGAGCCGACGGAGGCCTATACCCAGAGGTTCCAAGTGTTAAGGAAAACATATCATACTCACAAATCTTTACAACTATTTAGTATATATCCTCATTACATCAAATCCTGCTCCTACGATGTTATGTGAGTAATCATTCAATTTTAAAACTGGTTACCATCAACGTCGAACGAGATTTTACAATTGTCTTGCTTGCAACGGGTTTAACAATATATAATCAACAGAGGAACATAATTTAAACAATTACAACCCTTCCCCCCCCCCCCCGGGGTAAATGATTTATGATGAATCAGGGGACGGGAGGCAGGGGGGGTGTTAAGTTTTTTTCAACCTTTTTGATACCTTTTTCTCAAGAAAAAATAATTAATTAATTTCCTCATAAAATTGTTTAATTCAGCTAAAAAATTTCATGGCACTCCGCGCAAACATACATAAAATTATTTTCAAAGAGGGGGGGGGGGGGTGTAGAAAGAAAAAAATGTCCCAAGAAACAAAATCCCATTGAACAATGAACAGACAGTGTAAAATTTTCTACCTTATCCACATAGTTATCAATTCTGTTTCCGTCTATACCCTTGACCCAGACCTCCCAGTCGTGAGTATGCTTGGTACCATCAATGATCAGAGGTTCCGCACGTAGTGTAGCTTTATGTCCTGACAACATCACGCTATTCTAGAAAATGATAACGACAAACCAGGAAGGTAAAGGTATTTCTACAAAACAACTCTTCTGGATGTAATGCAATGTCTTTACTGATAAAATAATTATCGTTATATTAACATTTCTGGGAGTTTTTATTCTAAAAATAAAAATAGACTTGATTTTTTTTAAAGAAAATATTCTCTAATAATAAATATTAAAAATTAGATTAAAGTTTTTCTTGCATTCTAAATAATTAAAAAAAAAAGAAGGCAACAGGTTGATTAACATTACGAATTAAGAATTTTGAGAAAAAACATGATGTTGGATGTTTTAAATAGTAAGCGTGATCTGTTCCTATCTCTAGAACAATTTCTATGGGTAGAGCTTCCCTCTTTTCTCCCATCCTAAAAATGAGAAATTAAAAATTAAAATAATTGTACGTTTACCCCATACTCCCCATCGCAAGGATTATAAAATAATTTTTTCAAACAAATCCAATTAAAAATTTGTGGAATAATTTAAATCAAGTTCACGTTTGTTTTAATTGTGTCCCCTACTTGCAAAACTTTACTACTCAAATATTAATAATGGGTTCAGGACAGTTACACAAAAAGAAGTAACTTAAACATGAAGGCATCATAAATGTCTTACCTTATGGCATACTAACAGTGATACTCAATCCAGCCGCAAAATCATTTTTTATCGTGGGAAAAAAATTCCAATCTGAATAGGCAACATTCGTTTATACTCCAAATTTTCAGGTAAACTGGTTTCAAATCACAGAAATACGGAGGGATATTAGAAATAGATATGAATTATCAAAAATAATATATCACAAAACAATTATAAATTATATTTTTTACAATAGTAATTTACATTACCACAAAATGTATTTGTCGTATGATATCAAAATTGACGTTCAACCTTCGCTTAATTAAAGGAAAAATCTAAGTCAAGCTTTCTTGGTAAAATATCAGGTTTGTGGTTGATTGGTTTCTCCGGCCAGCTTTGGGTCTCTTCCTCACTATAGTTCCCTAACATGATCAGGTACATTTTCAAGTTTGGAAAATCATGGAGTTCGTCTAACTCAATTTCCTTCAGTGCCATATATACCTAATATAATATACATTTATAGAAAATTTTTAAATAGTTTTAATTTGGGAAAAATCAAAATATGGCAGAATACAGATGGAAATAATGAAATTCAAGGGAAAGGATTTGAAATAATGCCAATGGTATTGTATAGAATGGGAAATATTAATGGTGCATCCCTTCTAGGGATGAAAATTACAGCTCATCTAGCAAACCTTCCAGGGTGATTAACAGAAGCTTGTGGAAAATGTTAAATTAAATGTAATCGAGAATGCAGGAGGTGGAATTATGGTCCGCATCCGAACTTGTGGGTAGGGGAGTCAAAACGGTTTATGAAAAAAATATAAAGATTTAAATGGGGAAAAGTTTGGCATATTCTTTGCCAATATAACCAGTACAACAAGCAGTTGTCTGACTGCCTCCGGTATCAGGGCTCACAACTCCCCATTTTGCATAAGGGGTACAGTTATAGGGTTTCCTTAATCCCCTAACTCGGAAAGAGTATAATAAAGAAGAAGAACACGGAGCAATCCTCCATACCCTTCTTACTACAAACCTCCTTATCTCTACCCTACCTGCTCTACAACTCGATGTTAAAAGAACTAAGGCCCTTAAGTGTAAAAAAAAAGAAAAAAAGAAAGAAGAAGAATACTTTGAACAGGAAAATTAGAAGGGGATTTAAAGTGTAAAAACAAGAAACAAAAAGCAAAAAAGAAAAAAAATTGAACAGAAAAAAGTGGGAGGGAATCTCTTAACAGATTGAACAAATTGAACAGAAAAAAAGTTGAAGGAAATCTCTTGACAGTAGAAATATAGGCTTTGAAGACGTCCCCTCCCCCCCCGGGAGGGGGTGTATAAAGCACGCCCCCCTCTCCCCAAGAAAATATCATGGAAAGTGTGTCAAAAAGCAGATGACGCAAAAATTGATGTGTCAGCTACCTGCAAGGGAAGAGGGTAGTGACCTTGCACACTCTCACTCCCCCCCCCCCCCTTCAGGACCTCAAGAATTCAATATAATTCCAAGAATACAGGGCTTGGAAAAATAGTTCTTTCTTGTAAATTGGCTAATTACAAGGGCATCCAAAAAATTAATTTCTTTTTATTTTCAAAATTAGCCAAAGTGTATGATTGAAGAATGGGCGATCAAGAAAAAATGAGGAACAAGAAATATAGAAATCTCAAAATATTTCCCTCTGATATCAGATAAATATTTTAGAATATTGTAAAATTTAATTAAAACAAATCATCAAAGTTAAAAAACCAGTACAACAAGACCTGAGATAATAAATTCGTAAAAACAGGTAAGTGCGTTCCTGTTCAAGCACCGAGCAGTAAATACAACTAATCCTACAGCCGAGCCAGTCCAGGTAAAACGTGCTTTTAGGAATGTGAATGGGGTTGGAGGTCCAACTAAAAAGAGATTGGTTGTGAGTATTCTAGAAGAGCAGTACCTGATCTAGGATTGGCAGTAACCCACTCGAGGGAAGGTCACCATGAATATTTATCAACGTTCAAAGGATACAGGGAAGTTACGATTGAGTAAGGCTTCGGAGCAAAGATGGGAGAAGGGCTGATGCTGTTAATTAAGGAGTGGGTCAAGCACTCCTTGTTTAATCCATTAGACTCAGAAAAAGAGAAAGAGAAGAGCTGGGTGATGTTGCATGCGGAAGAGTCAAGAATTGCAGTGGGATTTATTCATATGACAGCACAAGTACCAAACAATGAAGAGTTTAAAGTGTGGAATAATAGGATGTATTATTATGATAATGAGCAGATCAGGATCAGGAATACGCTGTCCTCACTACTTTGGTTTACTTGGGGAGTGAAACAGGGAAGCGCACTACCAGTCCTTCTATTTGCTCTGTATATTGCCGGATTGGGTATGAAACTCCAGGAGATGAAGCTGGGAGTGGAGCTTGGGGGAGGAGACCTCACAGGGATGTTTTACGCAGATGATTTAATTTTAATCTCAGGAACTCCATGCAGTGCAGAGGAATGAATACCCTGCTAGGGTTGATGGATAAATACTACAGGGTTACAAGGATGTCTTTGTCAGTGACCAAAACGTTTGTACTGAGTACTAGGAGAGCTGGTAGATCCTGGAATATAGGTAAGTCGGGGAACACACTGGAGGACTCAATGATGGCCAAGTATCTAGGAGTCAACATACAGTTGAGAGGAAAATGTACAGTCAGGAGAGAGGAGGATGTCATCTCCAGTGCAATGAGATTTACTCACTCTATCATGAATCTGACCAGAGCAAACCTTGACTGGTCTCGGGTTGCACGGATTTTGTGGGAGTCATTTGGAGTACCCTCCATTCTTTATGCTGTGGAGGCTATGGTCTTAAGCAAAGAGACTGTTGTGGCCATAAAGAAGTTTTAGACCGATGTTGGAATTTTCATCCTGCAGACCCCAAGGTCGACCTCCAAGGTATCCACGTGGACGGAGACTGGTCTGATGCAGTTCAAGTAAAGGATCTGGCTCAGGGTGGCAGTGTACTACTGGAGAATTGTGAACAGGAAACAGGATCAAATCCTGAAAGAGTGTGTTAAGGAGCTATAAGAACAAGGAGTGGATGACCCTTTGATGAGACAGATATTGGAGATAGAAAAAAAGATGAGGTCACCAATTACGGGACTCAAGCTCAAGGAGCTCAAGGAGAAAGTAATTGAGAGGGCTGTCATATTCGTCCTGGATATCAAGAGAGAACATGGATCCTTGAAATCTCATCCTTAACCGTCCGAGTGATTCAGGCTACAAAACCATGTGAGTGACTCACAGTATAGTATGATACTTAACATGGCAACAATGTCAGGGAATCTTCTGTAAGTTTGGTAAACAGTGGAAGATATGCCCGGACTGTAGGAAGATTGGTCAAGATTTGAAGCTGGATGAAGGGCATGTGATCCTTGGGTGTTCACTAGTATCAAGCACACGAGGGAGCACAGGGGTAGAAGAGCTCGTCAAGCCACAAGTGTAATGTTAAGAGGATTTCTTGGGCAGGACAGAGCTGGGGTGGTAGAACTCCGGAACAGAGCAGTTCATATCCATCCACTGGTGGGGCAGTGGCTTCTCAAAACGAGGAATTTGCCCTAATAATGCAACTGGAGAATTTTGATCTGGCAGGGGTAGGCTTGCCTCCTAGCATGCAGAATATCCATGATTACAGATAGTTAAATGATTGTTTAATTTATTGAAGTCATGGTGGTCTTAAAAAACAAAACAAAAAAAAACATGTACCTTCATTAAAAGTACAGATATTTAATGTAACAATCTGGAAAATTTTTTAAATGAATAACGTGTTTAAGAGTGCTATACTAAAGAACATATTGAACCAAGAGTTTAGGGGGGCCAAGGAGGTTGGCCTATGGCTACAGAATACAACGGGTTCTGGTAACCCTGCACCCGGGTACACTTGCATCCAGGGTTCAGTAATAGTACATGCCTTAAGAGAACTAAACAGGCTACCCCAGGCGTGATTTATTTGCGTATCGTTCAGGGGAGTGCTGATGGGTGGGATTGCCTGGGACCAGGAACAACCCCAGCAATTTTCTTCAAATGAATAAATAAAATAGGATAAAAGGCTCTCTTAAATTCATACTAAAAAGGCCTGAACCACAAAGAACAAGAAAATCTTATATCTTTCTTAAACAGAAATACCTGACGATCCTCCTGGCACGGTTTAGTTCCATGAAGATAAAGAAAAACACCCTCATCTGCTGTAACCATACTGGAAGGAGCGGGGCTGTCAGGGGGTGTACCATATTCAGAACTTCCAATACTACTTATACTAGAATTTCTCCAATTGTGTTCTCCAGATAGATCTGGAGGAGGAGAAAAGTCTCCAGAAGATGACGGCTCTCTAGGTTTTTGAGCTCCGATAGGCGAATTTATCCATGAAAAATCTTCAGAAACTGATTCTCGCCCTAGCTCAGAAGAGTCACTGCCGGAGAAAACCTGAACTCAAGAACATTACAATTTTATAAAAAAGTGAATACGAAACAAAATTCTCAAAATGTGATATTTGATTACATTGAATTGTAATTTTCCTTTGAATGCAGAAACTTTCTGGCCTGGTTTACTTGCTTCGTAGAAACCCTTGAATTCCTTCCATTAATATTCAGTTGATTATTTCAAATTGTGTAATGTACATGCTATTAATTGAAATTTATTTCTTTAAAGTTGGTTTCAGTTTTATCTGTTAGGTTAAAGTTTTTCTTATCTGGAGATACATTCAGGGGTGATTATTTTTCAGAATTAATAATATTTAAAGATTTAGGAAAAAAATTGGACATAAAAGGCAAGTTTTTCTTTATTTTACTTTTTACTCAAAAATTTATTTATTTTCTCCGAAAATTTATTTATTTTCCCAATACAGCGAGTAAAACTAATTATGCCGCTCCGCTCGATCATACATAAAATTTGGAGGGAAAAAATAATAAATTTACAGTGCATGAAGTTTGAAATCGACAGGACAGGTAGACTGACCAAAATTTCTATGTTCAAAGCCAGATATATATTTATATATGTGATGCAAATAAGATTTTATTTTCAATTTACTTCAGATATCAATGGTTTGCCTCGTGTTTGAAGGGAGTAAGTCCCAGAGTGTTTCCAGGTTCTGATTCTCAGGAAATCCTTGATTCTCCATATAGTATACCAGAATCCGAGCTAAAGGTTGAATCTCACGAAGTCGTGACAAATCTTTGCGCTGAACACCGGGTAAACGGAAGCTCATAACATCTCCTATTATTTATCAAAAATCTAGATTAGGTATTTTGTTTGGCCACAGAAACATTTAATTAAAAATGCATTGTTATTAATTAGGGTGAAATTCCTAATTAAGTAGGGTTTAGTATAAAATTAAAAAATGATTCTTAAAAAATTTAATTGTAATATTACCTTGAACATTTTGATCCGAAGATCCAATTTTAAAACTCGCCAGCCGATCTAGGATTTCTTTTATTTTATCAAGTTCTATAAAATCCAACTCCACATCTAACTCTGCTACAATTCCCTCCACAACCCGAATCAAGAGAGCGGAGTAGTCTAAGCCTGTCCATCTACCAGCCGGGTCGCTTCTCATATTGTTAATATGTCTTTTAAATAATTATTACAAAAACAAAACAAAAACGCTAGAGCTATATTCTTGAGATGTCTCGAAACTTCTCGAACACAAAGCTTTCAGCTCAAAACCTCAAATATTCAATACTTTGCATTCATAGTACCAGTAAAGTTGATTCTATTTAAAAGAAAAGAAAATTTGTTGCTGGGTTTTTAGTAATAATTATCCCTGCGCAAAGTTTCCCAGTGTGGAAGTAAAGCTGAGCCCCAGTCTTGAATCTCTAGGTCGGAGTCGGAGCTAGGAACGGAGTTGGTGAGAGCGTGAGAGAACATGAAACTGAATTGTGATACCAAATCCTAAATAGCAATTGGTGCACTCTATGTAGAACAAAGAATGAGACCAAGAATGGGTTTTATTACTCTTATTACTTCAAAAATGATTAACTGCTGGAGACTAGTGAGGTCCTTAATACAATATCTATCTATATACTTTGCTTGTCTGGGTGTCTGTTTGTTTGTTTGTATCGAACAAACGTCAAAAATGCTGAACCGATCGGGCCTAAATTTTGTGTGGGACTTTACATGTCCCCAGGGAAGATTTATTTATATATGTTCAAAATTTCAAAATTTTATCTACAACAAATTTGATTAGCATTAAATTTTGAAAATCCACAACATTTTTTATAAAATCTGCGAACTTTTTTGTTTTTATTTAACAATGTATGCGAAGAGAAAATGTTCACAAATGGAATAGAAGACCGCAAATATTTTTCGATGTTGCGTAATTTCACAAACTTAGCTCTTGGAGGTGGGGTGGGTGTCCACACACCCAGTTAAAAAAATGTATGCTTCCTTAATTTAAAAAAGAAAGAACCCGTGTCAAGTAAGACATTTTGTAATATCTCTTTCAATATTAATAGCAGCCGGTTCTATTTTTGAACGTAAGACTCATATAATTTGTTAGGAGCAGGATATGAAGTCAGATTGTCGATATCTCTTTCCGGAGTCTTGGAACCTCTGAAAAGTGACCTCCGTCGGCTCCGATTTTTTATCTAATCGAATTTATCAATGAATCATCCGGTTTATCAATAAATGACCTAGATAATCAATACACCATCTAGTTAGTAATCAATCCTTCGGTTTATCGATCAATCATCATCATTGGGAGTATATATTTAAAAAATGGGCTATTTATGTCCAACGAGGCCGGAGATAAAAAATCGGAGCCGACGGAGGTCACTTTTCAGAGGTTCCAAGACTCCGGAAAGAGATATCGACAATCTGACTTCATATCCTGCTCCTAAAAAATTATATGAGTCTACGTTCAAAAATAGAACCGGCTGCTATTAATATTGAAAGAGATATTACAAAATGTCTTACTTGACACGGGTTCTTTTTACTTACCTCGACTTCTTGACTAGGCCTTCGTACTCTGGATCCATGGGGCTCAAGAGAATCCAGTGTACCTCCCTCATTATCCTTATCCAGGTTCAAACAATTAAGATTGGAGGATAGAGTTGTAACTGGACTTGGAGGATCATGTTTAATGATATTATCCGTTGTATCTGAATGGGTTTCCCTGGTTCCAGAAGTTGAAGCACTCAAAAACGAATGATTATGTTTTGATATGAACTCCAATTCCCCCATATCAAATATATTATCGTCCTCCTCGACTTCTTTACACCTTTCCTCATCCTCACGTCTAGCAAGTTCTTCGTATTTTTTTGAAAGATATTCTTCCAGTGCCTCTAAACCCTGAGGACTTTGAAGATCAATATAGTCGTTTAAAAAAGGCCAGTACTCTCTCCAACTAGTTCCAGTCTTACGAGCTGCAGCTCTACATTGGCTCTCTAACCCTCTATACAAAAAATCGTATGGATTAGCTTAAGACCAAGGAATCTTTAAGTTTCGCTGTTAATTGCAATTTGTTAAAAAACAATATGTCTTTGTACTCGCCTTGCTGGATCTTTAAGACGGTGTCGAGTAGCGGAGGCAACCTTTAATTCTTTAAACAGAACACTCGCTTCTTCCTGGAAAGAGATTCTGCTTTAAGTTAGTTACAAAATAAGGATTAAACAATGAAGTTAAAGGGATGTTATATTAAATGCCCCTCCAAAATGTTCAAAATGTTTAATTCTGATAATTCTATATTTTTTCTTGCAGTATAAATGCCCAATTCACTTTTGCATAGTACCCACAATTGACAATTATCAGTTTTAAAATAATTATAATAATGATTTCTAATTCAATCTTGATCAATTTATTGGACAACGCCAATCTTTGTATACAGGGTCAGATGAAATTACGCTTTCAGTCTCATTAAGTTAGATGATTTGCTTTATATTTTACCTCCGTGACAGGACCTAGTATTGCGGAGAGCATGACTGAAGACATTGATGCAGGAGAATTCAGCGATAGTGGAGATTTAGCAGATACGGGAGATCTGGTGGATAGGGGAGATCTGGTGGATAGTGGAGATCTGGTGGATAGTGGAGATCTGATGGATAGGGGAGATCTTGAGATTAAAGGAGATAAACTTAGAGCAGATCCAGGAGAAAAGGAAGAATATGATTTAGGGTTCAATGGTGATTTTTGAGAACTTGTGTTCAAGTCTTCAGGAGATAACTGAACGTTTAACCAATCCTTCTGTGGAATGGGATCTCCTTAATAAAAATACAAATTTATAATCAGAGCTAAATTTTAAGTGAACCTCCATGCAAAGATTGTAGTAACAAATTCCCAACTTTACCCCTTAGATATCCAATATTCATGTTTATAATTTAAAAAATATATTATTTTCAATTTTCAACTAGGGAGGGAACCCCCGGACGCCAAGAGCCTCTGCCATGCAGACATCGAGCCTCCCAGATTCGCTAGGCAGACCGAGCCTCCACTATGCAGACCAAGCCTCCGCTATGCAGACCATGCCTCCGCTATGCAGTAAACGAGCCTCCACCATGCAGCACAGCTTTTTATAAATCTTGGTTTTTATGAGTGATGAAAACTTTTAACAATTTTTTTTGACGTAGTGGCATAAGAATTTTACTTAAGATTAGAGTTGTTCATTGATTGTCATGATTAGGAACATATATGGACTCATAAAGTGGTTTATAAGATTTATATTAAAACTTTAAACATTTCTTACGCAGAAAGGAAGATATTAGGAGAAATATTTCTGAAGTAAACTTGGTTTGTTTTGTTGTAATCTTTGATTTAAACAATACCTTTTTTTGAAAAATGTTAAGATTTAAATAATAAATACAAATTTTTTAGATTTAGTGTAAACTTTAAAAAAAGGTATCGCCAAAATCAAAGATTATAAAAGATGAAATGAAATTCAATTAAAATTTTTTTCTGAATATTTTCCTTTTTGTGTAAAAAATGTTTGAAGATTTAGATACCACTTTATTTGTCATAATTAGGCACTATATATGATAATTAATAAATACTTCTCATCTTTGAGAAGCCTCTCATGCCACTTTGTCTAAAAATTTCAAAAAAATCTTTTATCTAAACTTAAAACACAAGATAAAAAAAACCTACTGTATTACACAGGCACATTTTGATGTGTTGCGCATGCTCATTTCTGCAAAGCGGAGGCTTGGTTTGCCTAGCAACTCTGGAAGGCTCGTGTCTGCATAGCGGATGCTCATGGCGTCCGGGGGTCCCTCTCTCATTAAACACAGGGGTCCACTCTTCTAACAGGACTAGGGTTGAGATTTAAATGGATATTACTGAATTAAGGTATATCAGAACTTCAAAAAACGAAAAAGGTAAGTGAACATGTTGTTTTAAAGTATAGAAAGGTAAGTTTGCATGTATAAATATAAAAGAAAAAGGTGAGTGTGCCCTGTGCATGTTGTCAGTATAAATTAATTAAGTTAATATCAATATTGATCTATGTTGAAAAGATCAATATAAGAAGCGTGTAAGAATGAATATTCTTCAACTAGTGTAATAATTTCCATTCTTTAATGCACGGAGCGTGTAAGAATATAAGGAATCATAAGAATATGCATTCTTTCACGCTCTGATCGTGTGATAATTTCCATTCTTACACGGTCTGAGCGTTAAAGAATGAAAATTCTACACCTACAGGCTACAGCGTAAGAATAAGGATGCTTAAACACTAGGAAGCGAACAGTATTGAAATTGTTCCTCCTGAACTGTGAAATAATGGGAATTCTTACACGATAGGTTTACTACTATGGAGCCGGACAGATATGATATTATATTTATTACCTAAGCTAGATGGAGCAGAATATTCAAACTCCTTATAAACTGGTATGTAAACGAGACCCTGAATCAGGTTTTTTATTCTCCCTTCTACAATAGGATCATTGATCCGGGACCTGGAGCACACTACATCACCCGCTGTATCCCCGTTTCTATTCTTTAATTCAGGATTTATCTGAGGCTGTTCCATTAACAGCTCTACCATTCCTAGCATTCCAAATTTGGAAGCGTAATGGAGCGGTGTATCTCCTATAGTCTTATCTGGCATATTGATGTAGTAATCGAGAATGCGATCCCTTCGAAACATATTCTGCGTTGGATCCTCATCAGGGTACATCACACGGGTCATATCTCCTAGAAAATATTTCTTTTAATTGCTAGAAAATTGCGAGGAAAACTGCGTCGCATGAATCTGAAACCAGTTACAGATAAAAATAAAATCTAATGTTATTTTTGGTATTCTCTTTCTCGCATTTCCTTGGGATTTACTCTGAACACAAAAATTTTAACAAAAAAGACTTGCGAGAAGAAAACGCTTTCTCACAGTATTAAATGTTTGAGCGAATTGGAAATTTGTTATTTACGTTTTTTTGCTGCTGAATGCTCAATTACAGAAACTAAATAATTTTTTGTAAAAAGTAATTAAGTAATTTTTCTTCTAGATATCAAACAAAAACATTTCTTCCGTAAAATATCATACCTCTAATTTATACCCATTTTGATGTTTTCACACTTAAAGAGAATTTTTTAGTCCTTACCTTTGATAAAGTCCAAAATTACAGTGGCGGCCTCAACTTTACCATGAGTTGCGGCTACATGAAGCGCATTAAGCCTAAAAATAGATGGGTCAGTTTCGTTCATTGGATTCAAACATATAAGCAGAAACCCAGACAAGCAAAGTATATATATATAAAGATTAATTTGCAAAATTGCATATACTATTTTGCAGAAATTATTTACAGGGTGGCCAAAACTTTTTTGAACCCATCCGTACAAAAATCCGTACATTTTCAGAAGAAATCCGTACAATCCGTACAATTTTCGAAAAACAATCCGTACAATCCGTACAATTTTTTTTTAAAAAATCCGTACAATCCGTACATTTTTTTAAACCAATCCGTACATTTTTTTAAAGATCCGTACATTTTTTTAAAAAATCTGTACAATCAGCACAATTTTCGAAAAAAATCCCATTTTTGAAAAAAAAA